ACTCCACTTAACGTTTGTCCACAACACCTTACCCGGAGTAATCTGTCTCTTGTTGATTCTTCCATGCGAAATGTCTTGTTAGATAAATTTATCATTATTTGACTGACGTTTCTAATCTTGATGGCTGAGGATGTTTCCTAATTTTATTTTTTGGGGGGGATTCTGCATATCTTGTAGGTTTAATATTACTTTTTTAATCATTACTGAATTGATGGTTGAATGCTATGAGACTTGGTGAGGAATCTCATAATAATCTAATAATCTAATAATAATAATCCTTGCATTTGATATAGCGCTTTTCACGTCTTCTAGATGTCTCAAAGCACTTCACAGAATATACTGTAAAGTGAATTGACTGTATATTTTGTGGGCAAAGCCCGGCAGCCAATTGTGCACAGCAGTGTCCCACAAACAGCCGTGGATTGAATGACCAAATTATTATTGTTTTTTTTTCTTGAGGGATTATTATCAGGCATGTGGAGTATGGAAACCTTGTTAATCAGTTAATATGTTAAGCATGAAAGATTAATATTCTAGCAATTTGTTACTTTGATCCTAGACTTGCTGTCTGCTGATCTTCAGCAAGGAGATTTACCAAAGGCAATTTCACCCTTTGCATAATTTCTATAGATGTTGAAATCTGTCCTAATGTTTTTAATGTGTGCATGCTTATTGAGCTTAGTTAAAGGTTAACCAGTTTAATAGAATGAGTCGACATTTCAATGATCCCATAAGTTTTTGGTACTTTATTTTCTAATCAATGCTATTTTTTGTGATGTGTTTACAAGTTTTGCACTTTTCATTCTTAAAAGATGACAGTAGTGTGTTGAATTGATGAACGATAGTAACAAATTGAATGTGTGGAATTCTCATCGTCTTCTCTAGTTGTGAGAATCTACTCTTTCCTCTGAAAAAACTTCAATAATCCAAGTTATGCTGCTCAACATTGGATGTCTGCTATACCCAGGCCCAAACAAATTCAGAAGTCACTGGGAACACTCAGCAGGTCAGGCAGCATCTATGGAGAATGGAAAGTGAGTCAATGTTTTGGGTCCACGACCCTTCGTCAGAATTTGGGGGAGGCACCTATCCCGCACAGACATGGTAGTAAGCCCACCGGACTGGTCCTGAGAATCAAACATTGCGCTGTAGACAGATTGCTCATCTCATTGCCATCGGTATCAGACCTCCACTTTGTCCACTTTGAGTTCTGACGAAGGGTTGTGGACCCGAAACGTTGACTCACTTTCCTTTCTCCATAGATGCTGCCTGACCTGCTGAGTGTTCCCAGCCACTTCTGGTTTTGTTTCAGATTTCCAGCATCTGCAGTATTTTGTGTTTTGTTTTCCCAAACAAATTCAGTTGTACTGCAATACTGAAAGTATCAGAGGGAATTTGGAACTGTAATGTGAAGAGCCCCTGCTTGCATCATGAGAACAAAATTAAAAGCATCTGTAACTCCATAAATAATCTTGGTAGTTGATGCAGTTCATCTGATATCAGTTTTGTAATGCCTGCTACTTCAATTGGGGATTTCTCGTGTGCAGGACATTTCAGAGACTGAGGGAACAATTTATACTGAAAGATCTTTCCCATTGTTGCTATTTCACTAATTGTTAAGGAAATGTTAAGGCATTTGATATAGTCTTTTTCACGTCTTCTAGACGTCTTAAAGCGCTTCACAGAATATTCTGTAAAGTGAATTGACTGTACACTTGTGGGTGAAATGTGACAGCAGTGTCCCATAAACAATCGTGGATTGAAGTGACCAATTTTATTATTGTTTTTTTTCTTGAGGGATTATTATCAGGCATGTGGAGTAAGGGAACTTGCCCAAGGTTTTACCCTGCCGGGAATCAAACCCAGGTCTCTTGCTTGCGAGTGCTCTAACCACTGAGCTAGAGGACTCCACTCCAAATACTTACTATTGTAAATAAAAAAAACTTATTTCCAAGAAAGTGCCTTGCATCATTCGGAGCTGCCCATGATGGGACATTTGAAATTACAACACCTTGTGGAGAATTGTGAATACAGACAATATCTCTTGGCATATAAGATGCTGGAGCTTTGCCCGCAATGGCCATTAAACAAGATGCTTTTGATTTAGGGGAGGCAGCCTATCCTGCACAGACATAGTAGTAAACCCACCTCACTGGTTCTGACAATCACACATTGACAGATTGCTCATCTCATGGCCGTCGGTATCAGACCTCCACTTCGTCACTAACCAGGAATTTGTTTTTTTTAACAGAATTTGCACACTTGAGTTTTCAAAATGTATCATCTCTCGTGATCTTTGTACTGAAAATAACACCGGCTAGACTAATATTTAAAGGGCAGATTGGGAGTTGATTATCCTCTTGTGCTGTAAATGCACTTTGACTTGATTTGAATATGTTTGGCGAGTTTGCTTTTCAAAAAAAAAATTGCAGATTTCTTTTAGGGTGTGATCAAAACTAAATTATGGAAGCTCCACTTTTTTAAAAAAATAAAGTTTTAACTAGCTTGCAGTTCTATCTTTTTTGCCCTTTGTGTCTTTCTACCTGAATAGCCTGGCACGCTGCCAGTTACCAGATGTTTGCCAATGCTCTCAGTGAACAAGTGAATCACCCTCTGACATTTCCTCCATCCGTCAGAGGAAATGCCTTGCCTCTCCCTTGTCCTCTCCCTTAGGCATTCGCGCTGAGGTCTGGGACCTTTTGACTAAGCTCCAGGTAAGAGCCATCTCTGCCACTGCCCTGAATATGTTTTAAATAAAAATAATTCAATTAAGGCAGTCTTAACTCGTTTGTCTAGCCATGTCAGAAGTGATCCAGATTTTAGAGATTGCTCATCGATTTAATAAAACGGTCACCTAGTTTATTAAAGAATTTAACGCAGCTTTGTGTGTTTTTACACTTGTTTGGAGTGTAGTAAAGCAAATGTATAGCTATTCTCACTGGCCAATTCAACCCTGCAACACAAACTCTTTAACATAATGCGAAAAATAAGGGTGTGACCACCAATGAAATGTGTTAACATTCCACACAAGAGCTTTCATTCTGCCCCTGCTTTTGGGAACTCAATCCTCGCCGCCCCCCCACCTCCCACTTTTAAAGTTTAATGCATAGCTAGTCCTTTTTACCGTGCGTAATACATTTTAGAACCAATTCAGACGTCCTTAATATATATTTATTTAATACACTGGGAAGTTGCACAATTGTCCTTTGAGATTGAGCTAAGGTATGAGCACAGTGTTAAGTTTCATGTGTGAACACATAGGCAAAACTGCTGAATTGATAATAAGATTTTTAAAGCAGTGACATCGTACAACTGTGTGACCTTACCACCACAGTAATAGCAGCTCAGAGAGTGTCAACACTTTCTCCTATCAACAGATTTTAATTTTTTGAATTATTGTAAAAATTGGAGTTTCAACATTTGTGTGTGAAGTCATTAGGGGTTATGTGTTAATGAATTTGCACTTGAGTAAATTATATCTAGAAGTAGGTTAATTGCAATACGACTTCCTGTAAAACTCAGTCCAGTAAGTTTTTTTTAATCTCCAAATCTTAAAAGTCTCTGGTGGTTGGCATTTGGACTACCGTCTATGGGGAATGATAATTGGCATAAATTTTAGCTTTTTATATTGGATATTATTCATTCTACATACTACTAATTTTATTTTATACTGCTGGAGTCATTTTATTAACTCCAGCAGTATAAATCAACAACAACAAAATGACAATTGTATAGAGCCTTTCACATCGGGTGGACATTCTAAGGCGCTGACAACGCACTCTGGGGTTCACAAGCCTTGGCTCTCGCCAACCGGAATTAGGTAAGCGGATGTGTCCCTCCAGGGAGAGGGTCCGCGTTCCATTCCAAAAATCCATCTCTGGTTGGGATTTCTATGTGTAGGTGGTTTGCGTGGAAATCTCAGCTTGGTTTGGATACTCTTAGCCATTTTGACGGTTTCTGCACATGTCACCGGGCTGACTAAAAAAAAATGTACTGCTGAAATTGGTTTGAAGAGTGTAAGTGGTTTCAATATTCACACCTATGGCCTGGCTTCCAGTAATTGTGGTTGAAATGAAATAGCTGCTTAGCTTGGCAACTGCACTGTAAAGAAATGCTACAGAATAATGTAATGAAGTTGCAGCTTTTGTGGATTAAGGTGCCTGTATGGAACGATTGACAGTTGGGAATTTATTAAGTTCCAGAAATTGACTGTTTGGGATGCCTCTGATTTTGAGTAAAGTTTGAATGATTTCTAGACGTACTCTGAAATTTTAATTGTGTTCTCATTATATTTTCATTTCCTAGATCTGATTTTTATCAAAACAAAGAGACTGCAATATAACTGGACTAGCAAATTCTATCTTCCAAGCAGTTGTAATGCACAATCTGAGTTTATTTAATTACTGTAGTTTGTGAGATGAGAGTGTCTAGGAACTGGCTATCATTCTAAAAGCAATTTATTAAAAGTTACAATTTAAGATTTAGATAGAGAATATTTTGGGAGTAACTAAGCATTAAAATAGTTTCTTCCCATTTAAAAGATCGCCATTTGTTTTTTGCTTCACTCTGAGGGTATTTTCATAATGTGACTCGCCTTCCTCTGGAGATGGAAGCAGTTCAGAAGATTAAGTTTTACTTGCAATACTTCAGTAACATTAAAAGATGTGGTGTGATCGAAAGGAATCACTTCAGATTAAGGGCTTTTGGATAATCCTTTGTAGATCATGAACAGAAATTAATGGATGGGTGGGCCTTAGCACATTTCTAATGGTTCTGACTAAAATATGACAGCCAATGGTGGGATCAAATCTGTTTAAGTATGAATACAAAGTGGTATTTTAAAGTGAGACTGTGTACAAGTGGTCAGATTTTGGTGCTTGTGTTCAGAGGACAAGAACACCTAAATAATTGTGCAATCGTTTTTTACAAGTCAAAAAAAAATTGATGGCCATTGATGGAAACGATGACTGGTTGGTGTTTGTCTCATTATGTTTCGACAGATTCAGACAGACTGAGGGCATTGCAAAAAGGCAGTGCTTATTAACAAATGGAGAATTATTTCCAGGCTGAGGCATTTAACCTGGACAAGGTATTGGATGAATTTGAACAGAATGAGGGTGAGTTAGTTTCTTCAGTCATGTCTTTACATTTTCTTTGGAACTAAGTGACCATTCTTTTATCTCTGAAAGCAGGCAAAACAACACTGATGGTTAGCCTTATGTGTGCGCGCGTACCCGTAGGGGGCGGTGGGTGGTCGGGCGCGCGCGAGCCCATAGGGGGCAGGTGTGAGCGAGCTGGTGGACGAAGTCGGGTGGGGGCATAGGGCCGGGGACGCGCATGCCTAGGGGCAGGGACGGCCGCAGGCGTGCGTTGGGGTGGGGCTAGATGTATGGACCGGCACGTGTAGGGGTGGGGGTAGGTGTGCGCGGCTAGGTCTGTGTGTGGGTGGGTGCAGCCGGGCGGGGTGGGGTTGCGGCGATCAAACCTCCTTAGATGTTACAATCCTTGAAGCTACAAACTAGTGTTTCGTTGAGACTGGTGCTCAAACCTGCAGTGGGACGTGCAATGGGTTCCCTCTCCAGAGGAGTATTCTGAATCATCTGATGTCTTCTAATTAAGCCATTGATCAGAAATGTATTTGGTGTTTTATACATAAGTATATGCTTTACTTGATTAGAGATATTAATATTTGTGGATAAGAACCTAAGAAATAGGAGCAGGAGTAGGCCATTCGGCCCCTCGAGCCTGCTCCGCCATTCAATAAGATGATGGCTGATCTAATCTAACTCCAACTCCCACCTTATCCCTTAATCCCTTTATCCATAAGAAATCTATCAATCTCAGTCTTGAATATGTTCAAGGACTGAGCATCTACAGCCCTTTGGGGTAGAGAATTCCATAAATTCGCTATCCTCTGAGTGAAGAAGTTTTTCCTCAACTCAGTGGGAAAGGGCTTACCCCTAATTTTAAGACTGTGACCCCTGGTTATAGTTTCTCCAACCAGGGAAAAAGTCTCCCACTATCTATTCTGTCGTGCCACTTAATAATCTTATAGGTTTCTAAAAGATCACCTCTCATTCTTCTATATTCTAGAGAATATAGGCCTAAATTGCTCAACCTATCCTCATAACTCATCCCCTTCATCCCTGGTACCAACCTAGTGAATCTATGTTGTACCCCTTCCAAGGCGAGTACGTCCTTTCTTAAATAAAAACTGCACACAATACTCTAGATGAGGTCTCACCAGGGCCCTATACAGTTGCAGCAAGACTTCCCTACTCTTATATTCTAACCCTTTTGTAACAAATGTCAACATACCGTTAGCTTCCTAATTGCTTGCTGTACCTGCAAACTAATTTTTTGTGATTGTGCCCTTGTACATGCGCACCCCCGGCCCTACGCCCAGGATGCTGCCAACAGAAGTGATCCCTGGGTTTACATCTTTACATTTGCATTTTTATAACCTGGATTTTCTTTTTCCAGATGAGACAGAGTCTCCCAGTGTGTTTGATGCAAAATGGAATCAGATTTTGGATCCACCTTCTCATTTGATGTCGTTGAATCCAGCCTTGTCCAATGAGAATGATGAAGCTTTTCCGAGTGAGACACAAACCAAGCTGAAGTGCTGCTCTTTATCTCAGTCTGAGAATGCAGTGATTGGAGGAGGGGATCACTGCCTGAATGGAAATGATGCAGAAGAAGCTCCAGGGCCTGATGTAGTGCAATGGATTAATGACGAGTCTGTTTCCGATGTTTGTACTATTACTAAGAACAATAATTGTGAACATTGGCTTAATTCTGTTGAATTGCCGGAGACGTCTGCTTGTGAAAATGAGGCTGGTTTTTCTGAAGCTACAAATGCTTCTTGTACCTTTGGGTTATTTGTGCAGAATTCTGACAAAGCAGTATTCCAATGTGCTGAGCTGTTGCAGCAGGACAGTCCAAACAGCCAAAATGTACTGAATGCTGACAGCTTTTTAGTAGAGAATATGAATGGACAAAGTGGCCAGTTATGTCCAAGCATGAATGGCCAAACCAAGAAGACGGTTACAATTGAAAGTTCTGAGCCAACAAATGCACTCTGTACAGATGTGTCTGTAAAATCTTCATTTGAGAGTTTAAAGACCTGTTCCAGTTTGGAAAATTCATCTCTGGCTTCAGAAGATTCTTGGAAGGCTGCAGAGGACGTATTAGTAATGCGTGAGCCAAACATGGTGTCTGGATCGGATACTGCTGCTGACGTAGGTGAAACAAGTGATTCATTCTCCAGAAAAACTGAAGCAAATGATTCTGTTATAAAACTGGAAGATGAGTCCGTAACTCAAACTGAGAATGATACCATTGTAAAAAGTGGATGTGAATCTGATGAATTAGATGAAAAAGAAGACATACTTCAAATTCCTCCTAGGCCTGAGCTTCAATTAAGAAATACAAATAATCCTAGTTGTCTGGGTAGTACAGACAACTTTACTGAACTACAGTCAGTAAATATGACATCTCAGAAACAACAGTATGAATATTCAGAGTCGCTTTGTGTTGAGAGTAAGCCAAATCTGACTTCAGTACAATGTAACTCTTCAAGTAATGGTAATTGTCCCCATTTAGAACTTGAGATTGGTTCGGTAAGCATAAGCAATGAATTGATGGTTTGCCAAAATACTGTTGAAGATGACTCTACACTGTCTGTAAAGGGCTGCACTACTGAGGTATGTCTTCATACAAGTAAAATACCATCTCTCCAGTCTAAAGCAGTGCTTGATGATGAGCTAAGCCAGCATTCAGGGCTAAGTGATTGTCAAACAGTGGAAGATTTATTGGGTGGTGAGATTGTTTTAGACCTGAACAAACCAGCAGCGGAATGCTTGGCTCCTTGTGAAGATTGGATTGTGCAATCGGATACCTCAAGTGTTGATGTGAAGGGTCAGGTGTCAGCAGCCTGCTCTTTGTGTGACATGCTAGATTCTGTACCCAGCTCAAGTTCAACCCAAGCCTGTGTTTCAAAATTATTGCCCTTAAAGGAAGATTCAGTCACTGAAGAGAAAGAGATTGAGGAAAGCAAGTCAGAAAGTTACAACTACATTCAACATAGGGGAATTGATGCAATGGAAGCGGGAGTGGCTGATGGTTTGACCAGATTAACTATGGCTACGGACATTACTGATCAGTTGAAGGACAATTACTTTAATACACCTAACTTGTCCTCTACAGGAACTTGCTCACCGGGAGATGCGGCACTGCTGTCCCTAAATAATGCACAGCCTGTCAGTATTCCATTTGGAGGTGCTCGACCCAAACAACCTTTAAACCTGAAACTGCAGATTCCAAAGCCTTTGACTAATCAACTGCTGAATGACTTGGGCTCAACCAACAGCGTAAACAATGCAAAAAACAGCAATGTAGGTTTTCCCAGTAAACTTGGCCTTGAGGATTCTTCACTGGATGCTACAAGGAGTGGTGTTTTGGTACCTGAGTGCAGTAGCAAAGGTGACGAGTTGGGTGTGTGTTATGCTGGAGCTCCCAAAGATTTAAGCTCAGGTTATGCTGTGGGACCTGAAAGCCCAGATAATGACCTGCGAGCTGGACAGTTTTCAGGATCTCTTAGAAAGCCATTTACCACTCTGGGCGATGTCGCTCCTGTGTGGGTACCAGATTCCCAAGCTCCAAACTGCATGAAGTGTGAGGCCAAGTTTACATTCACAAAGAGGCGTCATCACTGTAGAGCTTGTGGAAAGGTGAGTTACCATTCTTGAAGGTCAATTCAAATGTGACAATTGGTGAACTCCTTCCATAGTGAACACAAATAATGATGAATTTGAAAACTAATAATAGCTGCAGTGAACTGAGATTATTGCAAATTTATGCATTGATATATCAAATCTCTTTTGGGTATTTTATTGAACTATTGATTTTTGAAATAGTGCAGGTGCTGAATGATTTAAGTGGTACTACTCTGAATATGTCACAATTACTATTAACTTTTTTTACTGTAGCTTTTAGCTGGTTGCATAGGTTTAACAAGGGTTACATAAATAACATTGTTCTGGAAAGCGAGCATGTTGTTTAAATTGTTTGAAATCAACACTGAATGTTTTTCCTGTAAATGAGGTATTAATTGTGTTCGAGAGCAACTGCGATGGTTTCCCCATTTCTCCTTGCTGTTTCCACTCCTGGGAGGTCTGTGCTGATCTCTCCTTCAGCAACCTGGCTGAGATTTGTGTTTGCAGTGAGGATAGCCGGAGAGTGATTATGCTGGTGTATAGCAGGATGTTAATATGAACCTGTTGTGTTTGTGGACTTAACCATATGCAACATTTTACTATGAGGTTTACCCCAGCAAATGTGGCCTTTTTTCAGCATGATCAGTTTTGCTTTTACTGTCGCAAGGGGGTAAGGTAAGATGGCAACACAAATCGAATTTCAGATAGTTACGTTTGATCCATTTTTTAAAAAAACTGTGGGCTTAGAAAATGTCATGAAGTGCCAGGGGGCGAATTCGCAATAATGCGCATGCTTGTTGCATCTTAAAAATGCTGTTCAGAGCTTATGTTCTATAGCTTAGGACTCAAGATTTTGAAAAGGAAAGCTCTACGGTATTTGTAAAACTGGCTTATGGTATGTACGTAGGACAGCAGATATAATTAGCCTTGGGTAATAAGTGTTCACGAAGTCATGAGGGGAAGATTTCCTCATTAAATTGCTTGCATTTACAATTAGCAGTGCTCTGTGAATTTCCCCAACAATGGTTAAAATTCTTAAGTATATTTTTTTTAACTGTGACTGGAGGCAATACTAGTGTTTGTTGCAATGCAAAACAAATTGGCACATTGAATTTGAATTTACAATAGATAATAATTATCCTTGCAATTGATATAGCGCTTTTCACATCTTCTAAACATCTCAAAGCACTTCACAGAATAGACTGTAAAGTGAATTGACTGTATATTTGTGGGCGAAATGCGGCAGCCAATTGCGCACAGCAGTGTCCCGCAAACAGTCGTGGATTGAAATGACAATTTATAATTTTTTTGAGGGATTGTTATCAGGCGTGTGGAGTAAGGAAACTTGCCCATGGTTTCACCCTTCTGGGAATTGAACCCAGTTCTCTTGCTTTCAAAGCGATTGCTCTGACCACTGAGCTACAGGATTCTACTATTACAATATATAATAATTCTTGTATTTGATATAGCGCCCCATCACGTCTTCAAGACGTCTCAAAGTGCTTCACAGAATACACCGTAAAGTGGATTGACTACATTTATATAGATCTATACCTTTAGAAAATAATTTGTGCATTTTCTTTAGGAATAAATGATGGTGCCAGTTTTTCTGGTCTATCAAAAGCACCAGCTTATTCTTGTTTAAAATAATGAAAATTAGATTTAAAAACCCAAAATACTTCAAATTATCCAAAAGCCATATTTACTGTTGCTATAAAAGGTGATCCTGGAGTGGTTGCTTTGTATAGGAACACCTCCAGCTGGTAGATTAAAGTTCCTTTTTAATACTGGTGATATTAATTTATTCATGAGCAACAACAATAATAGCACATCAATTTGTTCACAATCATATACTCAGTAATCTCAATCAAAGAGAAAACTATTTTGATATTCCTCTTTAACAAGGTCAAGTGTTCCACTTCTAGAAAAAGGTAAAGGGAGGTTGAATTATGTAGCCATACTTACTGACAAAGAATGAAGATGCCAATCACTTTCTTTTGTCAGAATTAGTTATTAGATGGAATATTATTCTTGCTTTCAAAACTCCTAAAGTCACAAGTACTTTATATTTGATTTCCAGAGGAGTGTGAATCAAGGTTTGAAAACCCTATATACATACAGGTGAACGTTTGATCTTTGCTCTTTTAACAATAGACACTTTGTTTGTTGTGATAAATATTAACAACTTATAGTATCCCCCACTTTAAAATTACTACCACCACCAAATTCTAATGTTGCTCATTTTTTTTTTGCTTCTTAGTCTTTTTTTTAGATTGTCATTCATTTGCTCGTAACCTACTAAATACAGTCAGTGTTTCAGAAGAAAATACATTAGATTTTGTGCCTGAATCGAGATTGCTGAGGAGGAGCAATTAATCGATGGAGCAGGATTTGAGTCCTGTGTCAACGCACTGCCATATGTAACCTTTGGGGCGCTGTGTAAATGAGCAATCATTGCTTACCTGGTATGTTAAATTGAACACAACAGAATTGATTTGAATTACAAACAGTAGCCCATGGCTAAGCCCATGGCTTAGAAATGGTATGAAATTAAAAATGGTCAGGAAATGAGTGGCTATGCATTAGGTTAGTGTAGACAACCTAAAGAGATTTAAATGAATTATAATTTAGAGAGCAGAGTTTGAATTTTGAAGCAGCTTGTGTATATCAGCACTATGCCTGGGATTTGCTTTGATCAGGATTGCATGTAGGTGGACTTGTCACTTCGGGTGAATAGTATTGTGTTGAACATTTAGTTTTCCATTTCAGTATGAATGAAAAATGCTGAGTATTTAAAATCCATTGTGGATATATTTTTTGTGTTTGATATTGGGCCTTTCAGGTCAGGAGGATGTCTCTTAGCACTTGATAAGATTTACCAAGTGAACAGCCCCGAAACAGCGATGAAGTGAATGACCAATGTTATTACCCTTCATATTCAAAAGTGAAAGGAGAAATTATGAAAATGAGATGGCTTCAGATGTTTTGGATATAGAGCTTCATGAGCAAGACTGTTAGTATTGTACTGATTTTCCTCCCATTTTTATAATCACTTTCCTATTTAATCCCAACTCTTCCCTTCACAAGCTGCAGATCATCCAAAACTCTGCAGCTCGTGTACTCTCACGCACCAGGCTCCGTGACCCCATCACTCCCACCCTCGGCTGACTCCACTGGCTCCCCATCCCCCAGAGGATCGAGTTTAAGATCCTCGACTCACCTTTAAGGCCATTCATGGCCGTGCCCCCTCCTACCTCTCTGACCTGCTGACTCCCTACGAGCCTGCCCGCTACCTCCGTTCATCGGGCTCCGGCCTGCTCCACATGTCTCCTGCCCTACCATCGGTGGCCGGGCTTTCAGCCTCTCTGCCTGCACACTCTGGAATTCCATCCCACAGTCCCTTCGTCTTGCCTCCTTCAAGGCCGGTCTCAGGACCCTTCTCTTCGACCATGCCTTTGGTCTCCCTCCCACCTCTCTGCCTTCCCTCACCCCTAAACCACCCCTCCCCCATGCTCGGACCCCGACACCCGACTGTTCAACGCTTTAGGACATCCTCCCGACGTGAAAGACGCTCTATAAATGTAATTTTGTTGTTGTAATTGAATTTCAGTTTCCATAGCAAATATTCACTTGAGAGCGACAAAGATTTATTATCTCCAAAACAGTCGCTGCTGTATATGCATTGAATTAAAATGGTTTTGTATCAGGCTTCAAATATAGGAAATATTTGTTTGCTGCAAAATGAATTGAGATTTCTAGGACCAAAATATACAGACTGGAATAAGAAAAGGTAATCCAGCCTGCTCTCTCCACAGTACCAACAAAATCTACAATAGCTTTCCTCTCACCCACGTTTTATTCTGGGGCAGGTTCTGCAAAGAAACTCTTTATCAATTTAAAATGCAGTTGGGCAAAATCTCCACTGTTCTTCTGTCCTCACTGTTTAAACCTAATTTCTTTCATTCCACGGATATTTCTTCCCCCAGCCTCGCAGCACAGAAATAGTTGGGTGCAGTTGGATATTTGTTGATCTTAGTCTGTATCAATCCCTAAATGCAGGCGTAACCTCCTGCACTGCAGACATTTCCTGTCCAGCAGCACAGAAAGCATTGTGTCCTACTGAGTTCATGTTCACTTGAGGTTCACCTCTCCTACAATCCTCCAATACTTATCAAGTTACTTTTTGCAGGGGCTAATAAATACAACATCAATTCCTTTATTGGGGCAGGGTGGAAGAGAGGGGAAGGAGAAATCTCATTTCTAATCCTGCTTGAGGCTTTTTAATTTTATGAGTCTGGCCTCTTGTTTTCTCACAATCTCTTAAGTACGCTACTTATATCCACCATATTTATAAATGTCATTCTAAATACGTGAATTGTGGCTGAATCCAACATCTTTTTTCAAGTATGATGTGTTCAGTTCTATGAGTTGCTCTACGTAACTTAAGTCCTGGAATCCTCGACTCACTGAGCCCTTCAATGCACGATGGTAGGGCCCCAACACTCTGTACACACAATATTCTATGTGTGATTTTAAGTTGAAAATCATTCCTGTAGTTTTAAGTGTTTTTAGTCTGTCAATTAATTTGCTAATGATTTATTATATCCTGTACGTATCTGAATTGTCCACAAATAAAGCAGTTTATAACTATAGATTTCTACAGTTTGAACTTTCACAAATTTAGTGGCCTATTCGCAAATAGCAATTGAAGATTAATTCCTTTTAAATTATTCTGTAATCTTTCAAACAAACGCCAAGCCTGCGGTTTGAGATATGATCTCCATGCTATACAAATTATGTGTTTTGTAGGGAAATTATAGACAAAGTTCACTGTGCAGTTCTGTGTTTTGTAGTAATTTGAAATTCACCGGATCAGTGTTTTTATTTTTGCCACCAATTGCTCCATAATTTGTGTCCTAGTTTGAGTACTTGCATAATGGTGAATATTTGTTAGCATTGTGTGATAGAGTAACTATGGAGCTGGAGTATAGACAGCCTTGTATGTAGAGATTGTTTGATACTATGGTATTTCTATTTTCTGACCCACTTTCACCTGTATCTTTGAGGATGGTGACTGAAGGCGGTATAAAGTGCTTCACAAAGATATTTTTGATGAAATGAGTAGAGTTAAGTACAATAATCATTCCTGTAACTCAGTTTTATACAGGACTGAATACTTTAGTTTGGCATCGAGACCTAATAATCTGGTGCTGACCTTCACAAAAGTGGTAGAGATTAGGTAAATTAGTTCATAATTAAGTGAAATGAGAGATGATTTTAAGAGCTGGGCTCTCTTTTTTTAAAAAAAGTCACTATATGCCATCTGGTTTGTAGTTCGCACATGATTTAATAGATTCTCATTATTATTATTAAAATTGTTTGACTTGCTTTTACAAATTAAGCAGTGGTGTTGTGCAAGTGCAGTTCTTGAAAACTGACACCTTGTCATTAATATTTTAGCAGACTTGCTCCCAGTTTTACTTAATGGAGTGCATAAGAAGTAGTGGTAACAAATGAGTGATCATACCTTGATAATTTGGTGTTTGTGGCTTTCAGTTGCCGTGTGCCTGCCAGTGTCTGTGCGAAATCATGCTTTAGAAAGACTGGAAACCAAAGCTGGAATAAGAGCTAAAAATCTGATGATAAAAATGAAATGTCACCGTGTGTCTAACCTGCTGACATCTGTTTATGTAGGTTTTCTGTGCAGCATGTTGCAGTCTGAAGTGCAAGCTGAGCTACATGGACATGAAAGAGGCCCGTGTGTGTGTAACCTGTCATTCTGTGCTTGCGAGTGGTGAGTGGCTGATTTTATTTTTATGATTAAATATTGAGGGACTTTAAACCGTTGTGGGAATCGTGCAGGGTCCTGGCTGAATTGTTCTGATTAGCATAGACCTTCACAACTCGTGACTGCATATAAGTTGCACTATGGACTTCAATTGCACCATGTCAGTTGACACAGTTGTTTTGTGTTGTGAGGTCTTTATCGGGATCTAACCGTGTGGCCCTCTATCTGGTCCTTCTGCTACCACAGAGACCCATTGCCAGGCTTAAGAGTATCCAAGCTAAACTCACCAAGTGCCTCTTATGCATGCTACCTACATGTAGAAAAAGCTTAATATTTAATATATTGAATATATTGAACCACATTAAAGCCAGCTCCTGGAATCTACAATTAACTTTTTTGCGAAAATATCTTGCAAAATCTTAGCTTAATGTGACTTGAGCATTAAAGTTAAAAGTTCTATGGTGAGAGATTTGTATTTCATGCATGTTGATATTTGGTTTAAATTCCCGGAATGAAACCAAAACAGAGCAGTTTATTAGAGCCATTTGTGTCTCTACTCATAAATGCATGTACTGTTCCTATCTTGGAATCACCTAGTGTTTAAGTAAGTGTACAAGTAAGTGAGGCTGACATGTTTGCCTGATGAGCACTTCTGCCTAAAGTAAACCTTTGAGCAATTTAACATGCAGATGTGAATAGTGATATTCTGAATGAATGATTCTGTTCAAAATGTTTTGGGTGGCCGAGAGGACCACCAATATAGGCAGCCTCCTGTTTGTCTACAATGGAACATTATGAGCTAGATCACAGAAAAATTGGCACAAAAGATAATTTTAAGTCTTTGTACTCTATTATAATCTGTGAATACAGTCATTGCCTTCAAGGCAATGAATGAAGATGTTCACAGATGGATACAAGATGAAGTGTAATGGAATAGGAGTGCAAGTGGTTTGATCAATTGCAAATGATTATACTGTAATTGTATAAGTAAAACTGAAGGCAAATTTAGACTATATAGGCTTTAGCTTCCAATGTTTTTTTTAACTGAGATAATCCAACAGAATTAAATTTTGATGGAATCTGTATTTTGAAGAGGAAATGCCTGGATGATTAATGAAATACAGAATTTTCATCTTGAAATACCATTTACTTCAGATTTTCTGCAGTTTAATGTGCGGATTAAGATTCATAATCATGTTATGATTAGCTGTTGAGTCAGCATGGAGTAGATTTACCCGCACTGAATGTCTCTGTCAGAAGAAGGCCTTTTCATTCAATGAAGATGAGTTGCGTTATTACAACCTTACGTAATCTGCCACTCAACATAGTTGGTAAATGTGTGGTGAGACAAGTGTTGTGATTGAGTATCTTCTGGTGAACAAACTTCTAATCATTTAAGAATGAACAGTTAGATGTGAGAAGTGGTTTTATCTAAAATATTTAAAAATGTTACCTTCGAGCAACATCAGTCATTTATCAAATGTGACAGTTCTGATAGATGTGATGTGATGCGTATTAAGATGGCAAAATCCATATCCCTGGGATAGTGAAAATGTCATTGCTGCTGTTAGTAAGTTCATTTACTGGGAAGCTCAATGTAGTTGACATTTGGACACAAGATTTAACTGTCAATGACAAAATAACAGGTCTAGTGTTTGAAACTTGAATCTTGAGTAGATTTCAAGAATTCAACCTCTTAAGCGTTAGAACAACCATTGTTACCAATAATGTAGAAACAAATGTGTTAGAATAGTTAGAATTAGAAACAAAATTGATTGCAAACTGAAGATTGTAAACTTGTTACAATAATCCTTGCAATTGATTTAATTGCTTTATTGGGTCAATGTCTGACGGCTCCACGGGATTTACTGTTCAGTGTAGTGACCATGGATTTGTGCATAGCCCAGCGATATCCCATACACAACCAGGAGGTAAATGAAAAATGTAACTGAAGGATTGTTGCTTAGGACACAGGGAGAAATGCCAATGCAGTTGTCATGTCAGACTCGTCCATGAACTGTCCCCAATGTAGGACTTGAACCTGTCACTTCTGATCCAGGGGCAAGAAAGCTACCAACTGAACTAAGCTGTTAGTTTCCATTTGAGTTTACAGTATATAGTTAAATAAAGCCTAACCTGCACACAATTTTATTTTGTGATGAGCATAAAAGAAATTATTTGTTAAAGTTGTTGAGCTTTCTTACTCCATCCTTCTTGGATTCTGCACCTATGATTTTTGTCATGATTTGCTTACCACAGCTCAAGCCTGGGAGAATATGTTTAGTGCCTCAGCTTCCAACCCAAACCCCAACAATCCAGCTGAGTATTGCTCTACTATCCCACCACTGCAACAAGCTCAGGCGTCCGGGGCCCTGAGCTCTCCACCACCCACAGTCATGGTACCGGTGGGAGTTCTCAAACACCCAGGCACAGAAGGTACTCACTTTATTGTTTAATGCATCTCCACCTTGTGTTTATGATTGTTGCTTTCAACACTTTGTCTTGATTTATTTGGCATCTCTTTGTTGGATAAAAAATTATCATTCAAAATGTAAATCCTGCATACCGAGTGTCTCTCTTCCCCCCCACCACCCCACCCCATTTGAGTATCTTAGAATCCAGTGTTAGTTTGTGTATGTTACAAAATAAAGCTGTCTACCCTAAAATAAAATGACAGTGTGGCTTAATTCCAAATTCAATTGCGCACTAACCATTAAGCGCATATTTGCAATTTGTTTACACTGCCATCCTTGTGATGCTTCTTATTAAGATCGTCATACTGAATTATTGTCATTCTGTACGGTGATCCTGTGACTTACAAAATGGGTTGATGTGCAAATGTATTTCATGTGCCACCCTTACCAGTGAAGAGAGAATTCTTTCAGCCCATTTTACTTGACTACATTCGACTGGGATCCAGAGTGTGAAAGACTATTGCACTGACCTATTGAGCGCCCAGGCACCCATTACATTTAAAAAAAATAATTGGAATATAGTCGGTCCCCTTTTTACCGACGCCTATTGCAGATTGTTTTTTTTCCATTCCTGCAGATTGATCTCACTTTCCTGCATTATTGAATTTGAGTTCTCATTCAACATTAAAGTAATCTTTCTGTGGCTCATACATTTTGCACCTTTTTCAGTGAATCATGAAGATTGGACTTACTGATCTGTAGCCCCCAAATCTATTTTTATAATATATATAATGTATATTGAGTTTTGGAGGCAGGATAAACTTTAGCATTATGATTCAGTTTCAAAGGGAAGGAAATAAAGGATTTTTTTCAAATTAAACTTTTCCTTCCAAAGCGGGCAGAACTAAAATCCTCATCAGATTTCTAACTCACTACTTCAGCAATTGTATTTGAGCTGAGATAATTTGTGAATAATGCTTATTCTCTGAGGGTGGCACGATTGGTCTGACCTCCCCGGCTTAACCCTCAGATTCATTGAACTGTTGCAAAACCTAAGCGTCAGGTTTGACCCATAGCTGTCCTTTCTTGCCCACATCTGGTCCCCGACCAGGACCGCCTTCCTCCACCTTCGCCACATTGCCTACCTCCGACCGTACCTTACTCCAGATGCAGTCGAAACACTCGTCCATGTGTTTGATCCTCATCCTCATCTACAAGGCCATTCACGGCCTCGCTCCCTCCTACCTCTCTGACCTACTATCCCCCTACCTACCTGCCCGTACCCTCCGTTCCTCTGGCTCCGGTCTGCTCCACATCCCCCGCCCCAACCGCCCTACCATCGGTGGCCGGGCCTTCAGCCTCTCAGCCCCGAGGCTCTGGAACTCCATCCCCAGTGCCTTCGCCGCTTCCTCCCTTTCCTCCTTCAGAGCCGGTCTCAAGACCTTTCTCTTTGACCTTCAGTCTTCAGCTCCCCTCTCGACTCTCTACCCCCTCCTCGCTCCCTCCCTTCCCTCCCCTCACCCTGACCATTTCCCCCCTCCTCGCTCCCTCCCTTCCCTCACCCTGACCATTTCCCCCCAATGCTCGGGCCCTGACCCAACTGTACAGCGCCTTGGGACGTCCTCCCAACATGAAAGACACTCTATAAATGGAATCTTATTGTTGTCATCGACTGTTCAAATGCCCTAAATCCTCTCCGCGGTTATAAATTATTGGATGTACAGTCTGAAATTAATTTCAGTCATCAAATGTGTTGATGTCCTCGGGGTAAATCGATAGTTTTAATCCAGATGTCAATCAGTGTCCAATTTCAACACTCAGTCTAACTTTTTTTGTCTTTGACTTCAGCACCCAAATTATTTGTAATAATACTATTCCTTGCACTTAATATAGCGCCTTTTGCATTAGGAGAATGTTGCAAAGCGCTTCACAGAATTTACTACTGGTATCTGACAGAACAAATATAGAAAATTATCACCACGCTTAAAAACATAAAAGCCAAACATTTCATCATCCCACCTAAAAGCGGAAATTCCAGTGTATTGTAATGGAACGGGCTCTCTTGCTTGTAAATGAATGTGGCTTCCAATTTAAGCACTGTAATGTCCCACAAAAAGCCATGAAGTAAATGACCAATTTTATCTGGGGAATGGTAAAATATGTACTAAGAGATACAATAACTTGTTGAGTAGAAGTATGGTAGAAAGACAGTGAAGATTGCCAGATAAACCTGATTTAGGTACTTGTTTAATAGTATGGTTACTGTTACATCAATCCATCTTCATTAGAAATTGCTGCAGTGCTGGTGCTAGAGATTTAACTAAGGCATAAAAATAGTTATATGAAGTTGAAGTTTTGCATATTTTTGAGTACATTTCAGACAGCTTTTCAGTCATTCAGTTAAATCTTTGCATTTCAACCTTCCTAGCTAGCTCTTGATTTAAACACACATTAATTTAAATACAGGGTAGAAAAGATGAACAAGGATAAAAGCTTGAGGTATATATAATATATATATGTAACGCATTTGTATACAATGTCAACGTATCACTGCCTTGTGTATTTTTTGTGTGTTGCCTTATCCTCCTGACTAGAATATATTATTCTCCAGGTCCAAAACCCTGACTAACCAGCGCCTTGGGATGTCCTCCCAATGTGTAAGATGCTATATAAATGTAATTTTGTATTTTGCTGTATTAGCCATTATTTCAGCTGCTGTGTGTGATTTTATCTGTTTATCTAGTGACCCAGCCCAGGGAGCAGCGACGAGTCTGGTTTGCTGATGGAATCTTACCTAATGGAGAAGTTGCAGATGCAGCAAAACTATCAGGAAGTGGCCCTTCCCCCCCTGGGCCTCTGGCTGTGTCACATGAACCTGGCAAGTCAGTCACGGCCAAGGCTGCAGCTTCCGAGGTAAGGTCCCAATAATATACCAGGTGTCTGTGTGCAACTTGTTTTAGTCTTATTGTTCTTGTTAAACTCACGTTATGCATATCTGGCTCTCTGTGCAATATTGTATCATCCATTTGCAACAACAACTGATTAGAGATGACAAGAGGAGTTTATTGTGTATAGGGCTGCCATTGATGTGCCATCATTAAAGTAGTCAATTGATAACCAGAATGGGAACAATGGGCTCTGGTGGCTTTATCTTTTCGTGGTAATTGCAGCAAGAGAAAGAAAGTAAGCAATCCACGTTTATACATTGGCAAATGCAGCAGGATATCAGTCAGGGCTCATCCTTGACGCCTTTGCATTTAACAAAATACTGCTCCACCTACTCTGAGGTTGCAAACTCTTAAACCAGCTAGGTGTTGGCCACGCTTCTATGTCAGAATGTCGTGGGTTTGACATCTTACTTTGACACTGTTGTCTGGTCGGATTGGTCCTATTCATTAACCACTGAATGGTTTTTCATAGAATGTGTAATGCAGTGATTGTTTCTATCAAATAATTATTTGAACCATAACAACAACAATTTGCATTTATATAGTGCCCCTCACACAGGGTAGCATCCCAGAGCGCTATAATCCTTTACCTGGGCATTGTCACCCTCCCCCCTTGGTTTTGGACTGGAGATCCTTCAGCAATACAAATCTTGTCCAAGTATTGCTAAGCTGGTCGTCAAAACTGGAGAAATCACATGTATATAGGAAGGAGAACTCACATGATTGAATGAGATAATGCTCTTCAAAGGGGCAGGCAGCCCAAACATTCCCACGTGGACTTTGGTTATTTTCAACTCTGATGGTATGTGAGGAATGTCACCAAGAGAAAAAAGATCATCACTAATGGATATATAGCTGATGACTCTCGCTACTTGGCATTTTGGAAGCCCATTTGGCAAAATAAATGTGTGCTTAAAAATGTCATGGGTCTGACTTGCAGAACCTTCCACAACCAAACCGGGTATTTTTTAGATTTCCATTTCAGCATTCAGTTGCTGAATTTTACCAACGTCCATCCATATGGAGCACTTGGCAGTGGAATTCGCTTTGCTCACAGATTTTCCAAAAGTTGCATTGCTGTTCATTCTTGGGCAGTCACAAGACGAGAGTCATAAGCACTAACTTGCCCCTTTTTCATAGACCTCTTTGTTGGATTTCCAATGGCCTCACTGAAGGTATTCTGTGTACTTTCCCTCTATTGGCAGTCATTGTTGTGTTAAACGTGTAACATCCCATGCTGTACCTTTTTGGAGAATGAATTCTTGGCATAACGAGCCGTTGTGCAAGGGCAGTCAGTTTTGGGCAGCTTGGGCATCATGTTGAAATTCACTAGTCCTGCATCAAAGAATAGTTGAATTTATATCTGCCTCTTGTTGCGCGCGCACACACACACGCGGGCGCACTCTCTCTCTCTCTCTCTCTCTCTTTCTCTCAAGTGAACTTCCAATATCCACTTCCCTTCAAGCATATCTGAGGAATTTGGAGTAATACTTGCCATTAAAATGTTTTCCTTGTTATTTTGCAGTGGCTTTCCATAAATCATAAAAGCTTTAAATTGCTTGGTCCATGTTGATACTTTTGCTAGCAATCTAGGCTTACTTCTTCTTTCTGGGGGATACTTACATTCCATATCATTAGGAAGAACCTTTGAGGTATTATTGCTGGGTACCCTCCCTGCTTTAGCAGAGTGACTGAGAAATAGGATTCTAAACTCGATCTTGTATCAGTAATTGCAGTCATATGGAGATGAGGGAAGTGAATCCATGGCCTTGCCCCCTCCTACCTCTCTGACCTGCTGACCCCCTACCAACCTGCCCACTCCCTCCGTTCATCAGGCTCTGGTCTGCTCCATGTTTCCCGCCCGACCCGCCCTTTCAGCCTCTCTGCCCCCACACTCTGGAACTCCATCCCACGGTCCCTTCGCCTCGCTTCCTCCCTAGGCTCCTTCAAGGCCGGTCTCAAGACCCTCCTCTTTGATCGTGCCTTTGGTCTCCCTCCCACCTCTCTGCCTTCCCTCACCCCCTATCCACCCATCCCCCATGCTCGGGTCCCGACACCTAACTGTTCAGCGCTTTGGGACATCCGACGTGAAAGGCGCTTTATAAATGTCATTTTGTTGTTGTTGAAGTATTACATCTTGTATTAAATACATTTTATTGAACAAAGTCTTTTTATTTAAGACTTTGCTCTGAATCTGACCAATGCAACATTTTCCTTTGTTTCCAATCCTATTAATATTTTCAAAGCAAAATAAATAGTGGTTGGAGATGGACTAATTTTTTCCACTTCTAGTGCTGGGTTATTGTGTGAAATGCAGACTTGTAGACCTTATTAACATGGAATAGACCTTATTTAATGGCAAGTATTACTCCAAACTACTTCAAAATAAAAAGGAAAACATGCTCTTAAGTGAACTGTGTATCTAAATAGCTGAAATGTTTGTTCTATTTTAGACTTTGAGTACTTCATCTTCTGCTGGGAGCACGACTCAGATTGGTAGTCCTGTTGGAAGTGCAATTAATTTAGTCCCTGAAGATGGACTCCCACCTATTCTGATCTCTACAGGTGTGAAAGGAGGTAAGTAGTAAACTTGACTCGCCTGTCCTAGGGAGGGTGGCTGAAATACCACCTGTCAACTGTCCTTGATTACTGTGGGCCTGAATGGCTTTGCTGGGCATGTATGTTTCCTCAGAGCCACATTAGTCCCAGTAAATATACTTTGAAACCTTATACTAAATCCATTTTTGTAAAACTGAACTATACCTTTGGTGAAAGGGTTACAAATACCGTGTTTGCACATTTACTAACACTAAAATTAGGATTATTTACTCTGGTACCAGATTACGCAGTGGAGGAGCAGCCCTCACAGATCTCAATGATGCAGCAGCTGGAGGAAGGGGGCCCAGATCCTCTGGTTTTCGTGTTAAACGCCAACTTGCTTGTCATGGTCAAACTAGTCAACTGTAAGTCAAATGTGGTCATTTTTCAAACTGCTTCACAATGAACATCTTGCCAAATGTAACAGCATCATTAACCTTTCAATTCAATTTTTAAATGTTAGTGTGAAAGCAAATCCTTAAAACCAGACTAACGGTCCATTTAAATTGCAAGGCACTAGACTTGATTTGGATTTGACATTGTGTTCATTAAACCAAGCTATGTTGTACTTGGATTTTATAATGGTAAAGCCATAAAGGAATATAAATATACATTACTGCCTTTGAATATGTCACAGTAAACACAACAGCAGCTGGTTTAGCAATTTATGTTTGCAGGAGGAGAGATAACATTGCATAAGTCACAGCTTATTCCTATTAATTAAACTGCAAAGAACTTTGTTTGACTAGCACCGTACACAACTACGCTCTAATTATAAATCTGTACATTTTAATGGCAAATATTTCAAGCTCTTCAAAAGTCCACATTATACGAAAGTGCCCCATTATATTTAGTTATGACTGTGAAATCTGTAATGAATGCTGAACATGTGCTTATAGATGTCAACAGGAAGTGTTGGTCCTTCACCACAAAGGGAATGCACGCTGTGGGCCAGGCAGAGATTGTCATCCTCTTGCAGTGTTTACCTGATGAGAAATGCATCCCCAAAGACGTCTTCAGTCACTTCATACAGCTTTACCAGGAAGCACTGGCAGGTACGATCAAATGTAGTTTAATTGACCAAATATTGTTTCAAAACATATACCCCCCCCCCACATATGTGCTGCCATATTGATCTTAAATTGTCAGCGTTAATTGTACAGGTATATATCTATCTGTCACAATTGGGTTCAGTATCTTTTAAAATACCAGTCACTGTTGCATTATTCTGAGTAAATACTAGCCTAGGTTTAATGCTCTGCAGTTTCAAGTTACCGTTTTGCGTTTACAAAACTTTGTGTAATTGCTTTGCTTTATGTTACTAGGTAATGTGGTGGGAGACTTGGGTCATTCCTTCTTTACCCAGAGTTTTCTTGGCAGCAGAGAACATGGTGGCTTCCTGTATGTTACTCCAACGTTCCAGTCGTTGCAGGACCTGGTCCTCCCCAGCCCCCCCTACGTGTTTGGCATTCTCATTCAGAAATGGGAGACTCCTTGGGCTAAGGTTTTCCCCATCCGGCTTATGCTTCGCCTTGGAGCAGAATACAGATGTGAGTAACTGCGTTTGTGCAAACTCCTAGCAGTTAATACAAGCAACAATTAAATGGTATTTTCTGAAGGTACATTTTCTTCTGCATCTTTCAGTTTATCCGTGTCCGTTGTTTAGTGTGCGATTCCGCAAGCCTCTGTTTGGGGAGACCGGCCACACCATCATGAACCTGCTTGCGGTAAGTCATTAACTGTAGTAGGAGGAGCCTCCCTCCTTTGCAAAAGGAACTGCCTTGCTGGTTATCATTGCTAAAATATTATCCAATACCTTTTCAGTGTTGTACTGAGTTATACGGCCTTTATTCCCCGTGTTAAACCATATGTTCATAAAGTATCCTCTTGCGGGAAAGGGAGAGAAAAGAGAAAGTGAGGTCTCCTTGGAGACTGGCTCCAAAAAGACTTACTTGACAACAGAATGCCAGAATCCAGTCAACCCCTTGTGGCTATCTCAGCAGTGTGATTTCTGAGCCAGGCAGTGGTCATGGTATCTGCGTGTGCTCCCCCAAAAAATCATCCTGATCAATTAACAAAAAAAGAATTTTTAAAAAATGTTTAGTCGAAGATTATCCTGAGGAGATTCACTGTACTTTGTGTCTAAAATTGCAAACCAGAATTCCCCTCACAGACTGCAGAGGTAAAAGCAATGACTTTAAACTTCAATGAGCAGAGTGAATGAGATATCCTTCAGATAGTTTTTTTTTAAAAACATGGTGGTGATTAATTCTGTTGAAGGGCAGAACAGTAATAAACAATAGGAATCAGATGGTGACCTTTGGTTAGATATGTGCAGTATTTTCAGAAGGCTTGTGTGGCCATTGTCAGGACTTGCAGAAGGAAACCTTTCAGGTAATAAACTAAATGGTATGAATAATGATCAGTGGAGGCCTAATAGAAAATATCAGCACTCCTGAATATCACCTATAGTCCTTGAAGGTTAAATGGGTTATACACTTGCATCTGTTCTGCAGAAACCATTGCCTATTTAGTTTTTTTTTGGTTAACAGTTCTAGTGCTATAAACACATTTTATTTTGGTAATTTTATGATTTTTAGTCTCGAACAGTTTGTATAGGTGGGATCCCACATTCTCTTAGTTGCTGGCATCTGTAGATTGTGTTGTGACTGGTGTTTATGCCGACAGTTCATTAATAATTATAACTGATATTGGAGATGATTTTGTGCATCATTGTGTTTTATTAAATATTATAGTATTGATTCCTATTCTCCAAAGTACTTCATGGATTTTGTTGTGTTAAAAAGCTTCAAATCTTGAATGAAAATGCGAATCTAAACCATGTTGTTGTGAAATGCACTTGTCAGGATTTCAGGAATTATCAGTACAAACTGCCGGTGGTCCAAGGCCTTGTGGTGGACATGGAAGTCAGGAAAACCTGCATCAAGGTTCCCAGTAACCGATACAATCAGGTACTGCCCCAGTGTTTGTGACGTCTTAACTAGATGTTTCGAGGATTCTTTCTATCAGGCTGCTGGAGATTCATTGAAGTGAGGGGAAACGACCATCAGAATGAGGTTTCTCGATAAAGATATAAGTAGCTTTTAGAATTTATATTGGTTAACTGACGAACTAACTGGAAATCATTTGTGCTCTTTTTTTTCTACTCCCCCGCCCCCCCTTAAAAAAATATAATTTAAAAAATATTTTTAAAAGATCCTCTTTTTCTGAAATTATCCTTTCCATTTAGACCTCCTTTCTCTCCCCCCCACTCACCCGCCTCGCTCCCCTTAACAATTGTCAGTCCTGTGCTTATTTACCAAAACAATACTAATTGGAAAATAATTTCTAAACTTTAATAATGGCCTCTTCGAATAATGAAGGGAGAAAGGTGATTTTTTGAGCAGAAATATAATGTCACAATTAAGGATCTTGGTTGATTTTGGTGTCGCTACCATGTGTTCCTGCAGCTACTTGGTTTATAGTCGCAGGGGAATGGAGCTGGTTACAGTAGCATTTGTTTTGAAGGGTGTAAATATACACAATACAGGATCCAGCACAGCTTGTAGCTGCTGCCACCTTTCTGCAACTCACCCCACTGCTGGTCTCATGTCAGTTGAAAAATTTTGAACATTTAACATAATGTATGTTTCTAGCGAGCGGGGCTCTGCTGTTTTAGTGTTTTAATCATTTCAAATCTGTAAAATCAAGGAAAGTTATTTTCACATCATTAGTATTTTAAACTTTTTTTAAAGCAGGTTTTGAATTTTAAAAATGTTTCCACGGATATCACTTCCTGTGTGCTGCCCATGGCCACTCCACAGGGAGTGACATCCATTATTGGTTGGCTATTTTTGGATATCCAGATCACTAAAAATCAAATCTCTAGATGTAGCATCTCAATTCTCCATGTTAAAGCCTGTTTTTGGGGTTCCCTCTCTCTCTGCTCTGGGGACAAACTGAAGATGATGAAAGCAATGAACAAATCCAATGAACATGTGCTGGCGTTTGGAGCATGCTTCAATGAGAAGGCTGATTCCCACTTGGTGTGTGTCCAAAATGATGATGGGAACTACCAGACACAAGCCATCAGTATCCACAACCAGCCCAGAAAGGGTGAGGCTTTACCAGGTTCTTATTTCTACTCGAGGGGAAACATTTGAATTCAGAATGTTTTACATCAAAGTATATTTTGTATTTAGTTTGGAAGTTTTATATGTTTCGAGAATGTTTATAGTTGGGTTTGATCTTTTGAAAATGTGACACGTGAATAAACATGGAATTCAGTGTAAGTGATATTTTCCCTAATGGTTCTGTTTCCTCCCGACATGAAAGGCGCTATACAAATGTAATCTTGTTGTTGTTGTTTCTAGTAACGGGAGCCAATTTTTTTGTGTTCAGTGGAGCTCTGAAGTCGTCTTCTGGTTACCTGGCCAAGTCCAGCATTGTAGAAGGTAATCCTGAACAACTAAATTCTACATGGCTTGTATTATGGTCATTTCATTCCTATCGCCTATTGTTACACACATTCAATTGTGAGAATAACTCAAAAACTGATTTTTCCATGCATTCTGTCCCTGTTAAAATGCAGCTGTGCTGTTCATGAACAAAATTAATTCTCAATGCAGATTGATTCTCATGACACATTTCCTTCTGGATGCTGTTTTGCATTGTTTGCAGCCTGTTCGATATACTGTGGTAAAATTCACTGCATTTGCTTATCAAATTTGACCATGTTATGATGTGTATGGTCTGCTTTCAGATGGTGTGATGGTGCAAATCTCAGCTGAAACGATGGACTCTTTGCGACAGGCGCTACGGGAGATGAAGGATTTTACTATAACCTGCGGTAAAATTGATGCAGAAGAACCACAGGAACATGTTCACATCCAGTGGACAGAAGACGACAAAAATATTAACAAAGGGTGCATTATCTCTATGAAGTTTGCCATGTGTGCCTTATTTAAAGCATTCACATATTTGAATATAACTGTAAAAAGTATCTTCAGCAAAACAAGCTTCACTGTAACACAACCCCCTGACGTGAAACAGCAATATGAATGTAAATTGTATTTTTACATAAAATGAATAAACCGTTCCCTTCAGTTAAAGAAATTCAGATTCACTAAACTGCATTCAACTTTTTCATTTAAAATTGTAGTGTTGTCAGTCCAATTGATGGAAAATCCATGGATGAAATTGCAAGTGTGAAGATATTTCATGGATCAGAATTTAAATCTAACGGCAAGGTCATCAGATGGACAGAGGTAAATGTACTATATTTCTGTGTGTATCTGGTCACTGAATTGAATGTTGAGGTTGTATTTCTGACATGAAAGGTGCTGTACTAAATGCAAGGATTATGATTAGTGTGTGGGGGTGGGTGTATATAGTGCAGTTGGACTCAGAAGGAACTACTTTTGTATTTTATAGGTGTTCTTCCTTCAGAGCGAGGATCAGCCGAATAGTCTGAGTGACCCAGCTGATCACAGCAAACTGACTGAGAATGTGGCCAAGGCATTCTGCATGGCACTCTGTCCCCATCTTAAACTGCTGAAAGAAGATGGGAAGGCAAAGCTGGGTCTGCGTGTCACCCTGGATTCAGACCAGGTACCAACACTTTATTGCACTAAACATTCTAAACTTATTTTTAAAGGTGGGTCATCAAATAAGGCGCAGGGAATGTTATCTCCTGATTGGCTCACGTCAGCGCCTCCGCACCTCAGGCGCTGACAGCATCAGCATCCAAGGCTGCACTCTCCACCTCTCAAAGCAGTCAGGAACCTCGGTGTTCTCTTCGACCCTGAGCTGTCCTTTCTCCCTCATATCAGCGCCACAACTGGCACCGCCTTCCATCACCTCCGGAATATCGCCAGACTACGGCACTACCTCACCCCTCACGCGGCTGAAACTCTGGTTCACGCCTTTATCACCTCAAGGCTGGACTATGGGAACTCTCTCCTCGCCGGCCTTCCCGCCACCTCCCTCCACACTGCAGGTCATCCAGAACTCTGCAGCTCGTGTACTGTCCCGCACCAGGCTTCGGGACCACATCACTCCCACCCTCGCCCTCACCCTCACCCTCGCTCGCCTCCACTGCTCCCCATCCCCCAGAGGATCGAATTCAAGATCTTCATTCATGGCCTCGCTCCCTCCTACCTCTCCGACCTACTATCCCCCTACCTACCTGCCCGTACCCTCCGTTCCTCTGGCTCCGGTCTGCTCCACATCCCCCGCCCCAACCGCGCTTCTATCGGTGGCCGGGCCTTCAGCCCCGAGACTATGGAACTCTATCCCCCAGTGCCTCCTCCCTTTCCTCTTTCAAGGCCGGTCTCAAGACCTTTCTCTTTGACCGTGCCTTCAGCTCCCCTCTCGACTCTCTACCCACTCCTCGCTCCCTCCCTTCCCTCCCCCTGACCATTTCCCCCCTCCTCGCTCCCTCCCCTCACCATTTCCCCCCCAATGCTCGGGTCCTGACCCAACTGTACAGCGCCTTGGGACGTCCTCCCGACGTGAAAGGCGCTCTCTAAATGGAATCTTGTTGTTGTTGTTATCATCCGAAATAACTTTTCCCGATGCTAGGGAAAGTGTCAGGGTTGACTCACGATTTAAGTCCCAAGAAAGCAGTCTTTATTACACAAACCTCTGTGAGATCATGAATAGACTGCCTGGCCTCTCATTCTGTTTCTTTGAATAAAGGGTTCTGCCATAAATCATTGTTGATGCAATGATTTATTGTGGAGATAGTTGAAAACCGTGATCAGATTAGATGGTTCACATTGATGGGCTGATTGGCCTATTTCCGTAGCACTGACATTTTCAGAGTAATGGCAAGAAAGATGCTGTGAACTATGAGGTTCAATCAAGAGCCAATAGAACAAAGGCACTGGGTCTTGAACTAAGTGAAATTGACTTGAAGCTGTTGAAGTATTGAGCATTTTCTTACCTGTTTATTATGAGGTGAAAATGCAGAGTATGTGGCACATTTTCTGTGCATTTCTTTTTGAGATTTGGATTAACCGCTATTTAAAATTAGTGGTTCTAAAGTGTTTTTCCTCATGTCTTTGTTCAGGTTGGATATCAAGCTGGTAGCAACGGACAGCCCCTTCCTTCCCAATACATGAATGACCTGGACACTGCTTTGGTCCCAGTGATTCACAGTGGAGCTTGTCAGTTAAGTGAAGGGCCAGTGGTGATGGAGCTCAACTTTTACATCTTGGAGAGCTTCTCCTAAACCTGCAGAAACCCTTTCCATATCGCTGATCGTGTGCATTGCTAAGTGTGGCTAAAACAAAAACCATTTGCACTTTAAACTGTTGATAGAAAACCGGAACAGGTGTTTCATTATTGCTGGATCTACTATGCACCATGGAACAGTGGTTATTGTAATACAGGTCAGGCTGCCTGCCTTTCCATTACAAACTAAATGTGGACTTGATGGACTGATACACTACTGAAGCATGAAAGCATTTTCAAAGAAATTTCCTCTACTAGTTTACATTGCCTGGATTTTTGACAGCATATCATTCTTGAGGATTTGGAAACTTTGCAAGGTTGAGGAGAATGAGAATGCATCCCTGGTTCCAGGGTCCTGTTCACACAACAGCCTGAGGACAGTATAGAGAGAAGCATATGATGACGCAGACACCCACTGACCTCAGTATCACTACTTTCGTGACCGAATCAGCAGCTAATCTATTTAGTTTGTATATAACGTATCTGATGTTTTTTCAAGCACTTAACCTATGCCTTGTAAACCACAGAATGGGAACATTGTGGTGATCTTTAGCCATGTTATAATAGTGTATAAACTCATTAACCTAAAAGTAAAGGACTTTTTAAATGATTACTTGCTCAGCCATACTGCATTTCCTATCAGCTGTATTAACTACTTACTGGTGCACAGCACCTCAGGTAATACTGTTTATATCAACAGATTAGTGTTTAAAGCCTCTGTTAAAGGAAACTGCTTCTGAATGTTTGTTGACAGTTTATGTTTGAGGGAAGAGCTTTAGAAAAGGTAACCCTGGTGCTGGAATGAAGCAGAATCCTGGACAAATTGAACTCCTGTAAGTAAATGTAAAGTGGTTATTTAAAAGCCAAATACTCTGTATATTTGTTTTCTTTATCCATTAGGAACATCTACAATTCAAAGGAATCTTATTTAAAAAGCTGTAGTATTACCATTGACTTGAAGGAAGGTGGGTATGTCTTGTTTGGCCTATTTCCTTCAACTGTATATTACTTTCTAGACTGCAAGACAGTTAACTTGCATAAGAATCATTGTACATTTAGATGAAATGCTATTTCATTTCCTTTAGTTTTTCTATTGGCAGTAGTCAAATGTGCACTTTAGAAAACTGGTTAAAATAAATGGTTTCCTAATAAAACCTCATTGAATAGCATATTAAGTATTTCACTTTAAATACACAACAGCAATAAAAATTATTCTTGCATAAATCTCTGACTGTTTTATGTTTAAAAAAAATTCAAGAAGCAACTTTACAAAATGTACGGTACTCTAACCTGGACACTTTCCAATTGGTGTTTTGTTAATTTTTTTTAACCTTACTAACGGTGCAAGAATGTTTCCTAATTGTGGCTCAAATTACAATATTTAAGAGCAGCTAATCTGGAAATCTTTTACCGTCAAGATGAAATTGTGACCTGACAATACATGTAGTCTATAAACCACTGCATGATTGAATGCTGATTTAATGGAAATTCTTGAAGTGAAACTTTTTGATGATTACTTGCTCAGCCACACTGCATTTCATATCAGCTGTATTAATTGTGCTTCCTGGTGCACATGCACTTCAGGTAGTAACTGTTTATAGAAAGCTTAGTGTTTAAAGTCTCCAAGGGAGGAAACTGCTTTTGTTGGTTCCATTGGGGCTGAGTCAGCTGCTGATCAGGCTCCGTGCATTATCCATGCCTTGTGCAAAGAGCTGAGTTGGGGCAAGACTAAGAGTATTTGGTTTTGTTGGTACACAGGCATGTTGGTGCTATTTGTTCTGAGTGTACGGGAGAAATGCAATTTCCAGGGTGAATTTATCCAAAAGTATACTCCCCTTAGCATCTTCAAATAAAATTTTATTTTCTGCAAACAGCTTACATTGTTTGAAATAAATATATACAGCATTAAACATTTGTGGAGCAAGATTGACAAGCAGTATAGTACATTCCAGTAGATATTCCTGCAAAAGGGTAGTTCTATAATAGATAAACTGCCTGCCCATCAGAGCATATTGACAGCTCAGTCTCAAAGGCACTGAAAAGCGAGCAAGGTGAGGGATCTTGCACTGGATCCCTTAAAGAAATCCAGCAGTTGTTTCTTTTGAACTCAAACTGCAATGAGTCGTCACCTTTAAGATACATAAACGCTGCTTTAAATTGTTCAAAAAGCAGGATAAACAATTCCTGCCGTGTGCAACTTTAATATTGGTTAGGATGGTGGGAATCTTGTTCAAGATTTTTATCAAACAATGTTCCCACCGGTTAGGTACCCATTTCAGGGAGCAGATTGGGGATAGTGGTCTCCTCCTTTCGTCCTGAAATCTTTAGGCCTGAGGAGACAGCTCTGGGACAATGACTAGATTTTTTCCCCTCTTCCCCCATATAAAATATTGATCTGCCTTTTTACATTTTGTGCAACTTCATAAAATGTGTAAACCTATTATCCCTCAACGCAAAGCTCTGAACCATTTACACACTTATGGTACATTAACTTTCTCCATTTTTCCAAAGCTATACATTAAGGCTGCATATACATATCTTCAGGCACATACATAAACACCAAGCATTTCCCTGAAAGCAAGTGCAACTGTGTCATAACATACTAAGGTTACACCAAAATGTAGTGCTTTTCTGTTCAAATCAGAAGGTAATGTGAAAGGACAGCAATTGTAATCAATGCAATGAATGGTCTTTGTCCTGAAAAATTCTTAGTTATTGAGGCCAAGTGCATTCTATCAGTTTGGCTTTCACATCAACCTGCCCTTTGTTTACACCATACAGTGTTTGGCTACGTCTAGTCTCACATTTAGCCGTGTAATGCACTCAACTTGCTACACAATGCTGCAGAATGGACTGTTCACTCCGTCAGTAACTGCTGCACTTAAGCTTAACACTTAAACTTTTACAACCAAACTTTGCCTCTGACCCATTAAGAATTCAAACAAAACAAGTTGGCAGCAGATTCCATGTTCATTGAGTGGAGAAAGGCCCAGAGGAGGTAGGGCTGCCCACTCCTGTTCAACCTAGTTTTTTCCTTCCTCTTGAGAAATGTTCACCATACTCGCTTCTACCTGTACAGTAACTATTACAAATGGCCTTTTCACATTTCCTTTGAAAGAATCCATGGCACTCTGGAAATGTGCAGATTTACAATAAGGAAATATTTCTGTAAACGTTGTACTTCCCGAATCAACATCCTTTGGCGTTTCATGCAAGTTATGGTGTTCTCAGAAGCAGCAGTTTGTACTTGTAGATTCTATTCTACTGTAGCAGTCATGAATAGGTGCATAGTTAATTTAAGTACCATTTGACCTGCAAAACAGAAATCAAATGCCATTTACTGTCTTGCTGTTTGAACGGTTTAACTTTTTTATCTTAATCCTACATTACTTCAACAAAGATAGTCGAAATTAGTCAGTCAGTCAGTGCCCGCAGGGTTTCACTAACTGCTAGGCTCATACAATTGGTTTGGCAATTGGTCTGTTGCTCATGTGTCAGCACCAGTCATACAACTTGTGCTGACGTATCGTGAAAAGACTGCTTTACTGTGTGGCTCAGGACAAGCTTTCTGTCACTGACTGGCTCATGCTCACTGAACTGCCAGTGGTATTTTTGTTACTTTAATATAATTTCCTTCTGCCCACTATGCTGTGACTTTAATAGTGAACTGGTTAAAAAATGATCTTGCCTCCACCACTGTTAAGATATAAGGTCTATGTCAGCAGAGAAAGAAAACCTGGGAAACAATGGGATTTAAGTCTAACGGCTAGAATTATGCAATAAGTAAATCCGCTTCACTCGGAGGATCAGAGTAGCAGGATGTACATTACTAATCTTAACTACTGAACAAATCAGACAGAATAAAGTTATCCAATCACATGCAGAAACTCCTGCAACATACCTGATAAAGGAACCAGTGTGTAATTCACAAACTATTGTGGTCCTGCAGCCTAGGTCAAAACAACAGTCAGTCAATGACATTGCTGAAATAGTTCAGAACATTACAAATCCATTCATACTGTAAAGTCCTCTCCTGTTACAGTACAGGAACCCACCATTTAAGACTATCCTAATGTTTTTCTCCACATTTGCTTCAAAAAGAGAATGTTTCTAGTAAGAGGAACAGTGTAGTTGGTTACATTGGAAAGTATACAACCAAAAGGTGCCAAAGTAAAAGCATAAACTAGTTACAGTTCCTCAAATTTTATTCAGAACTAAGGTCCATGTAGAGTTGACAATAAATGGCAAAAAACCTGCACTAAATGATAAGTTCTAATATAGAAAGCATGATCTGCGTATGATCATGGCTTTGGCATAGTTGTCCTGCTCGTAAATCACTTGGTAATGGAGATTTGAAGGGGCAATGATTAGATTTAATCTGCTGGAGGAGGAGAAAAGGCACTATTCCAGTATTAACGTGGGAACACATTGCTCGTAACTTCACTCTTTTCTAGGATAATGACATTATTAAAAATTGAAAACAGATCAAACTAAAAATGTGATGTTTTAGAACAGTTTTAGAAGTAAACAACCAACCAACAGAGACTGGAGAACGGCATCACATTACTGATTTCAGTCTTACTTTCTCTTCAGATGTTCCTATCTGTGTCGTGCTCACAGTATCCAGGACCAGCCATTTTTCTGTAATCATTTGTAAATCTTGTCCACTGAGAGGTTCTCTGATTTGAGCTTTCACTTCTAATCGGCCACCAGTAGATTTCCTGCCATCAAAAATCTAAGCAAATGCAAATATGTGGGCGTCGGACACAACCTCAGGAATAACTCACGCACCAGGCTCCGTGACCCTATCACCCCCATCCTTCTCGAGTCCACTGGCTTCCCATCACACAGAGGATACAGTTCAAGATCCTGGTCCTCATCTTCAAAGCTCTCCATGGCCTCGCTCCCTGTGACCTCCCAACCGACCTGCTCGCTCCCTCAGCGGGCTTTGGCCTGCTTCAGGTTCCCCCACTTTGCCCACTCCACCATTGGAAGCTGGGCCTCTGGACCTCCATCCCGCAGTCCCTGCGCCTTGCCCCCTCTCTCTCCTCCTTCAAGACCTTCCTCTTCAACTGCCTTCAGTCACCCTCCTTCCTCCCCCTGCCCTCCCGACCCCCACTTGGGTCTGAAACACTAACTGTCCAGCGCCCTGGGACGTCCTCCCAACATGAAAGGTGCTAAATACATGTAATTTTGTTGTTGAACTGTCCTGCAAATCAATTACCAATCTACCTGCAGAACCACACAGTTCACCCAGGTCTGCAGTGGGGAGAAACGTGCTTCAGACTTTCAGGTGTTCACTGAAATAGTCTTTTCCAGACTAAGCTAGTTTGCTTACAAACTTTAATACAAATTGAAATAAGAATCAAACATGAGGTGAGGGACATTAGTATCAGAAGATACAAAGTGATTCAAATAGAACCTTAAGCAGCAGCTCAATTCTGTAATGAGAAGACAGAAGGGCAAGTATTCTGGATAAGATCAATGGCTTTCATCCTATCCTCTCGACAGTGATCTTACCTCAATGATTTCCCTGACCTCACACTCAGTTTCTAGTTTGTCCAGTTTTAGTTGAGCGGTTCCCACTGGCTTGTCACACCGGAGAAATCCTCTGAAAGAAAGTCAGAAATAGAATTAACAAAGTCCCAAAGGTCCACTGGAAACCTCATAAAGCCCAAACCACAAGCCGCTCGGAATATACTAATAAAGATGTATGAATTGAAGTACTAATTAAATAAATGATTCAAATTACTTGAAATCTCATCTCTTCCCCCCCCCCCCCCCCACCCAGCAATATTGTGTGGGGGTGACTAGACAGTGTCGGCAAGTGTCTTCCCTCTGGGAGGAGGAAGCAGCTCAATGCTGTGACTGAGGGGACGAGTGGCTGAGATGCTGAAGGGCCAATTGGTCCAAACTAATCCGGTGCACGGCCGGTCAGGGGCTCTCCTACTGGTCAGCAATGGAGGAGCATTGCGAGGGCTGATTCGGTCGCTCACCCATTCCTGCTCCTGGGAATCACGTGGGACATAGGGAACTCCTGCTTTCCTGGAGGAAGAGCATCACCGATTTCTCACCATTATTATAAACCTCAATCGCAAACGATTAAAAAGTTCAACACAAACTCCGAACAGAGAAAGTAAAGTATTGCGAGACACTGGACCTCAATGTAAATACACACTAAGTCAATACAGCTTTTCTGTCCTTACCCTTTATGAATTATTTCAAACTTAATTCCTTTGCTCTGAATCACTCGTTTAAAACCTCGATGATTTCTGTTAATATTTAGCTTGAAACTTTGATTATATTCTGGAAGGAAATAACAGAAGGAAAGATTTTTTTTAAAGCATTTATACAGTCAACATATTCTAAACAAATTGCATAAAATATGGCGCTTTACTACAGAACACAGATTCTGCTTTGTTGAGTTAATCAATTGGTGCCTCGGTAAGAGGAACCTTTTAAATGAGGTTTCAATATTTTTTTATGGCAAGGCATTCCATGTTCTAACTTTCTAAATGAAAAAGTTTCTTCTAAACTCTTCCCCCTACCCCACACAGCTCTTCCATTTAATGCTCTCAAGTTACCAAGTTAACAGCAAATCTCATACCTGGACAGTTTGTATTCTTGATTACATTAGTTTTAAATTTTGGGGCTTGCTCCTGTTTAAAAATATAGAAATTATAGTCAATTATTTTTAAAATAAGCACGTTTATAATTTAGTTTCCTTAGAAACAGCTATTTGACAAACTAAAATGATCAGAATAACATTTAACTCAAGAATATACAGTGTTGACAATATATCGCTTTCAGACTGTTTAGATTTTACATAAGTGTGAAGGTACTTACTGAACTAGGATAATGAAATTCAAATTTTACAAAGGCATCAAGGTCATGAGTTGCCACACCTGTATGAAACAGATGAAAAAAAAGACTTTTAGTCTGTAAAGAAATAAAACTCCTCCTCACACAAGTAACAGCCCAGAACGCGATAGGAATTCAACAGTACGTTTTAAATTATATGCATTTATGACCGAATTAAACAAAGATGTTGAATGTGCTGCTGTGTTAATCCAGAATAAAACTATGGGTGACGTTTGTCCATTGTAAGTGCAAGACTCCACATTTAGCAGCTTTACAGTCCTAGATAATCAGCAAGTTTCATTCAATTTTATACTGAAGATTTATTTGATCTAATGGGTCATCAAACAGTGCAGCAATATCACATTGGGCCAGTCACGAGAAGATACCCATTTCAGCCTATTATTCTGGTCTGGATCCAAAGCCAGGTTAGAAAGGAGAACTTCACAAGCCCTTCAGGCTAATATAATAATAATCCTTGCATTTGATATAGCGCTTTTCACGTCGGGAGGACGTCCCAAAGCGCTTCACAGAACACACTGTAAAGTGAATTGACTGTATATTTGTGGGCGAACGCGGCAGCCAATTGCGCACAGCAATGTCCCACAAACAGTCGTAGATTGAAAATGACCAATTTATTATTGTTTTAGGTTTTGGAGGGATTATTATTAGGCTCTGTGTGGAGTAAGGAAACTTGCCCGAGGTTTCGCCCTCTGCCTGGAATTGAACTCAGGTCTCTCACTTGCAAAGCGAGTGCTCTAACCACTGAGCTACAGGACTCCACAATATTCCTTATTACACAGACAATGTGTTTATTAATTATCTTAGATTGGTTATTCCACTCAAATTAGCTTACTGTTAATGTGGAATCTGATATCACCTTACCTGGAGGAGCTGGGAGATTGATTCCTTTTACAATTATGAGAAGCATTTCAGTACTACTGAGATCTGAAAATATCCTACAGAATAAGACAGAATATTATACACAAGGAAATTGCTACCTATTGTTCCTTCCCCATCACAGTTTAAGCAGAAAGATAGCCAACAGAATACTGTACTTTGCTGATTGATCAGATTTCAAAAATACTTCAATTGAAATAGTTGAAGCTTTGATTCTGTACGGGAATACACTCCTCCTCACACAAGTAACATCTCAGAAAGCATGAGATATCTAATCAACCGAATGAGTCAAAATATTGCTGTTGAGTTACAAGAACTTGCAGTTACCTTTAATGCCACAGATATTTATATAAACCTCTAAACCTCCCAGGATTTAATTAGTTGTGAATTCAGAGGTCCTCACCGTACAATTTGAAAGCTTCTCTCCTCAAAATGATGTTTGGGTGGATTCAAACCCTGAGCCTGGGCCAGTTTAAGGATCTCCATATTTTTGCTGCAACTGGCAGCCATCTTCTCAAACCTAGAAGTGTGATCAAAGGCAACATTTTATTATTTTTTAAAAAAACTTACATGTTTCTTCTTGCTCGATGTATAGACAGAAATTTCAATTTTACCCTTGGATAACAAATATTTTGAATATTTCTCTAGAAAATACAAGACAAAAATGATAAATATGATGTGCTGTAAATGGATCAGACGCACTGTGCTTTATACTTACTTTGTTGTCTCCACCACATTCCCAAGATGTGTAAATTGCTTGGAATAGGTCAGACATTTCTAGATTGAAAAGATTTTTAAAAAGTGTAATGTTAAAATGAGGATGATTTTCAGAGCAGAACATTCTTTCATTCTTAGTCAAAGAGAAAAATTAAACCGAAGTTAAATAGAGAAACCAGCTATTGTATTTTAGGACAAAACTAGAAGTCGCTGGGAACACTCAGCAGGTCAGGCAACATCTATGGAGAAAGGAAAGTGAGTCAACTTTTCGGAGCCACAACCTGGTCAAGCTACTGATCTTCACTTCAAATTTCTCCAGATCAACACTGAACTGCGGAGCTTGTGGAGAGAAAGTAGCCTCTGTATTCCTGGGACAATACAGAGTACCCTCAATATCATTTGTTATATACACAGCACTGAGTTTGTCCCAACACATACCTGGTACTGTTCCCTCAGAAGCTTCATAAGGTTTGTGTACACCTCCTCAAAATTAGACGAAACCTTCACATCTTTGTGATACACCATTATAAAGTCATCCTCGTCATCATCTGGGGGCGAAGGAACCTGGAAGGGAACAGCCATACGTTGCATCCACTGCGATCATATATTCTTGGTTATCTCTTTAGAAAATATGAATACTTGTATCTTTGTTCTTAGTAAAGAACAAACAAAACAGCCATTTCCTCATGCACAGCTTCCATCATCAATGCCAGTAACTGTATTTGCCAACAGGATCCACAGCACTACTGGACAGGATGTGCTACTTCTCAACTCCTCGCACTTGGGCTCCACTCCTGCTTTGTTAGGAAAGTCACTGGTTAGTTGACAAACGTTACCCCACATTATCCTTCAATTCTCCCTGACCTTGGAAATATCAATTGGTTTCCCGCTTTTGACGGCCTCAATCATTGGGTCAAAACCCTTGATGGTCCGAAGGAACTGTTTTGCTTGTTCAAGATTCTTCTTCTGTTTAGCCTGAATAGCAGCTTTAATGTACAGCTTCTTCCTATTCTCCAGAAACTCCAACTGTAGCTGGGCTGCAGAGAAAAACGGTAAAACGTACTGACCCTCTGCTTCCTGACTGAACTACAGGCAACTTTATTAACAAAAACCTAGTTTATTTTTTATCGGATAAATCTATGAGTGAGAGAGAGAAAACTTGGGAGACTCTTTCCTCTGATGAGGGATTCTAAACAAAGGGACATGGTCTTCATATTGGAGCTAAATCGGTTAAAAGTGATATCAGAAAACAATTTCCCTACACAGAGCTGAGACAATGCACTGCCGAAATAAAAGTGTGTTTAAAAAGGCAACATTATAGATAAATAAATATTATAGTCATCGGGAATAGCTGGAGAAAAATAATTAAAATTATTTTAAAATTAGGGATTGAAAGATGATTTTAAAGCAAAACAAATAGAGCAGAGACTGAACCGTTTCTTCCAGTTCCTGTGAATGATACAACAACAACTTGCATTTATATTTACATAACGCCCTTCGTGATGGACGAAGTCTCGAAGGCTTGATTGAAACAGCAGCGATTGAAAAAGACTCTGTACCTGTTGAGCTTTGGAGACTGCTGGGTGTAGATGGTGATGACTTTTGTGGTACTGGAGACTTGCCGCCCTGTGCTGCAGGGGATAGGATCAAGCTGGACACTCCCTGCTCTGGAATCCTTGTTGGTTTCTTTGCAATGGGAGGCTGTGCAGGAGCTCCACTCTACAGACAAAAGTGTGGTTAGGACAGATTTTTTTCTGAAAAAGCAATCTCTGATGTAAAACTGCATAAACATCAGAAACTGTTAAGAATCTTCTGTTCAGTGAGAGATCCCCATTTCAATATAGATTTACTGAAGCTTTCACACTGGGGGTACCAGTGAGATCACACATTCGATTTCAAATGTCTGGATACATAGTTTTTACAGATTGATAAATAAATCCTTTGTGAAAGACATATTTATGTAATTTGCATAAAATCAAACTGTAGTACCGATGATAATCAGTCTTGCTTTCCCTTCAGTTTGTTTTGTATTGCTACGCAAGACCTACAGACATTGATAGACTCAAAAACACAAATGATCCCAGGATGTGCTGGATTCATGATTTTCAAGCAGGACTTCAATATTGGTACATAAAATATTCAACAGTTATCTCAGTATTCCTGGCTTAAACGCATAAATAACTTTGTATTTGATATAATGCTTGATGACATCATCCAAACATCTTCAAGTACTTCACAGGATTTTCACTGTGAAGTGCAGTGAGTGTATTTGTAGGTAAACACAGCAGCCAATTTGTGCATTGCAATGTCCCACAAACACACATTAAGCAAATGAACTTTTTTTAAATCTGATTGTTAGCAAGGAAGGACCAGAAAAAACTAGCTTTATGAATGGTGTCGAGGAATCTTTAGCATCCACCTAGACAGGCAGAAGGGCTTTGGATTACTATCACCTCATGTGAAGCACTCCCCAAGCATGGGAGTTGAGTGCCAGTCTAGACTATGTCCTTATAATGTTGACCCATGGCTTGAACTCCCACTGACCTGGAGTCAAGGGGGCTACTAACTCACCCAGACGGCAGAAATCTAGAAGGGAAAGGTCACTCCCACTCCTAAATACTGTCCAGTGAGCATTGCTGGAAGGTTTGTATTTCCCTGTAAAGCTGACAGGCCACAGATTGGTTACAGTACCTCCTCGTCCTCATCCTCCTCAGTCACCTCTGCAGTTGCGAGTTGAGATGCAGCTTCAAGAACTTCTGCAATATCTTGGTTTCCACCTGTGTCTTGCACTCCAGGTATAGGTGGGAATCCTACACAAGCACAACAGCTTTCACTTAATGCAGCTTTGAGATGTGGATGGTAATTACATAACCATCAGAATTAAGATTACACATCCATTTGAAGATTAGCACCAGCGCTGTTGCACAATTCATAGGAAGTTAATCCTCCGTCTCATCTACTCCCAGAACTCTCATTCCCTCCTCACTCGAAACCCACCACTACCTCAAAAGAGTTGGAAGAAACCACTGTGCAAGTCTTTGCACAACATAACATAACATGTAGGAGCAGGAGTAGGCCATTCGGCCCTTCGAGCCTGCCCCGCCATTAAACTAGAACTGTTGATAGAAAGTAACTGAACTTGTTTCACTTAGGACTTAGTTATCATATTAATTGCACTTCAACTTTCAAAACTAGATCACAGAAATAAAGATCCTACCATGACCCCCTATCCCCTTAGTTCATCACTTTATGACCCAAGTACTAGTTAAAGCAATAACAAAGCTTAAATCTTAAGTTCAAGTATCAATTTCAAAATTTCTATTCCAAATCCTATTGATTTTGATGCCAGTATTCAATTTGCAAGCTTTCTTTACACTTTTAAAACATCCGTTTAATACACACTTCTTTAATATCAACTCTGATTGTCAAAATTAGGAGCAATGGAAGAAACATTCACACACTTAACGCCGTGATTAAAATGACAAATGACATTCTGTCCATCTGTGACCAGGGCTCCCTTTGCCTCCTTGACCTCTCTGCTGCTTTCAACTCCATTGTCCACTCTATCCTCATCCACCGCCTTTCCTCTCACCTCAACCTTCACGGCGCTGTCCTTGATTGGTTCAGATCGTACCTCTCACACCGCCTGCACTTCATCTCCACAAACGGCTTCTCCTCTCCTCTAGCCCCCGGACTGTCTTGTGCGGCGTTCCTCAGGGCTCTGTCCTTGGTCCCCTCCTCAATATCTATACGCTCCCCCTTGGTGACATCATCCGTAGACATGAGGTCAATTTCCACATGTATTCAGGTGACACCCAACTCTATCTCTCTGCCTCCACCCTTGACTCCAGGACCCACTGCTGTCCTGACCGAATGTGTGTCAGACATCGAGCCCTGGATGAGAGCTAATTTTCTACACTTGAACGTCAACAAGACCGAGGCTCCTGATTGATTCCCGTCAGCACCTCCTCACCTCAGGCGCTGACAGCATCACCATCCATGGATGCACACTCCACCTCACTAAGCCAGTCCAGAACCTTGGCGTCAAACAATTATATGCCTGATGTGAAGGCAAATATAATTTTGTTGTTATTGTTAATATCATGAGAAACACTGAAGACTTTTCTCGGACTGCTTATTAAATGTAATCTTTAAATAATATAATGCCCTGAGAAAGGTTCACAAGTATAATGCTGAGTATTTTGTTACTGTACTTGAATAATCACTTGCACCAAACTTTCTCAAAATATTTTGCTACACATTTGATTCAAGTGCTCTTGTATTCTGGGGAACACAGTTAACTGGGAACCAGTGGCGTTCCCACTGACTAAAACTGATTGTTTAAAACAAACGACAGCCTGAGGTGAGTACTCGCCTGGTGGGATTGGGAGATCCGCAAAATCCACTTTCCTTCCAGCTTTATGTGCCCTGATGACATCCTGGTATTGCTGAAAGTGATGAAAACCACATAAGATGATCTCACACCTGATTGTGCTTTATCAGCCAGGAAGCCAAGACCTAAACAAGCGCAATATTACACAGAATTCCCATTGAGTACCTTGGCAATTCTCTCGTGCATCCTCGCCTTACGGTCATTCCCGCCAGCTTTAGCCTGAGCTGCTGCAGATTTGTATTTCTCCATGCGTTGCTGCAGGGCCTCCAGTATATCTTTAGGTGGTCTAGGGGGGCCTGAAATCACATGGAAACATCACACAATACTCAAACATTATTCAACCAAGAAATTTAAAATTCTTCAGATTATTAATCAGCTTTGTTAACATATTTAAATTAACAATCCTTGCATTGAAATAGCACCGCATTGGGTTAAAACGTTGCAAAGCACTTCACAACATTTACAGTAAAGTGTAGTGACTATGTATTTTGTGGGCAAACAATGGCAACCAATTTGCACAACCATAACAAAATAACATTACAAATTAAGACACTATGAAAAGTAACTTTTAGTCATATTGCCAGCATCTTAACGTGGAAAGTGAGAACACTGCAATGATTGTTGACCATTCTGGTTTTAATCTACAGTTCACACCATCACCAGAATGCCAACATCTTGTAATGGATTGTGTTTTTTTGTGGGGTGGTGAGGTGGGAAAGAAGAGGGAAACTTCTAAACATGGCAAAACCAAAGGAATTAACGGAATGGTTTAGTCCTGGGTTTATAATGCTACAAAACCACCTCCGGGTTCACGTGACTTTTAATAATAATAATTTTATTATTAAACAATTAACTCACCAGAGGAAATATTAAGATCTCGCAGCTTTATTGCACACACCTCAGAAAGCAACGTTAATTTGCCTGACAGCTAAATATAGGATATTGCTCCACAATGACAGTGCAGAATAGCATGCCAGATAATAGGAATATGTTAAGTAGGAGTAAGAAGCTTGGCAAAGTAGATAAGGAATCAGAGAGTAGAGGAAATGGTAGGAAATTAAAAATGTTATATCTGAATGCGCGAAGCATTCGGAATAAAACTGATGAATTAAAAGCACAGAGAGACACATATGGGTGCAATCTAGTAGCCATCACTGAAACATGGTTACAAGGAGATCTAGGGTGGGAGTTAAATATTCCAGGGTTCTCAGTTTACAGGAAAGATGGGCACTGAGGGAAACGAGGTGAGGGGTGGGGGAGCCCTATTAATTAGGGATAAAATAAAAGCAGTAGAGAGGAAGGATCTGAAATCCGATGACCAGGAGGTCGAGACAATATGGGTGTAAATAAAAAAAGGGCAGAAAATATTAATGGGAGTGGTTTATAGACCCCCAAACAGCGATCATAATATAGCACAGGGTATCAATCAAGAAATCAGTTGAGCATGTAGGAAAGGTAAAGCGATAATAGTGGGTGATTTCAATCTCCACATAGATTGGGAAAACCAAATTGGCAAAAGTAGGTCAGAAGAAGAGTTCATTGAGTGTATGAGAGATAACTTTCTACAGCAGCATTCCGAGGAACCAACCAGGGCACAGGCCATCCTGGACCTTGTTTTGTGTAATGAAACAGAGCGAGTTGGCAGTGTAGGTATTAAGAATCCTCGAGGGCAGAGTGATCACAATATGATTGAATTCTGCATTAAGTTAGAGAGGGATATAGTTAAATCCGAGGCAAGTATTCTGAATTTAAATAGGGCTAATTTTGTAGGTATGAGGAAAGATTTAGGTAAAATAGACTGGAGAATAAGATTAAGAGGTAAAAATGTAGACCAACAGTGGCAAATATTTAAGGATGTAGTGCATAATTCTCAGCGGTCGCATATTCCCTTGCGGAATAAGAGTACCACAGGGAAAGCAATTCATCCGTGGCTAACTAGAGCAGTTAGGGAAAGCATCAAATTAAAAGAAAAGGCTTATAAAACTGCCAAGAAAAGCAGCAAATCTGAAGATTGGGAGAGTTTTAGAAACCAACAAAATAAAACTAAAAAACTCATTAAGAGCGAGAAAAAGGAGTATGAGGGTAAGCTCGCTAGGAACATTAAGTCTGGTTGTAAAAGTTTTTACAAATACATTAAGAAGAAGACTAGTGAGGGTAAATGTAGGTCCACTTCAGTCAGAGATAGGAGAAGTTGTAATGGGGGATAAGGACATGGCAGAGTCCCTAAATGGGTACTTTGCATCTGTCTTCACCCTGGAAGACACAAAAAGTCTGCCAACAATAGAGATGCACCAAGGGATAAGGACAGGGAGCAACTTAGGGAAATTTTCATGAGTAGAGAATTGGTGCAAGGAAACTGTTAGCACTAAAAAGTGACAAATCCCCTGGTCCGGATTCCAGGGTTTTAAAAGAGGAGCTTATGAGATAGTGGAGGCCTTGTGTCTGATCTTCCAAAATTCCTTGGATTCTGGAACAGTCCCCATGGATTGGAAGATCGCAAATGTCACACCACTATTTAAAAAAGGTGGAAAGGAAAAGATGGGGAACTATAGGCAGTTAGTCTCACATCAGTGATAGGAAAATTTTAGAATCATTGATTAAGGATGTGGTAGTGCGGTATTTAGGGCACAATATAATTAGGCCAAGTCAACATGGCTTTACAAAAGGGAAGTCATGTTTGACAAATCTCATAGAGTTTTTTGAGGATATTTCCAGTAAACTAGATAAGGGTGAATCAGTGGATGTGGTCTATTTGGACTTCCAGAAGGCATTCGATAAGGTGCCGCATAAAAGGTTAGTCCAAAAGATAAGGGCCCATGGAATTGGGGGAGCATATTAACGTGGATTGGGGAATGGTTAACGGGTAGGAAACAAAGAGTAGGGATAAACGGGTCCTTTTCAGATTGGCGGGATGTGACTAGTGGAGTGCCACAAGGATCAGTCCTTGGGCCTCAGCTATTTACCATCTACATCAACGATCTAGATGAGGACATCAAAGTTAATATATCTAAATTCGCGGATGACACAAAACTAGGAGGAAGTGTCAACACAGAGGACGACATTAAAAAAATGCAGCGAGACATAGATAGGTTAGGTGATTGGGCAGGTAGGTGGCAGATGAAGTATAATGTAGGGAAGTGCGAAGTCATCCACCGGAGCAAAAACAGTAGAGCGGGTTATTTTTTAGAAGGGGAGAGATTGGAATGTGTTAGCGTCCAGAGGGACTTGGGTGTCCTTGTACACCAATCACAGAAAGTTAGTCTGCAGGTGCAGCAGCAATTAGGAAGGCGAACGGTATGTTAGCATTCATTATGAAAGGATTAGAGTATAAGAGTAGGGAAGTCTTGCTGCAACTGTATTGGGCCCTGGTGAGACCACACCTGGAATACTGTGTGCAGTTTTGGTCTCCTTATTTAAGGAAGGATGTACTTGAGGGGGATGCAGCGTAGATTTACTAGGTTAGTACCAGGGATGAAGGGGATGAGTTACGAGGATAGGCTGACCAATTTGGGCCTATATTCTCTAGAATATAGAAGAATTAGAGGGGATCTTATACAAACCTATAAGATCATCAAAGGGCATAGAGTAGATAGTGGGAGATTGTTTCCCCCGGTTGGAGAAACTAAAACCAGGGGTCACAACCTTAAAATCAGAGGCCAGGCCTTTCGCACTGAGTTGAAGAAGAACTTCTTCACTCAAAGGGCAGTGAATGTATGGAACTCACTACCCCAAAGGGCTGTTGACGCTCAGTCCTTGAACATATTCAAGACTGAGATAGATAGATTTCTTATTGCAAAGGGGATTAAGGGATATGGGGATAAGGCAGTGTCAAGTTATTAGCTGGAGTTAGATTAGAAGATCAGCCATGATTGAATGGCGGGGCAGGCTCGAAGGGCCGAATGGCCAACTCCTGCTCCTACATGTTATGTTATGTTACAACAGATCAATGATTTTTTTAAAAATGGAGCACCTTACCCTTTCTTCACCATTTAACATCTTAATCTGGATAATATTCTTTGAAAATAAAGAACAAAAATTTTACATCCAGAAAACCATAGGATTTAGAAGCAAGAAAATTAAACTTTCATACTATTGTGAACGTACTGTGTAACTGAATAAACAGTGGACATGGTGCCATGAATCCCAGTAAGACCACAGATCTGCTGCACATTAAACATTGGTTGAAGTGTTTATTTTTCTGTTTTACTAAAGAAAACAGACAACAACACTGAAGTTCTGCTTTCAGTTAACAGCTGGACATTTCCTACCAGATTCTACAGGAGTTTTGGGTTCAGCTGTAGACGGTTGTTGCTGTACAGGAAAAGCAGTGACTACACTGGGAAGAGCAGGTGATTTTTCATGGACTGCAGCGTCTATCAAAACAAATATGAAACTGTTACTTACAGATAATAACACAGTATTAAAAAAAAGCTATGCAACAGCGTATAAATATGCAGTGATCTAACTGTATTGACTTTAAAAGCACAGGCATTCATTTTCCATCTGACTAACTGCAGTATACAGAGTTAATAAATAGGACCCCATCCACAATAACAAACCCTGTGACATCAGTTGTCTGCAAGGTGGGGGTGGTGGGGGGAAAGCTGTACTCTGTGAGCGGCTAATCTCAACCAGTGTTTGTTTCAATAACACGTACTGTCTTACCCATTTAATGCTGCCTTGTTCTAGGCGCTCAGCCCTATAATTGTGACTCGAGCAATATACATTAGAATCCATTAAAATCTACAGCACAGAAACAGTCCATTCGGCCCAACTGGTCTATGCCGTGTTTTGTTCCACATGAGCCCCTCCTGCCTTTCCTCAACTAACCTTCAAGCATCACCTTCTATTCCTTTCTCCCTCATGTACCTCTCCAGCTTCCCCTTAAATACACCTACGCTACTTGGCTGAACAACTTCTTGCGGTAGCATATTCCACATTCCCACTACTCTCTGTGTGAAGAAATTTCTTCTAACTTCCCTATTTGATGTATTTGTCACTATTTTATAGTGATGGCCCCTGGTTTTGGTCTCCCCACAGGTGAAAACATCTTCCCTATGTAACCCATCAAAACCTTTCATCATTTTAAAGATCTCTATCACAACTTTATTGCTCACATTATATTTGACAAACCCACTCAGAACCTATGAGCAATGTGAATATGAGGAAAATGCCCATCAAATGCAAAAACACACACAAAAAATGTAAAAAAGAACAAAGGAAGATAATTGCTCATAACCCATACTATTTGGAATCTGAATAATTGCTGACCACGTTGTGTAAATTGGATACGGTGATGTCCTCCATAGGGACAGGACTCTATAGTTGAGAGGAAGACGATCAGTGCTGGTGATGAAGAAGAGCATCGCTGCACTGATTATTTTTTTTCTTTTTGCCAATGATACTTTGGCAATTCTACCATCGTGAATATAACTGCAGGAATCCAAAACTGCATCAGGCTGGTTAAAAATGCAACCCGTGACTGAAGGATGTTGAAGCCCTTAATGAACGGAAATGATATTTCAGTTTATACCAAAATGAAAGCTGTTTATTTGGGTGTAAAGCCAGTACAGATCACGGCTTCAATTATGTTTGAAAAAAGATTCACTGAGCACAATTCCTCATGTGATGTTTGTATTTCATGGTGAGTGTTTTGATCCTCTGAGTGGCAAACAGTCCCTCCCAAAGACTCAAAGTTTGGGGTCATTAAAGCTTTGATGTAATTAGTATAGACAGTGTACAGGAGCAGAGCAATAGCAAGTGTATTCATGGGATAATTCGTTACGCCAATCATATTAACTCAATGTGTTTGTAGGTTTAAAATATTTTAAACTTGGAGTCCTGTAGCTCAGTGGTTGGAGCACTCGACTCACAAGTGAGAGACCTGGGTTCAAACCCGACAGGGCAAAACCTTGGGCAAGTTTCCTTACTCCACACGCCTGATAATAATCCCTCAAGAAAAAAAATAACAAATTGGCCACTTCAATCCACGACTGTTTGGGGCACTGCTTTGCGCAATTGGCTGCCATGTTTTGCCCACAAATAAACAGTGAATTCACTTTACAGTATATTCTGTGAAGCGCTATATCAAATGCAAGGATTATTGAAGGATTATTATTTTAAGGCCTAAGATTATACATCTGCATTTTATTCTGCTACATCTTTTATTGCAAAAGGGTTAGAATACAAGAGTAGAGAAGTCTTGCTGCAACTGTATAGGGCTTTGGTGAGACCGCACCTAGAGTATTGGGTGCAGTTTTGGTCTCCTTATTTAAGAAACGACATACTCGCCTTAGAGGGGGAGCAGCATAGATTCACTAGGTTGGTTCCTGGGCTGAGGATGTTGACCTATGAGGATAGGTTGAGTAAACTGGGCCTATAATTCTCTAGAATATAGAAGAATTAGGGGTGATCTTACAGAAACATATTAAATTTGTACGGGGCTTAACAGAGCAGACAATGTGAAACTGTTTCCCCTGGTTGAGGAATCTATAACTAGAGATCACAGTCTTAAGATTAAGGGTCAGCCTTTCCGAACAGAATCGAGGAAACATTTCTTCACTCAGAGGGTAGTGAATTTATGGAATTCTCAACCCAAGAGGCTGTGGATGCTCAGTCCTTGAACATACTCAAGACCGAGATTGATAGATTTCTAAAGGATCGAGGGATTAAGGGATATGGGGATAAGGCGGGCAGATGGAGTTAGGTTAGAAGATCAGTCATGATTTTACTGAATGGCGGGGCAGGCTTGAGGAGCCGAATGGCCTACTCCTGCTCCTAATTCCTATGTTCCTAAGAATGCAAAATATAAAAGCAAACAATCTAGAAAATGACAAATGAACAGACTTTTACCTGGTGATGGTGGCAGATTACGAAGATCCACAGGTTCTCCACTGTTCAAAGCCATGATTACCGAATCAAACTTCTACAGAAACACAAAAAACAAATATTACCCAGAACTGAACACTTTTTATCATATAAATTTAAATTATCCATCACAAGCCCTACCCCATCTTCTGAAGGCTCAAATTCATACTGAGATAAAGTAGAAATTTGCTTTTCTTTCACACGAGTCAGCCAAGACATCGATTGCTGACAACTATAGGGGACTAAGCAGCTAAGACCAATCCTATTTCTCCCAATCAATAATAGCAATCAGAAGCAGGAGCCTTCGCTAATGTTCCCTTTTCTTGCCAAATAGGCTAAACACTAGTCTCCCCCCCCCCCACCCCACCACCAAATACACTGGTCTCTGAATACCAACAATCCGTATTGTTACTCACAACTTTATTGCTCACATTATATTTGACAAACCCACTCAGAAAAGTGGAGAAGACAGGTTTGCAGGGTTATGGGGAGAAACCTGGTGAGTGGGGTTAATAAAAGTCAGTTACTCTGTCAAAGAGTCGGCACAGACTCGATGGTCCGAATGGCCTCCTTCTGTGCCGTAACATTCTATGATTCTATGAAATATGAGCAATGTGAATATGAGGAAAATGTCCAGCAGCCACCAATTATTCTCCATTGACTCAAAATATTGAAAGCCCAAACTGTGATTGGAAATGCTTCTTCAACCATTAATTCAAATTCTACAAGTTCATTCAAATGTGCAAGTTCCGCCCACAAAATATAGCCAATTCACTTTATAGTATATTCTGTGAAGCGCTTTGAGACATTTGGATGATGTGATAAGGATTATTATTATTATTACAACACATCTGTACAATTCAGTAAAAGAAAGAAGTCTAGCTACATTCTTACTTTGCTAGTTTTCATGAATTCCTTAGCCTTTTCAATGTCTCCCCGTTGCTTTGCTTTCAATGCAGCCAATCTGTACTCCTTCTGTCTTCCAGTCAATAATGCCGTTGTATCATTAGTTTCTGCAAAAGGGTTACAAAGCTCAAAACAACTATGTACAGAGAGAATTCACAGTACAGTAATAAGACTAACTCAAGCCTGAGGTTTATTGATGAGACTTATTTGATGTAGTTCCCACTTGTGTATCACGTCAGTATGCTGGAGCAGTCAGGTGTGGATTTGTACTAGTTCCTCCCAGAGTGACTCCCGAATCTCAATAGCTCCTTTGGGAACAGTGCTGGATTGGGGGCAAGATACTGTTAGATAGAGGAGGAAATTGCTGTGGATTCAGCCGGGAGGGGAGATATACTTGATATTTGTATTCTTATAATAGAGGCAAAAACAGTGAGGATTATTCAAAATACAACTGAATCCATGGTAGGGTTCAATATTCTACTGGGATAATAATAATAATCCTTGCATTTGATATAGCGCTTTTCACTTCTTCGCGACATCCCAAAGCGCTTCACAGAATATACTGTAAAGTGAATTGACTGTATATTTGTGGGCGAACGCGGCAGTCAATTGCGCACAGCAATGTCCCACAAACAGTCGTGGATTGAAAATGACCAATTTATTATTGTTTTTGGTTTTGGAGGGATTATTATTAGGTGTGTGGAGTAAGGAAACTTGCCCGAGGTTTCGCCCTGACCTGCTGGGGATTGAACTCAGGTCTCTCGCTTGCAAGGCGAGTGCTCTAACCACTGAGCTACAGGACTCCAGGGATGAGCTTGAGTAGCTGAGCATCAGCTAACGTCTTTTTAAGAACAATGTTCAGGATTTTAAATCTGTTTTTCCTAAACAGTAACAATTTTACTGTACCTTCTGCCCCTCTGTTAAAGTTTACAAATAGAAGGTTTAAATGTGCACATATTATATTAAACATAAATCAGCACCAGGTTAGAAAACTATCAATATGGGAAATGTCAGCACTTAAATAATAACAAGAATAGGACATCTGACCAGACTGAGATAAGATAATAGTCCTCACCCCCCAAATACAGATCTACATAAGATCATAAAACACAACCCTCTCCCGGGAGTGTGAACACAGAACAATCTGCTCGGGAGTGGACACTGATCAATGAACTTGAAAGTTCTGCAGGTTTACATCAGATATTGCATTTTGTAAACGGTACCTGAGAGAGCATGAACTGCTCGATTATCATTCGTCCTCCACTGAGCAGAGCTGATCGATTCTGTCAGAACTCTAGTTGGTTCAGATGATGAAGAGACAAGAGGTAATATAACCTCCACAGGTAACACAGAGGTATTTGATTTAGGGGCAGGTACAGGTGCCTCAACCACTACTGTTGGTAAATCCTGATGATCTTTGGCCATTCCTTCTGTTGTACTCTCATCTTCCAGCCTCTCCACGTTGTCAGCCTTAGGGGCGGCAGCACTGATTTTACCAACAGCCACTGGGGGTGGAAGCTCAGCTTCATTTATCGTTTTACCTTTCTTTACAGAAGTCAACATAGTCTCTAATGTCTATTAAATAGAGTGAAATAGGAAAGAATTAGGTTGTGTTTGAAATGCTCGCACAACAACTCACATTTCCATAAAACTGCTGTCACAATTTTATCTATGACGGCTCCAAAAACAGATAAGGAAACAGAACTTGAGAGAAAATAGAAGTGACCCCAGCACATTCTCAGCCGAAGCTAATTTTAGCAACAAGATTAAATATTGGGCATTTAGAGCGCTCACCAACAATCACAAAAAGAAAATGGAAGAGTTAATTCTTTCAAACACAGATTAGATTGTTTTCTTTTCTGGAAATAACATGGTGGGATACAGGACACAGGTAGTTTGGGACATATGTGCATGCGACCGCTAGGAAGGTAGAAGATAGATAGTCTTTTTTCATATAACGTTTCTTATGTTGTTATGTAAAATGAGCCTTGAAAGTCACTTAATCACTTTTGTTTATTCTTGTTCAAACTCTTTGATGGAATTTGGAGAGAGAATACCAGTCATTGATAGTTTGGTCCTGTCACTAAATCATGGCCACAGATGGTGGTAATGCCAGAGAAGACCTGAGATTCCAACTTAGCTTCATGGCTTATAGACCAGGTGGAGAGGAGGGATGGTGGCTAACAGGACAGAAATTACTTGAAATAGATTGAACGTTTTTACCTTCAGACCTCGCTCGTATCTTCGTGTTTTCGATGTTTCTCCAGCCTCCTTTGCTTTAGATATTGCAGCCTTATACATCTGTATTCTCTCTTCCACAGTGCCTTGCACACCACTGGTAGCCTCAGCAACTATAATCAGCTTGGGAAAAGAATGTGAACTTCCATGAACTGATTTCATTTTTCAGTTTCCATTTAATAAAACATATATACAAAGGTATTTATTCTTAGCTTTTGAAAAGATAATACATCCATTTTCAATGAATATTTAGCCATCTATGCCTTGTAAATACTTTTACTATGAAATAATTATTATCACATTCCACAAGATTCTGAACAAAAGCATTCAACCCACCACTGCATAAAATAGATCAAAATTAAGTTCTAATTACTTCATGAGTGAAATGTTCACTCACTGAGCACCAATAACTTAGTAACAGGCAGTTTCAGTGTGATCTAAATATAACCCAGCTAAATGACCTAACGTCAGTGACTGTGAGTAGATTTACTCAGTACTCTGGTGGAACATTTTATCCATGACATAATAACTGTCTAACATGGAAGTTTGCTTTTGAAATTCCATTGACACTGGAGGCTTTATTCCCTGATAATCTTGGCTTCACACGTCACACTGTGTAAACCTTGGCTTGAACTAGTTGAAGAACAACTGTTCCAACATCATCTCTCCACTGCTGGAAACAAAGAACCAAACAGAGTGGCTTATCTACTGCTGCTAGACTAACCCTCCAGCCTGAGGACAAACCTCTGTAAAAATCTCATCAATGTCTTCAAAAGCGACTAACGAAACCCATTATTAGTATTTCATAATTGTTGATGTGTAAAAAACATTGATTTAGTTATTTATATTTTTAAACATATTTGTTTGTGATGTAGTTATGAACTGTGCACATTTCAGCTGCCTGTGGTACTTGGTTGACAGACTTCTGGACTTTGGTTGGATAGATTGATGAGGTTAAAGTGGAGTAGAATTGGTATCTTTGACATATATAGTACTTAGGGATTCTGTTTTTGGTGGTTGGGTCAAACATTTAAATTTTCAGGGTTTAGTTTTAGTAGTTTTTGTAATTTTTTTTTAAAAATTAGGTTTTTCAGGGCTTTCACTTACTCACAATGAGTTTCAAATGTATCTGTGCCACACAGAGGGAAGGGGAGTGAGGGGCTCTCTCCTCTGACAAACACATAATTGGATAATTATAAAAATTGCTTTCTTTGTTTGTATGAGGGGCATTTTAAATCAAAAATCAGAAGCCCTAACAAGTACTCTATCTGTAACACATTTACCAAGATATTCAAACAAGATTAAACAATGTCTTGTTTTTCTGTTAGCGACTTCCTCTTTCGCCTTTGAACCTGTAAAACAATGTACCATGTCTGGAAAGTTTGCAAATCCAAGAACCACAACACAACCCTTTGGCAATGAAACGTTTCCCTTTACAACGTGAAACAACTTAAGCACACTTTACCATCCTCGAGTGTTTATCCTTAAGATGAAACTGCTTGCATTTTGAAGGAATGTACTTAATAGTATACAATAAAACTCTGTTAAACCCACAAGTTTCGCCATTCATTTTAAACTAGTATTAAATCACACTCCCACCCCTCCAGAATGCTGTACCAGGTCGGAATGCACTGTACTGAGAAATTGCAACAACAACTTGCATTTATATAATGTCCTTTACGTGGGGTAGCGTCTCAGAACCCTGAAAGAGAAGACCTAACACTGCCAACACCAGCTCTGCTATCAAAGGGGTAAATGGGCAGCAAGGCAACCTGCTCCCAGGCCCCTCATCCTCAGTGACTGTGCTGTGAGCTCTGCAAGTTAAAATAATAACAGCTCTACATAAAATAATAACCTTCCCACAAACAACATGGACAGTTTACCTGTGGCTGAGAGACAGGAGCTGATGGCTGGTTTAGCGGCTCCACAAACGGTGTTTTTGTAGGTTTTTCCTCCTCCTCATCTTCTTCTCCAACCATTTCCACCAACTCTGCCTTAATGGCAAAGACACGACTCAGAATTCAGGCACTATGTAAACTGTTATACTTAGCACAACAAGCAATCTGCTGCAAAATACTATTTGCTTTTCAGAAACAAAGCACCCTGAATTAGTTCATAGAGTGAACTTGATGCACACAAAGCTGGGGTGGAGGAAAGACAACTCAAATCACGGTTAAAGAGGTATGTCTTGAGTGGGCCTTGAACAAGAGAAGAGAGGAGGGAAGAGAGGGAGTCAGGCAGAGAGAATCTGGGCTGGAGTTCCACCTGTAATATTCTGTGGCAATACTCAATTGATCTCATTGGGCCCTCGGATGGTTTACTATGAAGTTTTCAGTATTTAATTTAATTTTATCTGGAGCCAGGAGAAAGTATGCCCTACTAGTCTGACTCACCAAGAGCTCCTCATCATTTTCTAGATCATCATCATCATCTTCAGTTTCGTCCAAGTCTTTCATACAATTCTCTGCCATTTGTTCAATATGCTCCATTGGCAAAGGGGCTGTGGATAAATGCCATAAAGATCACAGACGTTAGACGATAACAAACAGAGTTTGACAAAGATATTTAACACAATAATATCATTATGCCCCAGCTGTGCCTGTCACATGCTGGAAAAACAACTTCTAGCAACCAATACCACACAGGCCAGCGCTGGAGCTAGTCTCAGGTACAGTCTGCAGTTATAGTGCTGTTATTTGCATTATTTATTATCTGTGCTTGCCTTATGGCATTTCACGTTGTGCATTAAACAAAATGTGGACACTTTAGTGTTCGGCTGCAGATGATTTCTCATAAACTTGCTATTTATTACTCAAGTGAAAATCACATCAAGTCAAAATGCACTGACGACTACCGAAGAATAAAAGGTAAAATTACTCCTGAATCAAAACCATACAGGAACAAGGAAATCATTTCAAGACTGCAGCCCAAGCTTGGGCCTTAGACATCTACTGTAAATTGCAACCAAAAGCAGAGAGAGAAAGCAAACCGACTCAGATATTAACCTTTTCCTTTTGGCTGTTGTTTAGTGACCGACTTCTTTCCCGTTAGTGCAGCTAATTCTGCTTCCAAATCTCCATCGTCACACTCTCCTTCTATATCTAACATCATATCTTCAGAGGAAACGTCCATGAACAGACCCAACTGAACCGGTAAAGAGAGGAGAAACAGTCTTTAGTGATGATAATAATCCTTGCATTTTACATAGCGCCTCATCACGTTGTTCGGACGTCTCGAACCGCTTCACAGTGTATATTGTGAAGTGGAATTTTGTATCGCAGTTCAATAAGATTCCGACATGAACGCCTTACCTACAGTGACTAACTAAACTACCTGGTTACTGAGTGAGTTACAGTCGGCACCACAAGTGGGAGCTCACTGCTATCTGTCAGAATTTGCCCTTATGAGACGAACCCTCCCGGAGGCCCAGTGCTGGCGATGGCGGTTCGGTGCCTTCCTAATGCCAATGGCACGAACCTCGGGAAGTTGATCGATACCTATATTGATCGTCTCAGAACCACAAGTGGTTCTCACTGACCGCGTTTCTCAATAAACCATCGCGGAAAACGCTTCTTCACACAACAAACCGGAAAACCAAAGCAGATGTCACCTGCGGCTCCTAAACCGCAGCATAAACTTGTCATTACCTCGTGCTCACGGCAAACCTCAACAGGACCACAACTGCCCCCTCCCCGCGGCCCACACCGGCCCACACCGGCCCCGCGGCCCACACCGGCCCACACCGGCCCCGCGGCCCACACCGGCTCTGCTGATCTCTGATCATAGACATTTCCTCCCCCCCTCTCCCCCCCCCTCCCCTCCCCCTCCCCCCCCCTCCTGTCCCCCCCCTCCCTCTCCCCTCCCCTGTCCCCCCCTCTCCTGTCCCCCCTCTCCCCTCCCCTGTCCCCCCCTCTCCCCCCCCTGTCCCCCCTCCCTCTCCCCTCCCTCTCCCCTCTCGTGCCCCCCCCTCCCCTGTCCCCCCCCCCTCCTGTCCCCCCCTCCCTCTCCCCCCCCCCCCGGCCTCACCTGTTTGGCGGCCGCTGCCCCCCGGCCTTTGGCGGCCTTGGCTTTGGGTTTCTGGCCAAACATCTTCTGCTGTTTCCCCTTCAACAGCGGCCCCGCTCTCCCCTCTCCTCTCCCCCCGGGGGGGGCCCGGGGCCCGGCAGCGCCGCGGGGGGAAGGGGGAAGTGATTGAAACAGCCCCCGGGGGGGGGGGGGGGGCGGCGGCTACTGTTTACTTCACACACAGCCCCCGGGGGGGGGGTCGCGGATAAGGAACTTCCCCGCGCGCCCCCACCACCGCCCTCCCGCCAACCAGGAGCGGATCAGCCGGAGATGCACAGGGACACCCGGAGCCCGGAGCCCGGCAGGTGGCGCTGCCGCTGGCGCTGAGGCTGTCAAACCGCGAGGGGCCGCCGTCTGTCTCCTCTACAGCGGGAGGGAGGGGCTGTGGGGAGGGGGGAGGGGCTGTGGGGAGGGGGAGGGCTGTGGGGAGGGGGAGGGGCTGTGGGGAAGGGGCTGTGGGGAGGGGCTGTGGGGAGGGGAGGGGCTGTGGGGATGGGGAGGGGCTGTGGGGAAGGGGCTGTGGGGATGGGGAGGGGCTGTGGGGAGGGGCTGTGGGGAGGGGGGAGGGGCTGTGGGGATAGGGGAGGGGCTGTGGGGAAGGGGCTGTGGGGAGGGGGGAGGGGCTGTAGGGAGGGGGGAGGGGCTGTAGGGAGGGGGGAGGGGCAGTGGGGAGGGGCTGTAGGGAGGGGGGAGGGGCTGTAGGGAGGGGAAGGGGCAGTGGGGGGGGGGGGAGAGGCTGGGGAGACAGGAATAGAAGGTTCTGCTTGAAGGTTAGTTGAGGAGGGGCGGGAGGGGCTCCTGTGGAGCATAAACACCGCACAGACCAGTTGGGCCGAATGGACTACTTCTGTGCTGTAGATTCTCATGGATTCTTCCCCGCAGACTCAGTGCCGCCCGCAGCCACCGGCGTCCGCTCCAGCAGGCCTGGCCCACCCCTGGTCACCAACTGTGGACAAACAACGACAACAGTGGCCACTTGTGGGGAGGATGATGGGTCACCAGTCCGGGCACAGGTAATGGTCACCAGTCCGGGCACAGGTAATGGTCACCAGTCCGGGCACAGGTAATGGTCACCAGTCCGGGCACAGGTAACGGTCACCAGTCTGGGCACAGGTAACGGTCACCAGTCCGGGCACAGGTAACGGTCACCAGTCCGGGCACAGGTAATGGTCACCAGTCCGGGCACAGGTAACGGTCACCAGTCCGGGCACAGGTAATGGTCACCAGTCCGGGCACAGGTAACGGTAAAGGTCACTAATGCTGACAGCAGCTGTTGTCCAGTTACCACAACAACAGTGTTTCCTGGTGGACTGAACATTGTTTTGAGCGATTGTCATTCACGGTGGTACTGTGTATAAACGCGTAGCGGAAGTACAAATTCTTTCTTACACGGAAAACAAATGCATCAGAGATCAGTTCTTCTGAGCAATTCTGAAATGTGCCTCAATCACAGTGTGAAGCAGTCTATTCAGCAGTGGAGTACCTAATCTGTCTCACCAGACGTTCATGCGTAGACACTCGCTAACAGTTATCATCGGTCAGTAATCAAGAGCTCCATTTGCCCCCCTCTCCCCCTCTCCCACATGGAAACAGAAGCTCAATTGTGGTAACAGAAGCTTCTGAGTTTCTCGAGTTGTAGCCACGGCTTTGCAGGTTACTGAGCAGCAACTACTTCATATGGAATAGGTCAAAGAGCCAACTCGGGCTGGCCTCGCGCCCTCTCCCTTCGTTGGCCAAAAACAGTATGCAGGACGAGAGAGTAATTCAGTCACGAGGTACAGTTGAAGATTTAGATTTAGTTTGCAGACATGGGGATCCAATTTTAATAGTTATAATAACAGTTATGGGATTGCACGGGGTTTATATTCCGTTTTTTTAAAAAAGTGAAATCGCTACAAAGCAGATTTGAGATCTTTATTACCCAAAATGTCTAAAATATAATTTGAACATAAACTTAGAACTATAAAATTAGAAACTTAAAACATTAAAAACATGTTGTCCCAACATGTAACAGAAACACCTTAAATCCCGTTAAAAACAGGGTTTCATAACTGCAGGATTAAAACAGCAATGTATAATAATTAAGCACATTGTGCACTGTACATTTCACATGGAACATCACTTATTTAACGTAAATGAAACCTCGGCTCTTTAACCAACCTGAGCTAATACTCCGGAATTAGGTAAGCGGGATGCATCCTTCCAGGGAGAGAGTATGTACGCATTCCATTCCAACAATCTATCTCTGGGATTTCCATGTGTAGGTGGGATGCACGGAAATCTCAGCTTGGTTTGGAGATTCTTAAGCAGTGATGGGTTTCCGAGTGTCAGACACCCAGGGGACTAACCCCCACCACCACCACCACCAAAAAACGTAAATCAATCCTGTTTTAATGCATACATCACGTCATCTTGGCTAACATTCAATCGTACTCGCGAGTGAAGATCGTTTTTACTAGACTCAACAAGCAGCAGACGACAAGCTCCGAGTCTCATACAGACCGACATCGCTTCAGATATTGCTGGAGGCTGAAGACCTTCCATCCTGCACAGTCCCATGTGCTGCTGGTATACCTGAAATAAGAGGAGTAGTGGCAACAATTGACTGAATTGTACCCCACAGCTGAATATTCCTTCTGTGTAAAACTTGCATCGGGTTAGGAAAGTTAAGTGAATCACACCAGTACCAAGATCCCTGAATACACGCTCACAAAATGGTTGAAATATAAAGATAAATTACACAATCATTAAATTCTAGGTAATTCTACAGGTACCACATGGCTTTGCTTTACATATGCTAAAAGATGCAAATTGTAATAAATATGAAGGCCTGTAATGTTCGAGGTATTTTGCATTAAGGCTCCTACTCTTTCCTGTTGAGTTGGCATTTAGAATAGCTTTACTATTAATATCTTAACATCGGATGTGTCAAGCTTAAATAATGGCCTGTGTAGGGTTAAGTGCTGGAAACTTCTATTTCTGTTCCGATACTTCTTTTGAATGCCGTTGGTCAATAATAAATAAAATCCCTTCAAACAGCCAACTTGTACCTGGCGTTTGCCAATGTTCAAAACAATCTACGGTACGAAAATAAAATGGTATTGGTATTAAATTGGCAGTCAATACCACCCTTCTCTTTTCCCATGTTTTAAATCAACCCATTGTGATCACATACTGTATCGCAGAACACTTTATAGACAATTAAATCCCCACCTGCTGAAATGTGGCTTCCTCTACACCTAGCTGTTTGAATTCAGCAATGACGGCTTGCAGAAAGATTTGCTCTTGCACGGATGAATTCCTACCACACAGAAGACAATACAATTTACATTTATATGGTGTCCTTCATGTCGGGAGGACATATTGTAAAGGGAATTGACTGTATTTTTCACCCACAAAATACACAGTCAACTCACTTTACAGTGAATCCTGTGAAGCGCTTTGAGACGCCTCAACGATTCAATAAGGCACTATATATACACAATTAAAAGATCTGTTTAAATAGGAGGATAAAGCTGCTTTCAAACCTATCTGAAAATAAATTAGAAATGATTGTACTAGATTGTAAATATGGGGGTGGGAGGGTGGAAAGAAAGAGAATACGAGTTTCAACACTAGTCCAGAAACAAAACAGAAGTCTACTATATTCAACCTTTGTTATTTATCCTTTTCTACCAATTCAACTAGTTTAACAGGAGATGAGGAAATCAGCACTGGTTCATTGATATGTGAAGCTATCAGATTCAATGCAAAATCCAGATCCCCCTCCCCTTCTAGAAAATTCCAAGACAAGTAATCCAATCTTTTTTTGGTGGATGGGGAAGAGACATTAGTTCATCTGACGTCTTAATCCACAAATGGGAAGCTCAAACAGTTTATAAGCTGATTCACTTGATTACATTACTACTCATAATTTCCAGGCGATACAGGAAGTGAAACTCAAGAGTTGCTGACTACCCCATGATTATTTTTGGGTGACAAAATACAACTCGATCCACAAAAAGCAATAGATGAATAACAACAACAACAACAAGATTCCATTTATAGAGCGCCTTTCACGTCAGGAGGACGTCCCAAGGCGCTGCACAGTTGGGTCATGACCCGAGCAGGGGGAAATGGTCAGGGTGAGGGAGGGAAGGGAGGGAGAGAGGAGGGGGGAAATGGTCAGGGTGAGGGGAGGGAAGGGAGGGAGCGAGGAGGAGGAAGAGAGTCGAGAGGGGAGCTGAAGGCACGGTCAAAGAGAAGCTGGGTCCATGAATCGAATCGTAGAATCTTACAGCACAGCAGGAGGCCATCTGGCCCATCGTGCCTGTGCCGACTCTTTGAAAGAGCCACCAACTAGTCCCACTCCCAACTCTTACTCCGCAGTTTTGCATTTGTTTTATTTTCAAGCACCTATCCAATACCCTTTTAAAAGTTATTATTGAATCTGTTCCATCACCCTTTCAGGCAGTGCATTCCAGATCATAACAACTCGCTGCATAAAACAAATTCTCCTTGTCTCCCTTCTTTTGCCAATTATCTTGAATCTGTGTCCTCTGGTTGCAGACCCACCCACACGCCAGAGGAAACAGTTTCCCCTTATTTAATCTTTCAAAACCCCTCATCATTTTGAATCTTCCCAGTCCTCACCTTATAGCAGTGATGTATGGGGAGGAAAACATTTCATCGAGTGCCTGTGTCACATGGACCATCCTGACCATGCTGGATGCAGATTTCTGAGCTGAGGAGATTTCACAGATTTCAGCACTTCTCCTGCAGATATCCAGGGCACGTCTTGCATCGCCAGACAGAGCTGCCACCTGCCAATTGCAAATCCAGACAGTATTTTATTTATATATAGACGCTCTTCGCCCCCCAGTCCCTTTGCCTTGCCTCCTTCCAAGGCCCATCTCAAGACCTTCCTCTTCAACCATGCCTTCAGCCACCCTGCACATTATTGGTTGATCTAAGAGATCATTTCAATTTTACCCGATTGAGCATCTCTCACCTTTCTGGCAACCAATTGAATAACATCATCCTCAAAAGCCTTCAGCCGGTTGAGCCGCGATGCAATGATCTGCTGCAACTGTTTGTAGGTGTAAGGCTGAAAGGACATTCTTGTCAGGCCCTAAAATTTGGAAAACAAATGGATAAAGTAAAACATCCCATTGTACAAAGTACACCAACTTACCTTTGTGTTTCCACTCCAAAAGTATTAACTAGATCACAAACTTGCAATTTTAAGATCACAAATTAAGCCAATTTATTAGCAGCTGGAATCGAATGTACAAAGTGCTCCCTCAACTGCAAGAGTCTTTTTTTAAGATATCAGGTCTCATGCCCAACAGCTTAAAGCAATATACAAAACAGAATTACATTTGGATAGTGCCTTTCATGTCGGGATCGGGAATACTCAAGAGCATTGATAAAGTGTGGTGTTAGTACTCACCAGTCTGCTAGCCACTCTGTTTATCATGATCCTCTCAGGAAGATCCATTGTGTTGGCAATTGCCAGAACCACCAATTTTGCCTGTTTTCGAGTCGGCCAGTCAAACAGATTATACATGACGTTCTGTTTCCGAGTCCACAAAAGGTCGAGCTACGAGGAACGAAACACAGAGGCACTAAAGATCAGTTTGGGACACAGATGTGAGCTAAAGTGCACATTGACATTTGTCTCCTACATGTTACCCACAATTTGTTCCATTTCCACATTTTTCAGTTCCAAGTTTCAAAATAAACTGAGTAAGTAGGCTGCTCCGTGCTTCCCGCCTTTCATATCAGGAGGATGTCTCAAAGCGCTTCACAGGATACAATACAAAATGACATTTACACAACGCTGTTCACGTCGGGAGGACGTCCATGGATTGGATATGAGTGTAGTGTATTGTGTTGGCAAACTGAAATAATCACAACTTGATTACTCATGTATTGAGAATTGTCACCTGGGTTTAAACTTTATAAATGTCCAATGAGGTATGAGCTTTTTTTTGCACATTTTTTAAAAAAGTGAAAAATATTGATAGGAGTTCTGGGAAAGCAAACCAGAATGCACGATACGGGAGGCATTCAATAACAACTCGCATCTATATAACGCCCTTCACACGGTCCAACACCTTATTTAACATAGTTATCCAAGGACCATGATTCCCTGATACCCTTATTGGATACCCTGATTCCCTGGCCAAGTGCTCAATGCGGGGAATATCCTGGTTAGTGATGTATTGTAACACTATTTCTTCAGCTATTACAGTTCTCACCTCATCCACCAGAAGCACTGTAGTCTCCCGCTTTGCAGCGGGAGTACTAAATCTCTTCTCCAGTAGAGCAGCTGCATGGTCTGCCGTCGCTTTCTGTCCAGTCAATAACTACAGAAACAGTAAAAAAAAGAAAGTATTGTTGATGCATTTGCCTGGAATCGAAGTCTAATGCAACAATATGGATAACAATCTCAGCGCTTTGGGATGTCCTCCCGACGTGAAAGGAGCTCTATAAATATAATTCTGTTGTTGTTGATAGATGTGTGTTTCAAGAATTACAAGTTGCAATCTTGCTCCCAATGGTTCGAGCAGTAAATCCTCTGCCTCGATGTGCAGCCACTGTTCTGTGCCAAGTTATTGGATCTCAGTTAGAGCAAAGATAAGTGTTTTTGGGGGAAGTATGAGTGAGAGTGACAGAGCAAAAGAATTTCAGTCAAGAAAATTGCTCCTGACTGCTTTTAAAACATTTGGGACATTTCAGACCTGGACAATATAATAATTCTTGCATTTGCTAGAGAGCATTTCACATCAGGAGATCTCAAAGCGCTTCATAGAATATATTGTATAGTGTAGCAATTGTGTATTTTGTAGACAAACACCAATTTGTGCACAGCAATGTCCCACAAACAGCCATGATGAGATGACCAATTTCAGTTGGGATATAGTTAGCTAGATTATCTCGAGAAAAACTCCCTTCGTATAGACCAGCAAGTCCAACGCCTTCTGGTCTATGTAAGTTTAGTGATGTACACAACGCAGTAGGGGTGGCAGATGGAATTGGATCCAAACTCCATTGTATAGATTTTTAACCCAGTAAATTCTTACCTTCAGAATCTGTACATAGGCCTGGTGAGGATCGGTCAGCTTCATCCCATTGATCTCTATGAACTGGAAGATGGGGAGCTCCTCCTGTTCTGCTGCGTGGCTTAGACATCGCATCACCTCGTGGACCGTGGCTGTTTTTCCTGTTCCTGGAACCCCAGAAATATACATGCACCTGCAAAAGGCAACATGCATTTATATAGCGCCTTTCACACAGTCTCGCAGCGCTGAAGTGAAAATACAGGGAAAATAAATAGAAGCAATGATGCCTTTTAACAAAGAAAGTTTCTCGTACCCCCCGGTGCCATCAATGACTTTGCTCTCTATAAAGTTGTAGACATCCTGAAACTCCTGTTCTCTACAGGGCAGAGACTCTGGCACTGCTGACACGTGTAATCTGGGAAATAAAATGAAATATGTAGGTCAGGAAGAGTCAACTGGAAGCTTAGGTTCTCAAGTGTTTAAAGGAGCATCTATTAGAACAACTAATACCTGGCCCTGGCCTCTTCTAACACGCTGACTGGCTTGGTGGCTGGCTGCCTCCTGCTGGGAATGGCTGGGATGGGGTGATGCGGTGTTCCTGGCGACTTGGGTGTTCTTGATGAAGACTTCCAAGTGATTGTTAAAGAGAAGGAAATAAATAAAACGGTTGTGAATGGTGTTTAAGAAACAACTGGAGATTCCAAAGCAGAGATCTATAGTTTGATTATTCATTTGGAAACAGAAGGTAAATAATGTTAAATGCAAACTTGATCAGCGATGGATGATCTGGTTGTTACACAAATCCTAGTGTTTATTTTAATAATCCAAGTTTAGTTCCCCCAAAAGTTTTTTGAAAAACAACCATGAACAAAATGGGCCAGAATGGCCTTCTACTGCGCTGTAAACATTCAACAACAACAACAAGATTCCATTTATAAAGCGCCTTTCACGTCAGGAGGACGTCCCAAGGCGCTGCACAGTTGGGTCATGACCCGAGCAGGGGGGAAATGGTCAGGGTGAGGGGAGGGAAGGGAGGGAGCGAGGAGGGGGGAAATGGTGAGGGGAGGGAAGGGAGGGAGTGAGGAGGGGGTAGAGAGTCGAGAGGGGAGCTGAAGGCACGGTCAAAGAGAAAGGTTTTGAGACCGGCCTTGAAGGAGGAAAGGGAGGAAGCGGCGAAGGCACTGGGGGATGGAGTTCCAGAGCCTCGGGGCTGAGAGGCTGAAGGCCTCCGGGTCTGGCCTCCTACTCGTCTTCCGCTTCACCCTCGGCGACCGTGCTGAGGCTCTGGAACTCCCTTCCTCACCCCCTTCCCCTCGCCCCTTCTCTTCCTATTTTCAGGTCTCTGCTGAAGACCTTTCTTTTCAACTGCGCCTTTGGTCACCTTCCTCCCCCTCCCCCCGGCTCGGCCCCGGGATCTGTGAAGTGCACTGAGATGCCGTCCAGCGTGGAGGGCACTATATAAATCCAAGTTGTTGTTGTGACACTGTAAAGTGTAGGGACCATGTATTTTGTAGGCAAACGCAGTGGCCAAATTACACACATCAAAATCCCAACAGCCACGAAGCAAATGATCAATATTATCTGGAGGATTGTTAGCCATGAGACTTGGAGAGAAACTCCCTCATCTATTTGAGTAGTGGCTTGGGATCTTTAACATCCACATGAACAGGGAGACAAGACCTCAGTTTAACATCCCCTCTGAAGGACGACACATCCAACAACACAGTGGCTCTCCCAATGCACTGAACTGGAACATCAGTCTGGACTGTGAGATCAAAGGATCATCACTTATGAAGTTTGGCTCAAATCCTTCAGGTTATTGGAAGCAAAGAGCTGGAGTTTAAACTGTGCTGAAAGGGTGAGGGATGGGTGGAGAAGGATTTTTCATTGTAACATACAATTCTTGCTGATGTATTCACAGGCATCTTTGCGGTAGACCTTGGAGTTCTTGGAGTGGACTTCCTTCTAGATGCTCTCATCAAACTCTCAAGCTCTTCCTCCTCGTTCTCACTGCTACTTTCAGAGCTTTGTTCCGCAGCTGGAAGGAATTCATCCTCACTGGCATCTCCAACATCATGTTCATCATCTCTGCCAACCACAGCAATCACTCGTGTCAGGCACAATTGTACAGAAAATCACCGAGCCTGAATAATTTATTTTAAGAACTCTAATCGCTGGTTACAGAACACTTTAATCAGCACAGACCTAAGTAGCAGGTTTATACTGAATATGTTAAAGTGGCTCCTGTAATATCTCAGCATTCCAGGCAGTGGTACTGAGACAAACACATGTGAAGCATACGGAGTCCGTCAGCTGATAGCGTTGCCGACACTCATCATTCTGGCTCAAACCGGGAGAATCTGAACATGTACAGCTTTACCCCAGATGATTTCAGAAAAATAATTCGCAAGTTCACAATTCCTAAAGATTTTTAAAAATTAAAGAAATGTATAAAAATCCCAAGAACAGATTTCAGTGGCCTGAGAAACTACTGATGATGAAACCCGTTTGTTACTTCAATAACTTGCCATATCATTATTAATAATAATCCCAATAATAATAATAAATATTTGATATAGTACCATTCACATAGGGAGGACATCTCAAAGTAGGAATTATTGTTGAAGTGTATTTTTCACAAAGTCAACAATATGTGGATATTATTATTATATCACAAATGCTCTACAGTGAAATTTTGCCCCGGAATAGTTTCCTTATCAAATACAATCAAACCTACAAAACACAACCAAAACACTGAAGGAAACAAAAAGGATGAAGGATTGAAAAAACACATTGCATTTGTGAGACCACAACTTACTTTAGCTGCTCCTTCAAGCGCATTGAACACTGGCGTGCCGAGCTTCTCTGAGACCTTGGTGTAGAAATTATATTCTCGGCTTCATTTTTCTGTTCTTTTTTATTTATCCTGAAGTTAATAACACATTGAGAATAAACATCCTACTTTTTTTGTCGATTGATCCTGTTGGTCGGTGAGTCAGTGACTGGAGGACGTCAATTTAAAATGCAAACAAACAAATGGGGAGGTCAGGAGAATTAAAAAACACACACAGAGCAGTTAGGGTATGGAATGTCCTACAGGGAGCAGTGGCTGAGGCAGAATCCATATTAGCTTTCAAAGGGAACTAGATAAACACCTAAAATGGAGTCAACCACAAGGGGTTTGGGGAAAACGCAGGTAAATGGGACTGAAAGGTTTGCTCTTAAAAGAGCCAGTACGATGAGCCAAATGGCTTTTCCTGTACACTGTAAATTTCTATGTTTCTATTAAATTGTCACTATTGATTTCACTGAACGTGCATTTCTCAAAGTTACTGTCAGCAGCAGATCATTTTTTTTTGCGGGGGTTTGATGGTTATCACTGTACCTGGTTTGAGTTGTGGAATTCCTTTTGGGAGTTTCTTGGCTTTCACATTTGGACGTCCGTGAACTCTTGCTTCTGCTTAAAGATCCAGAAATCTCACTGTGCTTCCTTCAGAGAGATTCAGCATTTCAAATCAATCCAATAGTCAATCAGAGAATTTAAAATCAATATTTGCTGCAGTCATAGTTCTATCCTTTTTATTCTTGCCAACTGTTCTCTTCTTGTGTTCCCTCCTCTCCTCAACGTTTCAATGGGTATTTGTTAGGACAGACACCGGGAAGTATTTCTTAACAAAGAGAGTGATTAATAATCGGAAAGGGTTCCCAAGGTGGGTGTTTGAGGCCAGGACCATGGATTCATTTAACAAACAAGGTCAGTTTGCATGCCATCATGGGAAGGTGGGAGAGTCAGTAATCTGAGTCAAATGTCATCCAATTCATCCTTGTGACCTTGTGGACCTTGTGGCCACCCAGCAGCCCCCAGGCCCCAACTCTCCAAAGTGGTCTTTTTGTACATGTGAGCTTTGACATTGAACAAGTTACAGGGGTGGGGGAGGGTCTTGGGGAGAGGGAAGACCAGATCAGGGGAAAAGAGAAATCACAGCAATTCATCATCCTGCCCTAACCTAATAACACAGGACGGATCACTGGATAATGATAACCAGTTGATTTGTGGCTTTACCCCCCTCCCTAACTCAGGGCTCTGGTACAATCGCAAGGGCCCAAACAGCCGCCCATGTTGAAATCAACTCATTAAGCACAGCCTAGGATTTGAACTTGAATCCTGTACGACTTCATGCCACAACGTGGTGTGTTTAGCCACACGGTCACGAGGGGACGCTGTACATCCATACTGTACTTATTTGGGGGGGTTTCAACACGTTCAGCTAAACTCTGGACTGAACACATGGTAATGAAGGCACATTTGCCTGCGGAACAACCATTCATTTCTACTTCATTTTGATTTGTAACACGATTTGAGAAGACCCCGTGTCCAACCCCCGTGCCCGTATCCTGCCAAAGAACAGTTCTGCTCCCGAGTCTGACAGAAGGTCTAAACCTGAAACATTGGCCTCTTACACATCTCTCTCAGAAGCTAATCATCTGGTTTGGCATTCGAGTGCTGGTGAAGGTATGAAAAACGTTTGGCAACTTACTTGTGAAGATCAGTGTGTCCTTCGGTACTTCGAGCCCGAGTCGGAGAGTCTGCCTGATTAGCTTTCGAATTCAAACGAATCGGATTTATACAGAGAATGTCAACTTTGCAGTCAGTTCTGAGATTTAACCCCTTAATAGGTAAGAGGGCAAAATTTCCTGGGATCCCATTTCGTAACTTTTTAGAAGGTGAAACATCACAAGCTAAACCGTTAAAAGTAACTTTGCGTTTTGGAGTTTGTTGTTCTCTTGACACAGAGGCTCTGTTGTCAAAGTCCTCCTCCTCTTCATCCTCCTCTTCATCTTCATCATCATCTTCATCATCATGTAACAGTTCACATAAAACATCTTGTCCTTTCAGCTTGGTTCCTCGGGATTTGCTGGGACCTGGTGTCAGCGGAGAGGAAAGTAAGAGAAAAAGCGAAAAGGAAAGAGAAAAAAATGTTTTAATTTAGATTCCTGGAAATCTGTAGAAAAAATTAAGGGCCAGACATTGGTTCCGCAGTGTGGTTCAGTGTTCTTATGTTGGGGCAGGGGGTGAAGAGGAGAGAACAAAAGAGAGAAAATAACACAAACAGCTACAACAACGATAACAATAATCGCTGCTAAAGCTACTAATTATTATCCATATGAGTACTGTTAACCCTGAATGCCAAAGCCCTAATGGGTAGGGTTGTCCTAGCTGGACAAGTATCGGGAAAGCTTGCCAGACAGTGCTATGATGTGGTTTTATCTAATTAGACTCCAGCAGTTACCCCAACGCACACTCTGTGGTTCCCAAGCCAACCTGCGTCTAATACTTTCCAGGATTAGGTAATCAGGATGTGTTCCTCCAGAGAACATTGCATTGCAACAATCTACTTTTGGGATTTCCTGTGTAGGTGAGATGAATGGAAATCTCAGCTTGGTTTGGATACTCTTAAACACAGTAATGGCTTTCCGCACGTGTCAGACACCCGGCTGGGTATTTGTGGTGTATGACGTGTGGCTACATGAACATCAGGCAAGGATGGCAGTTGTTGGCCTCCATATTGAAGACCCTCAGAGACGTCCATTGGTTGCATCCAAAGGATTAGGTCACTCTCACAGGTTAGGCAAAGGGAAGAATTCATCAACCACGGTCTAAAATCTCCCATGTCTTAGAACCACGAAGCCTGACCTCTTCATACTAATAATCGCTGCATTTGATACAGCGCCTTATCACATTGTTAAGATGTCACAAAGTCCTTCACAGGATATAAAGTGCAGTGATTGTATATTTTATGGGCAAAACTTACTGGAGAGTTGAAGCCTCTTCCTGACCAAAGAGCTCTTCCCCGGAGTGGTCGCAGTTTGTCTTTGCTTCTCTGTTGAACAGGAATATTTGGAAGCAGAATTTTTCTTTGAAATGCTGCTGTGAGATTTCAGGTCGGAGACTCTGCTGTTAAACACTCTTCCTCCACTGACGGGGCTCAGAGGGGCCAAACTGCACAAGATGTCCCGTGCAACATGCTGTGATTTGGGAACCAGTTTGGCATCTACCTCCGATGTCTGCTTTGTGCTCCTCTTGAGCTGCCCTGCATGTGGGTTTCCATGAGCACAGTCCCTGTTCAGCTGGGGGGCTTCTGAACTCCTCCCAGAGAATGAGGGAAGTGGATTAAACACCTTGCCATTCCAGCTGAGTTTAGCAAAGAGAGTGTCGCTGCTTTGTTTGACAGAAAGAAATTGCTCATTTGGAGCAATCATTAATACCTGAGGAGGGCGGGGGGGGGGGGGGCGGGGGAGAAAGAAGGAACAAAAAAAACAACAATATTTTGTGATCAAAAAGGTGGTTTAGGATTAAGATACGAGCAAGTCTAGGATTTAAACATTTTGACCAGCTATGAAGTCATTTCTCTTCCATTTCCTCCCAGCATCATCCATTTCCAAATAATTAGCCCATGTTAGGCCAACAAAATGTGTTCACCTTCACAGTCCTGAGGATGGTTTCTGCACTGATCTCGTTGTCACAATCACGAGCTTCGTATAGAAAGATCTCCTGTGGATGGGGCTCCCGTCCTAATAGCTTTTGCTTGAACTTTGGGATCTCCTCAAACCGGACAAACCACTGCACCTCGGCGCACTTGGTGGGCTGATCTTTCGTACCTAGCACAGAAAACAATGACCTGTTAGAAAGAAATATGGAAAAAAAACAATACATACAATACAAATTTAGACAGTGCCTTTCTCATTGGTAATGCGTCGTGAGGATCTTAAAAGTCCTGGTTTGGCACTCAAGTCAGGGATGACATGGTCAAAGAAGTAAATACTGAGGCATCACAATGTCTAAAAAACTGGAGAATAAAAAAATTAATTAAAAAAGTTAATGTGCAGCACTCACTGATCTCTCTCTTCCTGCCCCACTCACAGCACCCAGTATATTCACTGAAGCGGAATGCACACCCCCGATCAGGTAACATGATGAAGTTTATTCATAGCAACAGGAGGCCATTCAGCCCCTCGAGCCCGTTCCACCATTCTATAAGATCATGGCTGATCTGTACCTCAACTTGCCCGCCTTTGCCCCGTATCCCTTGTTACCCGGACCTAACAAACATCTCTCCACCTCTTGAACAAGTGAATAGATTCAGCCATAATCCGCAGAGCCTTTTGGTGGAGAGAATTCCAAATTCTCACTCCCATTTGGGTGAAAATCCTCCTCCTGATTTCACTCCTAAATGGCCTGACTATAATTGTAAGTTGATGCTCCCCTTGTTCTGGATCCCCCACCACAGGAAGGTTTTCTCTTACCGCCATCGTATAACTTCAGCAGCTTAGCCACGTAAGGGCGTTCATCATCATCACTCTTGATTAAGATAAAATCTCCAAGCTCGATGGAGTGTGAAACAGATTCTTCTTTGTACCGTATACAAATTCCTCTAGAAAAACACAAGTGCGCAAGATCATCTTCGGTTTTCTTTCATAAAAGTGACACTGATTACATAGTGATAGTGTAGAATTATGTTGGGGATATTCTGTACGTCACAGAATGTCCTGTGAAGCGCTTTGGGATGTTGCCCCGATGTGAAGGGCTTTTACACCAAATGTAAAGATTATTATTATTATTACGATAGTAAATTCCCGATAAGTTCGATCCCTGCTTAACTTGTCACAACCCCTTAAGTCACCACGTTGTCAATATCCCAGACACATTTACTTATGTATTTAAACGCACGTCTGACTCGCGCTTTAGATAACTCATCGCTGAGCCCTTTTCCTTTGGAATGCCGAGTTCTCTGTGTATTATTATTCATCATCAACACGCAGCCAATCGAGCCTCTCTGTGTTCAGTGTGTCGCGCTCTGGGAAGCTGCCCCGAGTGATATATAAATGCAAGTTGTTGTTGTCTCGTCCTGTAGCAGCAAAACCCTTCGAGACGTTACCTTCCGCACCAAATGCATTTACCGCACAACAAGTTAACCAGAGAACAATTTGTGAGTAACGCAAATCATAATCCTTGCATTTGGTATAACACCTCATCAGATCAGAACGTTTCAGAGTGATTCAGGGCTTACGGTAAAGTGTAGTGACTGTGTATAATGTGTATAGGCTATTTCAGCAGCCAATTGGCATACGACAATGTGTCTCAAACCAACGCCTGAACATTGGGAGAAGATCCCTTCTCTTTTGGAACAGAGACACAGATTCCTGATCGTCCGCCCGAGTCGGGCAAAGGGGACCACGGCTCAACATCTCATCCAAAGGACAGCAAAGCGTTCCCCAACACTGCCCTCCAGTCACAACTTACTGACTGGGGGGGAGGGGGAGAGGGGGGAGGGGGAGGGGGCGCGGGGGGGAGGGGAGAGGGGGGAGGGGAGGGGTAGGGAGGGGGGGGAGTGGGGAGGGGGAGAGGGGGGAGGGGGAGAGGGGGGGGGGAGAGGGGGGGAGGGGGAGAGGGGGAGGGGGGGGGCGCGGGGGGGAGGGGGAGAGGGGGGAGGGGGAGGGGGAGAGGGGGGGAGGGGAGGGGCGCGGGGGGGGAGGGGAGAGGGGGGAGAGGGGGGAGGGGAGGGGGCGCGGGGGGGGAGGGGGAGAGGGGGGGGAGAGGGGGGGAGGGGGAGGGGGCGCGGGGGGGAGGGGAGAGGGGGGGAGGGGTGGGGGGGGAGGGGCGCGGGGGAGGGGGGGGAGGGAGGGCACTAAGTGCAACAGCCATCAAACATTAGGCAAATATTTTATATATACAAAATAAATCCCTTTAACGAGAGCTGCACCGCCCGAGTCACGGCCCCGGAGCCCTCCCTCTGTGTGTGTGTGTGTGTGTGTGTGAGGGGGCGGTCCCGGTCCCCGGTCCCGGTCCCGGTCTCGGGCTCTGTGCGGCGTCACTCACTGGTATTCGCAGGTGTGCAGTTTGCGGTGCGCGCGGCGGGAGCGGCCGCTCCAGGTGTAGGAGCGCGAGTCCCGCTCCCGCTCCCGGACTCGGGTCAAGTACTTCCTCATTGTGGCTCCGGGTTCCGGGTCCCGAGTTCCCGCCGCTGCCCCCGGACCCGCCCACAGCCCCTCCCCCCGGACCCGCCCACAGCCCCTCCCCCCGGACCCGCCCACAGCCCCTCCCCCCGGACCCGCCCACAGCCCCTCCCCCCGGACCCCGCCCACAGCCCTCCCCCCGGACCCGCCCACAGCCCCTCCCCCCGGACCCGCCCACAGCCCCTCCCCTCGGACCCGCCCACAGCCCCTCCCCCGGACCCGCCCACAGCCCCTCCCCCGGACCCGCCCACAGCCCCTCCCCCCGGACCCGCCCACAGCCCCTCCCCCGGACCCGCCCACAGCCCCTCCCCCCGGACCCGCCCACAGCCCCTCCCCCGGACCCGCCCACAGCCCCTCCCCCCGGACCCGCCCACAGCCCCTCCCCCCGGGGGCGGGGCTCACAGCCCAGACCCCCCTCTTGGTGTATGATGATTGATGGCTGATGTAGTGACTGTGAGACCCGGTGCGGAGCCTCAGTGACACTCGGACGCTGTCGGTGCCGCGATCCACCCACAACTACACAGTCACTTCACAGTGTGTCCTGTGAAGCGCTCAGAGGCGTCTCTATGATCGGGCGCTGCAACGTCAGAGACCCCCAACGATTATTATTATTATTATTGTTGTTGTTATTATCCGAATAAAAGAGCCACAGTTCCCACTCCGGGACTTCCGGTCCAACAATCCCAACAGTAACTCGGCCGCTGTGTGGCGGTGTGGCCGCTGTGTGGCGGAGTGGCCGCTGTGTGGCGGAGTGGCCGCTGTGTGGCGGAGTGGCCGCGGGGGGCGCTGTGTGGCGGAGTGGCCGCGGGGGGCGCTGTGTGGCGGAGTGGCCGCTGTGTGGCGGAGTGGCCGCGGGGGGCGCTGTGTGGCGGAGTGGCCGCGGGGGCGCTGTGTGGCGGAGTGGCCGCTGTGTGGCGGTGTGGCCGCTGTGTGGCGGTGTGGCCGCGGGGGGCGCTGTGTGGCGGAGTGGCCGCTGTGTGGCGGAGTGGCCGCTGTGTGGCGGAGGCGGAGGCTGAGGCAGTGTGTGGCGGAGTGGCCGCGGGGGGCGCTGTGTGGCGGTGTGGTCGCTGTGTGGCGGAGTGGCCGCGGGGGGCGCTGTGTGGCGGAGTGGCCGCGGGGGGCGCTGTGTGGCGGAGTGGCCGCTGTGTGGCGGAGTGGCCGCGGGGGGCGCTGTGTGGCGGAGTGGCCGCTGTGTGGCGGAGTGGCCGCTGTGTGGCGGAGTGGCCGCGGGGGGCGCTGTGTGGCGGTGTGGCCGCTGTGTGGCGGTGTGGCCGCTGTGTGGCGGAGTGGCCGCGGGGGGCGCTGTGTGGCGGTGTGGCCGCTGTGTGGCGGAGTGGCCGCGGGGGGCGCTGTGTGGCGGAGGCTGAGGCAGTGTGTGGCGGAGTGGCCGCGGGGGGCGCTGTGTGGCGGAGGCGGAGGCAGTGTGTGGCGGAGTGGCCGCGGGGGGCGCTGTGAGGCGGAGGCGGAGGCTGAGGCGGTGTGTGGCGGCGGTGGGAGTCAGTCGGGGATATGGCGAACAGGACCGTGAAGGACGCGCACAGTATTCACGGCACTAACCCGCAGTACCTGATCGAGAAGATCATCAGAACCCGCATTTACGAGTCAAAATACTGGAAAGAGGAGTGTTTTGGACTGACAGGTACCTGCGGCCTAGTGCGGCCCTGAGCCTGGGCCTCGAGTACACAGCAACCCGCCTCCACAGGGCTCCGGGGGGGGAGCGGGGGGGGGGCTCCGGGGGGGGGCTCCGGGGGGGGAGTGGGGGGGAGGGCTCCCGGGGGGGGGGGGCTCCCGGGGGGGGGGGAGTGGGGGGGGGCTCCGGGGGGGGGCTCCCGGGGGGGGGGGGCTCCCGGGGGGGGAGCGGGGGGGGGGGGGCTCCCGGGGGGGGAGCGGGGGGGGGGGGGGCTCCCGGGGGGGAGCGGGGGGGGGGGGGGCTCCCGGGGGGGGAGCGGGGGGGGGGGGGGGGCTCCCGGGGGGGGAGTGGGGGCTCGGCTGCTCTTTATAATCCTCAGTATATAATATAATATACAATAATGATATAAATACAATCTATAATAATGTATAATAATGTCTAATAACATAATTATAATATAGATATTGTAATAATATAATTTACTAATATAACATTATATAAATATAGAACATCTCAGACTATTGTGTGTTAAATACCGTTCTGTTCACCATCTCCATCTCCAGCAAAATCCACACACGGACGACCAAACCTTACGCAGATTTCCTCACTCCACACAGAGCCCCAATAATAATCCTCAAAAAAACAAAACAATAATAATTTGGTCACTCAATCCACGACTGTTTGTGGGGACATTGCTGTGCGCAATTGGCCGCCGCGTTTCACCCACAAATATACAGTCAATTCACTGTACAGTCTATTCTGTGAAGCGCTTTGAGACGTCGAGAAGATGTGAAAAGCGCTATATCAAATGCGAGGATTATTATTATTATTATTATATAACAGGATATCACCAGAGCTCCGGCTCCAGATCATCCCACTGGAGCTGTGGGGCCATTAATAAGGAATAACCTGTTATCAAAACAGCGAGTGGTTTCTCCGGAGTGAGTTGGCAGATTGAGACCAGACCCCCTCAATATCTTCACTCATTGTTCGGTCTGATACGATATGATACGATATGATACGATATGATATGATGCCACCGGTATAGTTGGATGTTTCATTGTTAGAATTACAATTTAACGCAAAAGTTATTTTATCGTTGTGCCTGTTTGTGCCACAATAACAATAATAATAATCCTTGCATTTGATACAGTGCTTTTTACATCTTCTCGACGTCTCAAAGCGCTTCACAGAATAGACTGTAAAGTGAATTGACTGTATATTTGTGGGCGAAACGCGGCGGCCAATTGCGCACAGCAATGTCCCCACAAACATCTGTGGATTGAAGTGCCCAATTTATTATTTTTTTTTCTTGAGGGATTATTATTAGGCTCTGTGTGGAGTAAGGAAACTTGCCCGAGGTTTCGCCCTCTGCCTGGAATCGAACTCAGGTCTCTCACTTGCAAAGCGAGTGCTCTAACCACTGAGCTACAGGACTCCACAATCTACCTCTGGGATTTCCATGTGTAGGTGGGATCCCTGAAATTCTCAGTTTGGTTTGGAGACTATCACTTGGAGACTAAGTGATGGGTTTCCACACGTATCAGACACCAGGCTTTCCAAACAAATTCACATTGCCACTGCTTTGTTCAATGGGAGGTAGAGATGTTGAAGGAAGGTCGTCCCTGTGATTGAATTGTGTAGCAGGAGCTGGTAAAGGACCATAATATGCAGATGGTGTTGCCATTGGTGCTCAATTCTTGAGCATTGAGCATTCTTTGTTGGCATTCTTGTGATGATCGAAGATCTTATGACTTATTGATTCACCCGAGTGGTTGCTCTACTGTGGACATTGTAATGTACAAATGCATGTCATGTTTGTGTTCTAGCTGAGCTGGTTGTGGACAAAGCCATGGAGCTGAGGTTCATTGGTGGGGTGTATGGGGGCAACATCAAGCCTTCGCCGTTTCTTTGTCTAACCCTGAAGATGCTCCAGATACAACCTGAAAAGGATATCATTGTAGAGTTTATAAAGAATGAAGATTTCAAGTAAGTATAATTTGCATCTTGCCTATTACTTATGAACTTGTGAATTCTAGGTGTTATTTGGTGAGGATTGGATTGAGGGCAATTGTGCTGAAGTATAAAGGCAGTGACCAGAAGCCTGGGATCACACTAATCTTCCCCGTCAAAGCTGTTTGGCGCAAAAGGATAGTATTTTCTCAGCTGTGTGCAACTGTGATGTGAAACCTATTGAGCTTTTGATTTGCATTTTTACTAATTTCTTTGGTAATTAAGGTTATTCAGTTTTGTAAACGAATGAAGCAATACATTCTGAATTCAAGCGTTCTAACACTTCCTGAATTAAATAACTGCAGGTACGTCCGGCTGCTCGGTGCCCTGTACATGCGACTGACTGGTTCAGCCACTGATTGTTATAAATATCTCGAGCCACTGTACAACGACTATCGGAAGGTGAAACGTCAGAGCAGAGATGGAGGTAAAAGTAGTGTAATAATCTTAAGTAAAAGTGGGATCTCTTACCACTGCTTTAGAAAATCCAAGAAGATCTCCAGTTTCAGTAACTACTGTGATCAGTTGTAACAGAGAAATCACATGGAAACAGCAAAGCTGTGTCTGTATTTATACTCCACCCTTCCTACATCCCTGTCAGACTGAAAGGCTGTAATGTTCTGATTCAGGCATACAGGCCAATGTCACATAGCTGTCTAATCTTAATTCATAAATAATTGTTTCAATCCTTAAATTAAAAACTTTCAAGGTTAAAAACCTAAAAATAAGTCTATTGAAAACTATGAAACAAACCAGTCTGAAAATGCTATGATTTTAAAACACTCATATGATTTTGATGGTGTACTGAAACTGCTTTAAAATTATTTGTGTTACCAAACTGGTGTTAAAATGGATAGAATTCACCCTCAAACTTAATGCATCTGAATTTAATGGGGCCTTATTAGCATAGAAAGGTTTTGCATAGAAGGGGGCCATTTGACCCATCGTTTCACCTGGGTTTTGAACGACTCAGCCACGTTGGAATCAGATGATATAAACCAGCACATGCTTTTCTACCAATGAATCATTATGAATAATAAAACACATTATAGAAAGAATCTTAAAAAGATTTCTGCATTAGCTCCTGTCTGACACTTGCTGTTTGTCTTCACAGAGTTTGAATTGATTCACGTGGATGAATTTATGGATGAATTGCTGCATGAAGAGAGAGTCTGTGATATCATCCTACCTCGACTTCAGGCAAGCATTATGCTCAACCTTCATAGTGAAAATTATGCGTGTGTCAGTGAGAGAGGATAACCTTGGGTGCTTTCAAATGAACACATGAAAGATACTTACCTTTGACCTAAAATTCTCCTATATACATTTTTTAATTTCATACATTTAAAAAAACTCAAGGAAGCAATTTGGTCTTTTTTGCAGATATCCTGAGTACCTTTGTATCAATGTTCCTTTAACAGGAAGTTACCTCTTCACTGTACTTTTGTATACATTGTTTACAAGAATTATCACTAATATGAAGGAGTTGCCAAAGCTACGGACAGACAAGGTGTCAAGAGCTCCCGGCACATACTGTGTCTGATGCTGTACTCTTTTTTTTACTAACTGCTCACTTACCTTTGTAGTTTGCATTGTGATTCCACGGATGGTGAACTTGACACTCGGTCGCAGACTGGTTTATAATTCACAGCCGGTGTCTGCTATTCTGTCGTCCATGGAGTTTATGGGTTCCCAATCATTTTAATGATGAACTAACTCCAGTCGTCCTCAATCACTCCTTTTGTGTTGATCACCTAGAAACGTTACGTGCTGGAAGAAGCTGAGCTGCTAGACACGCGGGTCAGTGCGTTGGAGGAAGATATGGACGATGTGGACACGAGTGAGGATGAAGATGAGGATGATAATGACAAGGTGCTTGTGTAAAGCTTTCTTTTGGGAGTAGGTCGGACTGTAGTGCTATTAGAAGTTGCAACTTTAAACTTCAGCATTCCTACTGCATGAATGAACACACGCACTGAAATATTTACACATTTCAATCAATCTTCATTTTCTTTCTTTTAAAAAATGCCAAACTAATTTCCTTGTCTTTCTGTTCTGTTTTATCATCTCCAGAATGATCGAGCACCAACGCCAGAGCCTCCGCGGAGGGGCTACCGGGACCTCGACAGACCTCGGAGATCTCCCTCACCGCGGTACAGGAGGAGTCGCAGCAAAACACCCAGGCGGTAAGAACCAGTGTTGTTTGTGCTTCATGTGAACGATTCAGACCAATGGCAGCAGCACTTCACTGATCCTCCTCACACTCACTGGTAAATCTATTCAAAAGCAAAATCTCCCTGCGATCCTTTCAAAATCTTAAAACAGTTTGTGGATCTGCAGCAGCAGCCGCTTGAAGTAAATTTCTGTAAAAAGAGGCTGCTGCAAAGAATTTACAAGAATTCACCTTCATGCACTGGCATTGTATAAAAATTGTGGTCCCTCAAGCCATGACTGTTTGTGGGACGCTGCTGTGCGCAATTGGCTGCCCCGTTTCACCTATAAAATAGTCAATTCACTTTACAGTATATTCTGTGAAGCGCTTTGAGACGTCCTAATGACATGTTAAGGCGCTATTTCAAATGAAAGGACTATTATTAAAAGATGTATAAAATTAACCAGCCATTTTTTATATTTTTCTAGACGAAGCAGGTCCCCCAAGAGAAGGAGGTGTGTATAATGCCGATGTTGTTTGTGAAGTTGTTAATATTTATGAGATATTGTTTACTTCGGTTTTAAACCCGTTTGCTGTGTCACTCCCAGCGTGTCTCCCCGCAGGGAAAGGCATCGCAGCAAGAGCCCTCGACGCCATCGCAGCCGATCCAGAGATCGTCGTCACAGATCAAGATCCAAGTCTCCAGGTCTGAGCTTTGTGTCAATCTCTGCTCTTCAGCGTGTGGGTCAGGACTTTTTTTTTTAATTTTTTTATAACTTCTACAATGATTCATTCTTGTCAATGAGATTTACAACACGGGGTTGTTTGAAACTATCGTTCAGTATTGAGACTGTTAAACTTTGCTGCAGTTTAAATGAGTGAGAATTGTTTAGTACTTAAAGGAACTTTTTTTTTTGGTTTAGGTCACCATAGAAGCCATAGACACAGAAGTCATTCCAAATCTCCCGATAGGTAGTGTATGTTTCCAATAATCTTGACAACCCAATAGGTTTACACAATTGCTGTGTTGTTACTGATCAATTTTTCTCAATGTATTTTTAGACCGAAAAAGAGTCACAAGAAAAGCCGCAGAGGGAACGAGTGAATTTGAAGATCTGCCATCTGAGATAAAACTGCAATGTGCAACTGCAACGGTGTATGTTGTCAGTTTGTTTTGTATTTGAGAGTTTTCTCATTCCAGAATCCTATTTGTTTAAAAAAAACTTTTGAAATGAAAATATTATGGCAGAAATCTTCTCAATCCTTTCTTCCTCACTCTTGACAGGACAGGCAGTGGGTGGGGAGGGAGCAAAGGGGAACAGATTGTTCATAGTTTTATATGATTTTACAAGTATTTCAATTGTCAAGAATAAAGTATTCCCCTTGATCTTAAATATGGGATTGTCAAATGTGGATTAATTCATTGTTTTTGATTTGCTTTTTGAATAACATCATTGATGAAGTGTTAAGATGGAAAGATGTGGAAATCCCCTTTTGATAAAGTGGCACCAAACCATGCAGAACAATATCAATTCTAGTCTATGCAGTCAGCTGGGGCAAGAGTTAGTCTTGTTCCCAGGTTTACTTGATGGGTGAGGGGGGGAATCAGTTAGTTCCAATCAGAGATGCTGTGGTAAATCCTGTGAAACACTTTTAACACATTTCATTGATGTGTCAAAGTGTTATATCAATTGCAAGGATTATTAAAAGATCACAATGCAACATCTAAGATGATGACCTTATATAATCCTTGCATTTGATTATAGCGCCTTATCACATTGTTGAGACATCTCGAAGCGCTTCAACCCATCTTCCACCCAAGCTGCTCGGAATCCGGGGATGGTTACCAACAGGTCATCGTTGGGCTGTTAGCTTTGAGGCCTTTGAATTGTATCCAGGATTACTGTACTGCGGAGGACAGGGGGCTTACCCTTCCTCCAGCTGCCCTTGGACAGAACATTTACACCATCTTCACTACCATGGCCTTACTTGGACCAGGGAAATGTCACTGGTGGAAAATGTTATCAATACTTATACATTTGTAAGAGAAAATATTCTAAATGATATGCACATGTTTCCCAAGCATCTATACACCACTTTGGTCCAATGATTTTCCTCCCTTCAGGGAGATTGTGGTGACAATATTAAACAGAAGCAACAATAAATATTACCAGCAATAAATAGTCGCTCTTGTGTAGTGTTAAGCAATTGCTAGTCTTTAGCGAGATTGAATGATTTACAGATCCAGACAGGAAAATATATACACAAAGCCTGGAGTTTTTTTTATCGATGAACCATTTGTATATACAGTATATACTTAAAGGTGCTAGAAAATGAGAAGAGTTTGATGTTTGCGATTAAAAGTCCGTTTCTACTGCTTTTTCAACTTTGCTTTAATTCTCGTTAAAACTTTTTTTAATGGTTTTTAAAATTCCTGTATTACAGGTTTCATCAGCAGAATGGTTTGACTTACAAAAAGGGGAAAATGCAGCTTTAAAAGTTAGCTGTAGCAAACGACTGGTACGAGGGGACAAATGTGGTCTCGCTGAGTAACTAAAATTTTTCTTACAAATTTGACTTCCAAAGTACTTGATAAAACTCCAACTTTTTGAGCATTATAATTCTCTGAATCCCACATTATAGCAAACGACCAAGTTATTAAAAAGCTAGTTTTTTTAAGTTTTAAAAGTTTTTTTGGCACTATATAGTTCTGCTCTGAATACAGCTGATCATCTTTAAACCATATTTTCTCTTTAAGAACCATATACAAAGTCTGAGGCGGCCAAAGTAGGAATACAACAGAGAGAAAATAAATCCAGTTTTTTTTTTTAAAAAAGCATTTTTCACAGTTCCATCAGCTTCAAACAAAAAAATGATTTTACCCCACCTTCAAAAATGGGAGGCATTAAAATAGATGCAAATTCTGTATCATAAGTCACATTGTGATGCATCACAACAAAAAAAACTAGTAAAAATTACAATCCGGTTTGGTCTATGTACAAATCATACAGTTTAAAAACAGTCAAAATAGTTTCCTTCTATTTCTATCCCCTTCCCTCCCTCCTATCCCACCCCCCCACACCCGCCGCCCCCTCCATCCCATAATTAAATGCTGTTCTCTTAACCGAAGACGGGTCTGGATTTCCATTCAAGTCACTTCTTTTGCTGAATGTAGTTCATGCGTGTTCTTCCTGGTGGCACGATTGGAAATCGCTGGTTACTGTGGATCATGGGACCTGGAGAATGGCAATAACATGTTCAAAGTGCAGGAGCACTAACTTACAACAACAACTTTCATTTATATATATATATCATATATTGATATTTATACATGGGGTAGGATCCTGGAGTGCTTCAATGTTTATCTGGTTAAAAGTTGTGCTATTTCAGCTAATTTAAGAGGAAACATTTTTCTACTGGATTGTTTCATGGGTGTGAACACAACTCAAAACTCTGCAGATGCAAGCTAATTAATTTAAAAAGTGTGACTCGGTTTCTAGGCCAGCCTCGTAAATATCTTTAAATTAATTCAGGAATACAGCAACATATACCCGTAAACCATCAAATGTTACACTAGGTCCTGTGGGAAGCATAGTTATTATAATCTTCACAAAAAATAGTGCCTAAACCTGCTGAAGATGTCAATATGCCAAGAGTTACCTGATGTGATACAATTATTTTTTCGAGCACTCTTAAGATGAGGGATAACCATGTCCATCTTTTAGAAAGTGCTGTAACACACAGTCATCAGTTGTCTATTGATTCTTCAATCTATAGTTATTTGTTGTATTGTTTTCTTCATTCTTGTGGACGTGTTCCCAAAATTTATTCAGGATTGTAATTTTTCAACCTATACCACTATTTGTCAGGCTCAGACTGTGATACATTACAGGTCTTGGTGAGAATGGATTGTTTAAATGTGGTCCTATTTACTCAGTCCTACTTAGAATGTAACCAGAGGCTTGTCCACGTACATACTGCATAATCTGGTTGAGTGAGCGGTGCCCCTCTACCAATGGGAGTGGAAACAACATATTTCAGAATCTAACTCTATTTTGATGTGGCTTCTGAGAACGGTTATTGTGGACGGAAGAGGCAGAAACAGAACTGTACATAAATGCACTAAAATATAATTTCCAGTTCCCCAAATAAAACTTGAAAAACCAGAGGAAATGTACAGAGGGGAAGCTTTGCTGTGACATTTACTGCACATAGCTTTGCAATAGTTAATATAATTATGAACAAAATGGCTTGCTATGATTGGTACCTTGAGAATAGTAGGGTTTGTTCTGCTGAGGGTAGCTTGCATTTCCCTGCTGAATGAAGTTCTGAGGCATTCTGTAAGGCCACGGTGGTTGGAAATGAGGAAGAGGATGCCGTTCCCAAGCAATGGCGGGTGGGTTTAGTTTTGCAAACTGTCCCTGAAAATCTTGATCTATATTTCAGCAAGAGGAGGGAGGGCGAAACAGTGGGAGAAAACATTACATGTTAAAATGAACATTAAGCCTAGAGCTTCCCTTCATTTTCAAACTATTTAGCACAGAATTCGTCATCATATGTTTAAACTGTTTGTCTCAATGGAAAGTGACAACGCTACGTGGAAATGCTAATATTTAGTTCCACTCTACAACCATAACAAGTTAATGAAAACTTTTAAATGGATGTTTAATAAAAAAGAACTTCAATAGTTCTATGTTAATGAAAATAGTCAGATAAACTATCAATATACATTTAAGGAGTTCTATAGTTTAGGGTGAAGTGGTTCAAAGTGTCCCTTGTAGGATTTTTTTGTGCACTATTTACACAGCAATAATTTTTGATAAGGATATAGTTGGTGACTTACCTTATAAACGTTGACTGAAAGTGATCAAAAGTACAACATAACTATCTTACACTTTGAATTATGTTTTCAGCACCTGGGGTCAGTGATTCCCCCAAACATGCTCCAAGGAACGTTACCTTTTCAGAGAAAAGACAATTTTGGATTCCAAGAACGATCCCTCGAAACCAAAGTCGAGGGAATCCACTCAGCCGGCTCTGCCCTTCTGGCTACTACCCCCACCACCCCCCCACCACCCATCTCCTCTTCACACCCTGGCCCCATCCACCCCTCCCTCCACACCTTCGAACTTGTCTCACCCTCCTCTCTCATCACCACGTATGAAACTGACCACCTGCTCCCTTGACCCCATCCCTACCCCTCTCACCTTCCAGCTCCACCTCCTTGACTATCTATTCAGACAGCACAAAACTCTCCCTGTCCTCTGCACCATTCCCAACCCATTAAAAATATCTGCCATCATTCCTATTTTTAAAGACCCTCCCTGGACCCATCCCTGCTCTCACACTACCGCCCCATCTCCAACCTTCTTTTCCAAGGGCCTGGAATGAATCGGTGATTCCCAGCTTCACTCCTTCCTCTCCCGCCACTCCCTTCATGAACCCCTCCAATCAGGTTTCCATGTCGCCCACAGCACAGAAACAGCCCTGGTCAAAGTGACAAATGACATTCTGTCCATCTGCGACCAGGGCTCCCTCTGCCTCCTCATCTTCCTTGACTTCTCTGCTGCCTTCAACACAGTTGACCACTGCATCCATCTCCGCACCTCTCCTCTCACCTCAACCTTCATGGTTCTGTCCTTGACTGGTTCAGATCCTAACTCTCACACCATCTCCACCAACGATTTCTCCTCTAGCCTCGCACTGTCTCGTGCGGCGTTTCTCAGGGCTCTGGCCTTGGTCCCCTCCTCTTCAATATCTATATGACCTCTTGGTGACATCATCCGCAGTCATGGGATCAACTTTCACATGTATGCGGATGACACCCAACTCTATTTCTCTGCCTCCACCTTTGATTCCAAGATCACTGCTGTGCTGACAGAATGTCTGTCAGACATCAAGTCCTGGATGAGAGCGAACTTTTTCAGTTGAACATTAACAAGACCGAGGCTCTCCTGATTGGCTCCTGTCAGGGACTCCTCACCTCAGGCGCTGATAGCATCACCATCCAAGGAGGCACGCTACCTCCACTCAGCAGGCTCCAGACTGTTTCACACACCCCGCCTCTGCTGCCCCACTATTGGCGGGCGAGCTTTCAACCACTCTGCCCCCATCTCTGGAACTTCATCCCACTGTCCCTCCACCTCGCCCTTTGCCTTGCCTCTCTCAAGACCCTTCTCAAGACCTTCCTCTTCGACCGTGCCTTTGATTATTCTCCTTCCCCCCTGCCCTCCACCCTCCCTGATCCCGACCCCCAGCTCAGATCCAAAACACTGACTGTCCAGCGCCTTGGGACGCCCTCCCAACGTAAAGTCGCTATACAAATGTAATTGTGTTTGTTTGTGTGTGTAAAACCTGAAGTCTTTCAAGATCCACTTCTCCAGATTAAGTCAAAAGGGTTGTTTTAAAAAAAACTGCACTGGGACAAAGCTGCTGAAATACATAGTAAATAATGACCCTTATACTGTAGAAGACTGAGCAATAGTCACCTCTTAACCAGGTTTATCTCAAGTCGAACATTTCCAATGCCTGCTTCTGTTTCTGTATCACGTCCAAATACAAGTTGCATCTCTTCCAAACGTAGTTTATATTGTAGATCAAGTAGATCACTAATCCGCAGCAAATTCACACTTTAAAATTCATTTACTATTTCTGTCGAGTCACCACCTGAAGCCTTTTAGCCACACAATCAGATCACATCAGACATCCACTGACTTGGGTTTAAGTGCTATCGAGTTGGTGGGTAAAGACGACATGACTATGATCAAGCATGCAGGTTACAGAGTGTATTTTAGAAGATAAGTCATAAATTAAAATAAACTTAAAAAAAAGAAAGATACCTGAAGTTCCCAGAGTGCCATTGGCCACCAGTGAGTTGCGAGTCATGTGATTGTGCCACTGTCCATCGTGAGGAGTGCTGGAGATGCCCAGGGGCCTGGCAGCAGGCTGAGCAAAGATGATACTGGGATCATTGAGATTCATGCTGCTGGCATTAGCTGTGCTGCTGCTAGGCCTCATGGGGAAGGTGATGCTGGGGTGGTTACCAGGTGCAGAGTGAAGCACTTGAGGCCAAGAGTTAGTGGGCATTGGCACCGGGTGCTGTGGTTGGTGTGACTGAAGTAGCCCCAGGTTGTGCAGGCTGGAATACTGACCTGGGTGAGGCTGAGCGAATGATAACAAGGGCAGCGGAACCTGGTGGGGTGGTTGAGGAAGCGTCTGTGCAAGCTTATTTTGAGAAGCGGTCTGTTGGGTCTGTGTGTGGGGAATAGGAGCAGCTTGAGACGCATTTGCTAATTGCTGAGGCGTAGATTGAGGAGTATAAGGAGGCGTCTGATGTGGTTCGGACTGAAAATTAAAAGCAAAAAAGCGATAAAAAAAATTAAATTGCAGTAAACGGACTTCCGCTATGTGTAACATTCTCTTCCTAAACCAGGATTTCTGAGGAGCAGGAAGCAGGGTGTTTACGGAGCTGAAGAATGCAAATGATTGTTAAATGGTTTATATATAAACACACTATCAAACACAAACTACAGCTAACACTTTACCTACAGACATTTGTTTCATTCTGATTCTCCTTACCTCGCCTAATATTGTTAGTCTCAATAGTAATAAAATGTTTCTCTAGAGTTAGAGCAATGTTAAATTGTACAAATGGAAAGCTGTAAGAGTCGAGTGTTTGTTGTTGAAAACCTTGGTCAAATTTGAACATAGGATCTACCAATTACTGGAGGAAACTCTGTGAAAGTAATATATTTCTCATAAGGTCAAAGAAAATGACTTACACATTCTGAGGGCTGCCTGGTACGTGGCGGGTAGTCTTGATGGTGATGTCCTGAATGTGAAGTTGAAAGCTGGGAAACGGGGACTGACTGGGCATTACTCACACTCCGGATGTTCTGGGGAACTAGAGACAAAAACAAAATGGATGTTTCCAGTAAAAGTGAGTGAAAACAGCAGCAAATTAAAAGTGAATGACCCCAAATTAACAATAAGGTGCATTTGTAATAGTTAAACTTATTTAGCTGCTTCGTCGATCTACACTAGTGCAAACTCCAATAACAAAAACAAACAGTGAGTAAACGTTTAAGCAACAAATAACAAAACAGCTAAATAAATTCAACAATACCAATAATGGGCTGCTTAAAGGACCAGACTTTGGATTTTTCTCCTCCAATGTGAAGCAGTGTCTGATCTCAGTCTGGCACCTCCACACGGTGGCACAATTGAGCTGAGAAACTGGTCACGTACAGAACAACTTATGTTAACCAATGTTCTAGGTTATCCACTTGAGCTCCACCACAGTACACCACCCGCTTGCCCAAAATGATCATCTTTTTAGTGATTGGGCGTATAGTAACTTTAATGCACAGCTGACCATTCTGAATTGCTTTTGCACATTTTAAAAAAAACTTTTCTATAATTTCTGCCACTTTTGCTAAACGTCTAATAAGGACTCTAATTTGCTGTGATCACTGGGTAATGTGGTATAGAAAGAGGAGGCTGATTGGCTCTCTAGTCTGGATTCAGCCACCCAATCTACACTGGAGGATCAGTAGACTCTCAGTCAGTGGTGCCATCATACCACACTAGGAACCCATGAAAAACAGATGTTGGCCAGGAATTTGGTTTCCAATTACTATCATCCCACACTGACGAGGACAGTGGTAGGCTCCGCCACAATTGTTCCTGTGATTGAATCCTTTATCAACATTCACTCTCTAGGCTGTCAGGCCAAGAATGGCCACTAGCAGTGAAGTACTGGGGGAATGAGAGTGCCACAGGGAAGGATAAGGACAAAACTAAATCAAAAAGTTGGAGTAAAGAAAAACTGTTAGTGATCTGGTAACTTTTATTAGTAATCAAACCTATCAAGAAAATTGGTCCATATTAAACAACTATGTTTAATTCCCTTACCAAAGTACTTATAATATTTACTTTTGATATAGTGCCTTGTCATGTCCTCTAGACGTCTCAAAGCGCTTCACAGAATATACTATAAAGTGTTACTATAAATTAACTGTATATGTGTGGCAGCCAATTGCACGCAGCAGTGTCCCACAAACAGTCATGGATTAAGATGCCAAAGCATTATCTAAAAATTTTTTTTTTTGGGGTATTATCCACGGAAAAGCGATCCGTCAATCAACTAACAACCGGGTTCCTACTTACTGTTAGGGAAGCAGAGGCGTGTGGATTAAGGAAACTTGCCCAACATTTCACCCTGCCAGGAATAGAACCCAGGTCTTTCGCTAGCGAACACTCTAATCACTGCTTTCTTAGATATTAAAATAAACATTTACTGAATTGAATTTGAAGAGATCCTTCTCTCTGGTATTGTTCACACTCCTGGGCCTATTAACTATCATATTTGCTTCACTGCACCACTCAATGGAACCTGCAATCGGATTTAATATAAAACCTCTGCAGGCAAAAGGTGAAAACGGGTTCTGCAAATTCTTTTGAATCTTGCTCCACCGTGAAGGTACACACACACACACTGTTCTCTATCCAAGAAGAACAGCAAGCCGTCTTTCCTGAAAAGCCTCTTCAATTTCTAGAAGTGCACTTTGAGGTTCCCAGCATCACTGCAGTGACACACAGTGCCCCTTCTGACCTTTGCTGACTGTACAGCCAAGATTGGGAAACACAGCAAGCCGGAGAATCACAGGCACAATGCCCCCCCCCACGCCCACACTCCCCTCTTAGTAACCAGGTAAATTCTTGTTTCCTGGACATAACAAGCAATTTTTTTTAAACTCGTGGAGCCAATTTTATAATTAATTTGGTATACGCACAAAATCAGGCAATACAACACTTGAGACTTTTAGAAGGTAATTGATCTACACCAGTGCAAACTCCAATAACAAAAACAAACAGTGAGTAAATGTTTAAGCCGCTATGCAAATGGGTAAGTTGGTCTCTCTCTCACCCTCCTCCCAGAATAGATTACTTGTGTTACCGGGCACATTGCTGTTCCTGAGACGAGTTGTTCTAAATTCTGGACAGTCTCTTCTCATGTGACCAGTGTCACCGCAGATAAAACATCGCTTTTCTCTTGGTTCCCTCTCTTCCTCTTTGGAATCCTTCTCCTCGTCTTTCTCATTTTCTTTTTTCTTCATTCTAAATGCAATGTACAGTTTAACATCATAATCCTTGAATTTAAGGAACAAGAGAAAGGCAGTTAGCTTCTAGTCAAAACTGCTTCTTACCTCCTTCGCTTTGGACAATCTTTCATGTAATGCCCAATTTTCCCACATATCCGGCAACATCTATCATTGGGTGCCAACTCCCCGTCAGTCAGTACTTTTGAGTCGAAGAAGTAATCCTTAAAAAAACACAACTTACACATAGAATCTTCCATCAATGTAAACAAAACTGCTACACACATTGTGAAAAGCTAATGTTCACTCAGCAACAAAAACTAATAAGTTGTTAGTCCTTCCTTGAACACAAATATTTTCTGGTATTTTTCCTTATCCTTTCTTTACATTTTAATAATAATAATAATAATCCTTGCATTCGATATAGCGCTTTTCACGTCGGAAGGACGTCCCAAAGTGCTTCACAGAACACACTGTAAAGTGAATTAACTGTATATTTGTGGGCGAACGCGGCAGCCAATTGCGCACAGCAATGTCCCACAAACAGTCGTAGATTGAAAATGACCAATTTACTATTGTTTTTGGTTTTGGAGGGATTATTATTAGGCTCTGTGTGGAGTAAGGAAACTTGCCCGAGGTTTCGCCCTGACCCCCCGGGGATTGAATCAGGTCTCTCACTTGCAAAGCGAGTGCTCTAACCACTGAGCTACAGGACTCCACATTTTAATCTAACCTGGAAGACATCATCTACTACCTCCAATCACCATTACACCCACTAGTCACTGCTGACTGTTTGTTAAATAAAGAAACAGCCCAAGAGTAAAATAATAATAAATTAATGTACCGTTTCCATGCCAGGATGTGGGTACACCGGGGTACCAAAGAGTTTGCGTCCGTTTATAAAAGCTTTCATAATAAAATTGGTCACTATAAAGAGAACAAAATGTGTTACAGCTGAAACAATGCTTTTTGAGTTTAAAACAATTTCTCAATCGTCTGAAATTAAATGGGACTTACTTTTCCTCGAGACACCGGCACCAAGATTGTGATTCAAATCGAAAGGATCTGGAAAACAAATTAACATTATTGTAGCTCGCTCAGGTTTAAGATTATCCAATGAGCCAAGTCACTAGAATTGGCACAAGTGTAAGATGAACAAAACAGAGTTAGGGACGTGAATTAGCAGCAATATGGGCATTGGAGACACAAGGAACAGTTGGAGGGACATCCTGCAATTCAGTGGAACATAAATTTATACAGAGTGAAATGACAAATTAACAGCTGAGGGAATAGATTAAATACCTTCGATTGCTATACATTTTGAAGTCCATTGTTTTTCGAATGTTGTTAAAAGTTTCTTCTGTCTGATGCTGATGACATGCTCCTTGAAATCAAATTCTTCAGTGTAGAACCTCAACAGGCCTAACCAAAGCTCACCCACTGATTCCCTGTTCTTTTGAAGCTCGGGCAATCTTTTCTTCTGCAATGAAAGATTAAAGCGGGCAGAAAGAGGTATTCACAACTATAACCGGGGTCCAATCACAATCAGCAGCGAAATAAGGTATTCGGAGCAAATTAACTCAGTAATACAAGTTCTGAAAGAGCAAGAGCGATCTTTAAGTGGAGGAGAGAGCAAGAGAAAGTAGAAACACTTCTAACCGATATCTAGTGTTAGGTTTATAATAATATCAAAAAAGCCAATAATTTGGTCAAAACACTTTTAAAGGATCATTTGTGAGCAGAGTTGGAATAGATTTATACAACACGGTGTGAATCAAATAATGGTCATTTGATTCTACCCCCCTAACCTTGCCCTCCACCTCTCCTGATCCCAACCCCCAGCTTGGGTCCAAATCCCTGACTGTCCAGCGCCTTGGGATGTCCTCCTGCCATGAAAGGCTCTATACAAAGGTAACTTGTTGTCAATGCCAGGTGCTCAGTTTCTTTGTGCAGTTGACAGCTTGCAACTACTATAACTGCAACATCATTGAGCTGATATGGGTGATAAATAATTAGATTTACCAGTTCATCAACATCCTCAAAGAAGAAGGCGTTCCACCCATCGACCATTCTCTGTGGCATCTCTTTTCCATCAAAAATCTGTGAGAGCAAACACAAAATTGGGTTTGAAAAGCTCACTGAGGGGAGTGGTGTAACAAGGTAGGAGGGGAGGACTATGAGTAGAGTGAAGAAATCTACTTGGTTTTGATAGTGGAGTCCTGTAGCTCAGTGGTTAGAGCACTCGCTTTGCAAGCGAGAGACCTGAGTTCAATCCCAGGCAGAGGGCGAAACCTCGGGCAAGTTTCCTTACTCCACACAGAGCCTAATAATAATCCCTCCAAAACCAAAAACAATAATAAATTGGTCATTTTCAATCTACGACTGTTTGTGGGACATTGCTGTGCGCAATTGGCTGCCACGTTCGCCCACAAATATACAGTCAATTCACTTTACAGTGTGTTCTGTGAAGCACTTTGGGACGTCCTCCCGACGTGAAAAGCGCTATATCAAATGCGAGGATTATTATTATTATTACTATTATAGGAAACCAAATGGGACTCCGGTGAATGTACAACTGAGGCGTTTATACACACACTAGAAGTGTACACTCTCACCTCCTGGAGGACAGGGATGACAGGTGGCTTTCTCTGCTGCAGGAAGTACAGCACCATAAGGACATAGGCATAGGAGGACAGGCTTCCTCTTGAGGCATCGCCAATATCACAACGCTACAAAAATAAAGACATATTTTTCTGTTAAGAAGATTACTGAAGAAAACCAAAAATTCAGGACCACTTTTGCTCATAAAGATATCACATGTTAAATAGGAGAAATTATCAATAAAGATGGTACTTCCTTACTCTCTTTTCAGCGCAATAAGTAAATTCATATAAATTAAAACTTTTTTCCTTTCCAACCTACTTATTATTGTAAATCCTGTATTTTGGGCTAACATTGGCAAGACAGGAGGAAGATTAGACAATTAAATTTACTGAAATCAGAAATGAGACAATTTACTAAAATCAGAAAGAAGTAATCAAAAACATAAGCTACATCAACTACTGCAGTTTCACAAATAGCGGAGCGAGTCACGGTAAGTTACCCCCCGGTCATATGTGAGTTAAAATGTATAAGTGTATTGAAGTTTTAGGATAAATCTATGAAAAGCATTTTTGAAGCGATTAATTGACTGAGATGAGTTACCTTGGCAAACACCTTCATGGTGTATCCTAGATATTTCACTCTGGGATCTATTGCAGCATAGGTTGCCAACATCCTTGTATTATGTTGCGCCTGTTTTTTTTTAAGAAAAAGTTATCTAACAGTTCCACATACACCTCAGATTGATTACCACAAATCATACCAAGATTAAACAAAATGAAAATGTTCGATTTATGAAGTAAACACTTCATTTTTTAAGTAATTGCCAAAATGACAAGCATCAGATATCTCTACACTTTTACATTGAAAATCACAGGACACTTACCAAAGTGTTGTACAAGCTGATATCACCTTCCAATCCACTATGCCGGTGTTCAAATTTTACAATAGGCACTTTGGCTGTGGTTATGGGCAAAATGTTTCTCAAGCCTAATAAAATAGAAGATTCCGGTTGCAAAAAGTGCTGAATACAAATGCGGTACACTCATTTTCTTATTTTTACTGCAAAACTCAATATCTGTGAGATAACATAAAATTAACATTGAAAAGCAGACCCAAGGATTCGCCTTCACACAAAGTCAAAACAAGGCTGCAATAAAACCCAAATGGCTTCACTAAACTATTGAAGGAATCTACAAGTTTGTCAAAAAGTTCTGACCCAAAACAATCTCTTACCTGGATGCTTCTTGAGAACTTTTGCTAGTCCTTCAATTATTTCTTTACAATTAAGTTTCTGTAAGAAGTAGTGTACATTTAAGGTGAGTGAAATGAGCTTTTATCAAGAGAATCTAGATAATCTTCACTGATAACAACAAATTCCCATTCCAAACTCATCAGGACAAACCCGTACGTTTAAGGTTAACAAACACCTGATTTCTCTATTCTGTGCATATTCAAAATGCAAAAAAAACAAATGTTTGTTGAATTCAGTGCAAGGACGTTAGAAACGGGTTTTCTGCTCCAAATCACAAAATAGTCTTGAGTTTGTATTTTAATGTTACTAAAGAGTTAGATACATGACTGGCTTTGGAAATCACATTAAAATATTGATCATTGAAGAAATAATGAGTATTGTATAAGAAAATGAACAGGTTACTTTCCAGAGTTTAACAAGCTTTCCAATAGTCTGTTCACAAGGAAAATCTCTCACCTCTGCCGTTTCATGTCCTTCCAAAGTCATACAGATGTCCAGGTCGCTGTCATGAAACCCAAATCCATTCTTTGATGATCCAAACAAACATAATCTGGCCTTGTCTACATTCAGCAAAACATGGTGAAAATGATATTTAACATGGTTGCATTTCAGCAACGCAGAAACAGAAGACATCAGTGCACACATTGCTTTCTCCCTTTTACAATAGAAGTCTCGAATATAATCCTTATAATAATAATAATAATAATCCTTGCATTTGATATAGCGCTTTTCACATCAGGAGGACGTCCCAAAGCGCTTCACAGAACACACTGTAAAGTGAATTGACTGTATATTTGTGGGCGAACGCGGCAGCCAATTGCGCACAGCAATGTCCCACAAACAGTCATAGATTGAAAATGACCAGTTTAATTATTGTTTTTAGTTTTGGAGGGATTATTATTAGGCTCTGTGTGGAGTAAGGAAACTTGCCCAAGGTTTCGCCCTCTGCCTGGAATTGAACTCAGGTCTCTCACTTGCAAAGCGAGTGCTCTAACCACTGAGCTACAGGACTCCACACTCCTTGTATTTGATGTAGCATCTCATTTTTTCAAGATGTCTCAAAGAACTTAATGCATCTACTCTGTGAAGTGTAACACACAGCAATGTCCTTCATGCAATCATGAAGTGATTATCCTCCTCCACCACCCTGTCCTTGAGTGGTTTAGGTCGTACCTCTCCCACCGTCTTCATTTTGTTTCCACAAACGGCTTTTCCTCCCCCCCCCACCCCCGCACTGTCTCGTGCTGTGTCCCTCAGGGCTCTGTCCTCGGTCCCCTCCTCTTCACCCTCTATATGCTCCCCTTTTGGTGACATCATCCGCAGACATGGGGTTAACTTCCACATGTATGCGGATGACACCCAACTCTACCTTTCCTCCTCTACTCTCAACTCCACGACCCCCGATGTCCTGACAGCTGTCTGTCTGACATCGAGTCCTGGACGAGAGACAACTTTCTTCAGTTCAACGTGCGCAAAACCGAGGCCCTCCTGATTGGCTCACGTCAGCGCCTCCGCATCTCAGGCGCTGACAGCATCAGCATCCAAGGCCGCACTCTCCACCTCTCAAAGCCATCAGGAACCTCGGGGTTCTGTTCGACCCTGAGCTGTCCTTTCTTCCTCATTCCGCTCCACAACTGGCACCACCTTCCATCACCTCCGGAACATCGCCAGACTACGGCACTACCTCACCCCTCACGCGGCTGAAACCCTGGTTCACGCCTTTGTCACCTCAAGGCTGGACTATGGGAACTCTCTCCTCGTCGGCCTTCCCGGCCCTCCCTCCACACTGCAGGTCATTCAGAACTCTGCAGCTCGTGTACTGTTCCGCACCAGACACCGCGACCACATCACTCCCACCCTCGCCCTCACCCTCACTCGCCTCCACTGGCTCCCCATCCCCCAGAGGATCGAATTCAAGATCCTCATCCTCACCCACAAGGCCATTCACGGCCTCGCTCCCTCCTACCTCTCCGACCCGACCTACTATCCCCTTACTTACCTGCCTGTACCCTCCGTTCCTCTGGCTCCGGTCTGCTCCACATCCCCCGCCCTAACATCGGTGGCCTTCAGCCTCTCAGCCCCGAGGCTCTGGAACTCCATCCCCAGTGCCTTCGCCGCTTCCTCCCTTTCCTCCTTCAGGGCCGGTCTCAAGACCTTTCTCTTTGACTGTGCCTTCAGCTCTGATCTCGACTCTCTACCCCCTCCTCGCTCCCTCCCTTCCCTCCCCTCACCCTGACCATTTACCCCCTCCTCGCTCCCTCCCCTCACCCTGACCATTTCCCCCCTGCTCGGGTCCCGACCCAACTGTCCAGTGCCTTGGGACGTCCTCCCGACGTGAAAGGCCCTCTATAAATGAAATCTTGTTGTTGTTGTTGTTGAATAACCAATTTTATCTGAGGGATAACTGTTACCATTGTAGAATTTCAAATATATAATTTAAACAAATCATCCTCCAACCAGCAAGATATTCCTGAAATGCGCCACCTCAGGGATATTTGTAATAAAATAGGTTTCCAAACAAATGAAATCTGCTTTACATTTATATTGATCAAGTCTAATTTGGAGGGCATCAAGAGATCCATACTTTCATAGATCAAACTCAGGTGAACACAATGTTTTTTCCTGAATTAATTCAATATCACTGATAAGCAGATTTCTAGCATTGTAGCCAAACCACGCTTTAGCAGGAGCCACTTGAGAAAAGTTCATAGGAAGCGCTATGTATGTATTTGTGCATATGTAAGTGCATGTTCATTCATTCTCCAGGGCTGACATCCCTCACCAAAATCCCCAAATTTGTTCTATTTAATTCATTTTCTTTGATCTTTATATTTCCTGCTCCGAATTTATATTGCCAGCTTGAATTACAGGCAGATGATCCACTCCCAGGCTAGAACATATGAGATGGACGTCAGGAGAACTAACCCGTGGTGAAACGCTCAAAGTTTTTACTTCGCTCCATGATGAAATGCCAGGTGTCCATTTGGAGCCACCCTCAAGTCACGGCTAAGACAACTTTTATCAAGTATAGAAACCTTGACTGTAAAGGACCAGTGTGTGATCTAGCCACTTACCATCAATTTCTTTACGAATAAATCTTTCCAACCTTTGTAAGATTTGTTCTCTATCCAGCTCCTCAAAAGGATGCGGTGAACGTTCATCTAAAAAAAGCATTTAACATACACATCACTTCATTCATTTTGTCTTAAACCGAGTCTCAATTTGCCCTTTCTCCCCACATTACTTATAAAGAATCGTCTTCCAAACTGAAATTAAGATTATCCACAATTCTGCGCAATCTTAACATTTTTAAGACAAAATGTGTGTGTGTGTGTTTTTTTTTTTACAGACTATGAATGGGTGACATGTTGGACTAAAAATGGTGGCACTATTGTGCTTTTGAAGCCAGCTTCCAGTCAATAAATCAATGTTTTGGAAAATATTAATAATAACTCTTGCATTTGATATTGCACCTTACACCTTGAAATGCTTCAATGAGCTTCACGGTTAATTTGTTGCTTTAACTCCATAATAATAGGATTATAGTATTCCAAATTATAAATATGATGAGATGATACATACCATAACATTTCGTACAGACTAGATTAAGAATGTGCTTAAATCTATCTGTCATAGGTGGTAAGGGTTTCAAATCAATCTTCTTGAAATCCTCTGGGCAGTCATTCTTTGAATGTCCATCTCGCTTGCAGATGCTGCACACAATGGTGGGGGGCTGAAGAATAGAGGAAAGGTTGATTCACTTCATATAACTAACCAGTAGGTTGTTAGTCTTGAGAGCCACACCACGATTTACACACATGACCCACCATGGTGTTTGTGATGGAACATGGCTGTGTGCATCGTCATATTATTATTAGAATAAGATTATTATAATAATAATAATAATAATAATAATCCTTGCATTTGATATAGCGCTTTTCACGTCGGGAGGACGTCCCAAAGCGCTTCACAGATCACATTGTAAAGTGAATTGACTGTATACTTGTGGGCGAACGCGGCAGCCAATTGCGCACAGCAATGTCCCACAAACAGTCGTAGATTGAAAATGACCAATTTATTATTGTTTTTTTTTTGGAGGGATTATTATTAGGCTCTGTGTGGAGTAAGGAAACTTGCCCAAGGTTTCGCCCTCTGCCTGGAATTGAACTCAGGTCTCTCACTTGCAAAGCGAGTGCTCTAACCACTGAGCTACAGGACTCCACTATTGGATACAATAGTAATAATCCTTGCATTTGATATAGCGCTTTTCACGTCTTCTCGACGTCTCAAAGCGCTTCACAAAATAGACTGCAAAGTGAACTGACTGTATATTTGTGGGCGAAAATATTGAGGACTCTGAATTCTCTCTGCAATCGGAGTTCTCAATGTCAGCCAAGTCATCCATTTCCAGGTATCTCCCCACAGAGATGGAGAAAACTGGAGAAAGCCAACCTGAGAGTTGATGTCAGAACAGAATATCCCACCTCAACTGTGGCTCATACACAGATAGTCGACAAAACATACATAAAGAGGAGACTTGGTCTTTGGAAAATATCTAGGTTACTTTTGGTAGTGTACTCCAGAACAGTGGGTGTTAGTGCACTGGAGACCAATGGTGGGACAGTGAATCCTGCACGTAAAGTTCACACTATCAACAAGGCCCAGAAATGTCACAAAGGATATTCTTCATAAACTTAAGACAGTGCCATATGGTGTCCATATGGACAATGTTTGTTTAAAATTTACTAAAACTTCAAGGTGAAATGTTAGGGGTGACAGAGCCCCCCCCCAACCCTCCACCCACCGACATTGAGAATTCTCCTCTCAGTTTTAGCAAAAGCAAAGTGAGAGAGTAACTAACTATACACTTTAAATGTTGATATCTCAGATCACAAGAACTTGCCTTTCCATTTGTTAAGATGTTTTTGTCAAAGACATAATGCAGTTCTTCTGTGTCTGATGCTTTCTCATAGTCATCTGTAACCAGGGAGTTAGGAAGCTCTGTTTTTTCTCTTGATGTTGTGCAAGTCTGTGAGGTAGTTGGAACACAACTGGCCGTGCAATGTGTTCCTGGTGAACGGTGTACTCCTAGTTTGCAGCTATCTTTATTTCCAGACTGGAACCTGGCTGCTGGCATCACATTTGCCACACTGTTGTGCCCATGTCCTGATGTGTTCATGTCTACTGTTAAACAACTCTCTTGAGAACCTGATGATGCCTGTCTTCTGTTGGATTGCTGCGCTGGGTCACAGATGGACAACTTTTCTGTGGAATCTCTTGCAGAGCTGCCCATCTCTGCTTTTCCCATTTTGCATTTAATGGAGTCGGCTGTGTATCCACAAGTGGAAGGTGAAGAACTCTTTACTGTCAAGCAATCCAAACCTTTTGTAACACTCGCAATAGATGCACAGCTTGAACCGGCAGACTGTAATGTTCCACAATCACTAATTCCATTCGTTATCTCTCCCGCTGAGGAAGACTTTTTAACAGCTCTCTCAGCTCCAGCCCCTCTTTGTGGCAGACAACAATTCATGACCCGTTCCTCAGCTTTTGCTGGCTTATTATTGACAACTTTCCCTTTTTTTCGAAGATCTGCTTTTAATTTGATTCCATCTTTAGTTTGAGGAGAGGCAAAATATTTATACGCAGTTCTAAATCGCTCCAGTATATATTCAAACACCATCTGGCTGTTCAAACTCCGAGCAACATTTCTCTTTAGTGCAAAAGGGTCTGTTTAAAAAAAAAACACCGTAATCAATATTTTTGCTTTAACCCAAAGTATATCTGAATAGAAAACGTGTTTTATGTTCAGTGATGCTATTATGCATTTGTAAAGCAGGTTTTCAAAACATAGAAACGGGAGGAGGCCATTCAGCCCCTGGAGCCTGTTCCCCATTCTATAAGATCATAGCTGATCTGTACCTCAAACCCAATTACCCACTTTGGACCCATATCCCTTCATACCCTGACCTAGCAAACATCTATCGAACTCAGTCTGGACTGAATTAAGTGGCGAGCATCACACCCCACTACCTCATGTACATCATGTGTGAAGTCAGGTCTGATAAAGACCCTTTGGAGGGATTGAGGAATCAGATCAAAATTTCAGTGCAAATTATTTTTGCTGCAGATGTATCTAGATAACCATTCAGCTGGTGAGGGAGGGGGAAAAAAACTAATCGCTAGGAAAAGAAACAGGAAGACCGTGGTGATTACTACGTTCCATTAATTTCTGGAAACTGGCTTTGAAAACATCTTGGACAAACAGTCAATTGGAAGGAATAACAGACAGCACATAAGGGCTCGTATTTGGCACAAAGTGACAAAAATCTCACTGGTGTAGTCAGAAGGTTCCAGATTAAAGCACATTGTTGGATGATTACGATACTCTGCATGGTAAACCCAAATGAAAGCTTCCCATTCCCTCGCATTTTACTAATTTCTGGACAGTTAACTTAAACGAAACCATGCATATGGTGCACTCTCTTAAGCAAGGTGGTAGATACTCAGCTGAACAAGAAAAAAATTAACTTTCCCTCTGCTTAACATTTGTACAGTCTTTGAACAATCATTTGTTCACCTCACCCTCAATGGCTATTCTCCTTTTCGGCCAGTTTTTATGCTCTCTCGATACAAGATCTTTTACCCGTATACAGATGACGTATTCTTCCAATGCAAATTCCAGTGTATAAAATTTCAATAATTCTAGCCAGAGCTGTCCCAGAGAAACCTGATGCGATGAACCAAACGTCAACGGAGCCTTAAAAAAAGATTGCAAACAGATGATTTATGAAAAATCTTCCAAAGTCTATGTACTTTAGAAAAGACAACACATCAGAAAACACTCGCTATAACAGAGAGAGAACAATCCCCTTTGAGGAAAGAGTAATTACTGTTTATCTTATAGCAACGTTCCGATGAACAGTCCAAACAGGAATATCCCCAAACTATGTTTAAAACAGATGCAAAACTGCACGTGAGAACATCTACAAAAAAAAGCAATATACATCACTTACTTTGCCACGTTTTTCTTTCATTAAATTACTTTGGTTGTTAGATTCAGAACTGTCCATTTTCTTGTTTGAAGATTTTCTGTGATCAATTTTATTTGCACTTTTGCCTTCTCCATTGTTTGCATTTTTTGTGTCCCCAGAATTGCCAGGTCTGTGTTCCCACAACACGTACTCAGAGTGCTGTATTCCCTTCAGGTGGTACTCATCAAGTTTCTTCATGTCAAAGCCTTCGATCTAAGATAGCAAAAAAGGCAAATAAACTTTGTCCAGAAGCTCACAAATTATTCAAAAACACAATTAATGGCATTTCGTACTAAGATTTGGTCTGTGAATAGCAGGGCAGCAAAATTATGTTGAGATTAGCATCACATAAGTAAAGTTAAACATTCTGAGGGAGTTTTGATAAGGCAAACAGAGAGAAGATATTTACACTGGTCAGTGAGATGGTAAGTAGTGTATAAATTAAGACTGCCAAAAAAAGGAGAGGTTAGAAAAATCTTTTACACAGAGGTTTATCAGTACATGGAATGCCGTACTGAAAAGGTGGGTGAAGCAAAATTCATAATAGCCTTTTTTAAAAGGGAATAAGTTAAACATTTCAAAAAGGAGCGCGGGTAAAAGAGTGTGGGGCTAAACTAGGTGCACAGGCACAATGGGCTGAATGTCCATCTTCTGGGCTGAAAAACGTTCTGAAACAATGTAAAGAAACAGTAAATATATCTGCTGCTACAACCCAAGAGAGTAGTAAATACTATGTGTGACTTGATCATTTTGAAGCTCGTTACACTTCAAATTGGAAAGCAAAAGATGACAAGAGGTGCGTACACATTAAAAGGAGACGCCATGCAGAGAAAACAAAAACATGCAGATCCTCACCCATGTCCCCAAGTAGGCAGGCAAAAGGGGCTCCTGTCTTTGTTGAAGAAAGAAGATAACCATCAATGCAAATGAATAGGAGGGAACGCCACCTTCTGCTTGGTAATCTATGTGACACACCTAAACAGGAGAAATTGATTCAAAGTTAGATAGCCAATTTAATGCATAGCACATTATGAGCTGAAATTTTCATTCTCTTAATTTACTGATAAAAGATTGCACGTTGCATTGTGCCCAAACCAAAAACATTAATCAATTAAAGAAATTAGATTTTGAGTCAGATATTAACTACAAATCTGTTTTGTTGCGCTTGACGTGACCCACATACACATTTGCTGCGTTGCATGTTTCCCAATAAATCAACAAGACCCATGAGGGAGATTTGGCCCAAACACACATACATAAACTTCTGTCCTGATGACAAACCTACAAGTAAATCAAAGCTAAAAATCTACATCAAAATTTAGAGAAAGAACCAAACACTCGTGAGCCCCAGTTGGCCTGAATTTGCTCACTGATCCGGGTCAGGTTGCTGGTTGCGAGGTGAACAAATATGTGTACTTCAAGATAATAGCCTTATCTTTAGCCGTGTAGGACAATTAGTTTAAAATATGAACTTCAATTATAATGACATTCAGTTAGCAGGCTGTAAATCCCAAGTATGTCTTGGTCAACTTTTAAAAAAAAAAAAAATAACATGCATACAACTCTGAGAAATATTGAAAAATTCTCAAATTCTAACGTGTTTAAAGATCAAACCATTTCACCCAGAAAGTACAACGTACCCTTGCCCAGTATCGAAATGCTAGGACGAGTGGGATCAGTCTAGGCTCCAGGTGAACTAGTCCCGCCAGTAGGTTAGTAGTTAGATAGGCCACATCATTTCCAGCACTGATTTTACAGATCAGACCACTGTAACCAATAGAGAAAGAGAAGCTTATTCTATTAAAATAAGGATTTCCAATACTATACTCCAACATAAGAACCAAACTTTCATAGCCATTTGGGCAAAAAATAAAAATTCCAATAATTAATTTTTACAGACCTCTTTACATCCCTGCAGTAGATAACTGGAACTTTGGCATGGAAATCAGACTCAACATCTGAATAGAAGGCTGGAAGAAAGAGTTATAAATATATAAATCGGAGCACAATTAGACAAGAACAATTGCAGTTTAAAGAACTTCTGAATAATGAGTAGTTAATGTTTTTTTTTAAATGGTCTCATAAATCTGAAAGAAAATCAATTCAAGACTAAAACAATTTTGTAAAAAGAATCAATCCTCTGCCGGAACAAATAGAACCATGAAATGGACAGTAAAAATATAAATATCCTGGTCCACAACACCTACATTCTTCACAATTACACCCAGAAATTCACTTATTTGATTGCATTCTCTGAGAGTAGTGTGCGTTCCAATAATGAGTCTACAGGAATCAGAGGTAAGTATTAAAGATCCCTCTCAGAGCACCACTTTAAATGGTAGGGTTAAAATCAAGCCCATATTTTCTTCCATCTCCTCAGAATCATTTTGAGGTCCTGGTAAAGCACGTGTTCACTGCTCCTCATGCAGAAACACCTTGCGATGCTCTCAGTAACATCACCCACAGCCACACAGTTGAAATGAGGAACACAACAACAACAAGATTACATTTGTATAGCACCTTTTACGTCGGGAGGACGTCCCAGGGTGCTGGACAGTGTACAGCATTTCAATTTACAGAGGTTACATTTCTGGCTCTGCCAATTAGCCCTGTACATCTCCCACCCTGAAGAAACCAAGACTCCAATCAGTCAACTATTAAAGGCAATAATGTGTACTTACAACTGTGTTTAATAATGTCCAGCACTTGAATCAAAACATCTGGCTGACTTAGCTGAAAGATAAAAATAAGTGATCAAAAGCAAACCCAATGTTTTGTAACACAGAGAATGTAATAATTGCTAATCAGTGTTAACATTTTGCAGCAAATTACACACCCAATTTTACGCCATTTTATTCAATTTAGAACCTGTTCAACATTTTTAGTGTAACAGGAGAATATATCACCATGCTGCACCAATAACTGCAGTTCAATATTACATTGAGAATGTTCCTTGTAATATGGATTCTGAAAACAAAAGGCCTACCTTCTCAAGCAGGGACATACAAACCAGAACTCTGCAGCAAACTTCATAAAAGCTTTGATAGCTTCTGGCCTGTACATTAGGTTTACTTCCCATTTACTCCTAGTCTGTTCCTATAAAGGCCCAAAATCTTTGTCCCTCCCAATAGATTCAGTTCTCACCCTCGCCCAGGTGTGGGAAGGATGGAAAAGTCAGAGCTGGTCTCAATTACCTCTCAGCAGCGGGTTTAAAAGTGGTTTTGAAATATGTCTGAGAAAAAGTTCAGTTTAGGATAGAAATTCATTTTAAGTCAATTTGTAGCATTGCGGATCACTTAGTGGCAGACAAAGGCCATTATCTCTGAATATCACAAAGCATATAATGAACAACACAGTGAAAAGATTATTCATTTCCTTTATAAAAGCGGAATCAACATTTATCTTTACCAAAATCATTAAAGATGGAAAATAGACTCAGCAAAATGATCATTAAATTTTTCAACCACTCCACTCAAATGGAGTGAGGAAACTTCCCAATGTTTCGGTCTGCCAGGAATCAAATCCAGGTCTTGTCGCTTGAGAGGCGAGTGCTCTAACTGCTAAACTGCAGTACACAAGACCTGTATTGACTACTCTTTGACTATCAAATCAATGGTGGCTATACTTACTTGTTCAGTGAATGTACTGGAATCCAGATGAATGTAAGGCATATTAAAAATACTTTAACCTCGAAGCAACTACAATCTGACATTTGTCCAACTTGTGCATGTATAATAATAGTCAATAAAATAATCACATTTTGATTTACTTTTGTACTGTATTGCATATTACTTACATGGGAAGGGAATATTACATCAATGTTGATGTCACTAGTTTTGAAAGCCAGCCTTGTGAGACAAGAGCCATACAGCCTCAATGAGCAATCTATAAAAAAAAGCAGCAAAGATCAGAACAGATTCCCCTTGTCTTTTAGAAGGCATAGATGTAGTGCATCAAAAACCCTCTGTGCTGTACATAGCCAAAGGCATATGGACAGATCAAATCTGATGACAAACCCTGTTGCTGATATGTCACGCCAGAATTGGAAGCATAGACATATGATATCACACTGCCTGAAATGGCCAAATACTGCCTTGCCTTGTGACTGACTTCAGTTTCACATGGTGTTATGCAAACAAATGCGTCTGTGAAACCAAGCATTTCTGCACAAAGTGATATGCATATGTAAGTCGATTGACACACTTATAATCTGCCTTTCGGATTTTATAATTCGTGGATGCTTCAGTACACGGCTATCACACAGAAGTTTACATTCTAGGGAAAGCAGAATTAACTAAATTACTGACCTACATACTATCAGCTACAATACACACTTTCTACAATCTTACAGGTGTGGAGGTATGCAGAAGATTGAGTATACTTATATTGTTCTCAGGTCCCCCACTCTTATGCCCCTTCCATACATATTGAAACACAACTGAGATCTATTTAATTATGGGGGGGGGGGGGGGAGAGAGAAGGAAGAGGAATGCGTGATTAAATCATTTAAAACTTTCATGAATTACGTTCAGGGAGACTTTTAGGCAATTTCAAAAGGCATGTTAAGTGATTTTAATAATATCAGGCTACCAACATAAACACAGAACTACTCTGCAGACAAGACAACGCTCAAGCCCTATCATCTGACCTAATGTCCTACTGTGGCCCTCCTGCTTCTCTCACCAAACTTTGAATCCACTTTTGGTGAATACGTACAGTAACTTGAGACTACATCAGAGTGGGAACAGGTTAGAGATATCAAGGTGGTGGGGGCTATTGATATGTAGACCCTTCCTGCTGCCAGGCATGTTGTTTCAGAGTGCTTTTGGGCCTTTTCCAAGATCAAGTAGTGGCAAACTGCACACAGCAATTGGTTGGCAGAGAGGTTTGAATTTCCATGCTCAGCCAGGATTTGCAGATCTCATGTATCAGGCAGTGATGTCTCAAAGTTAGACTAATGATGTTTGAAAGGCTAAGTTCACTTCTAGGCTAACTTCTACTCTGGCAAAGGTACGGGTTCATGGTAATGGTCTTTTGTCTGTCTAGAGAAATTGATGGGATTAAATTTGATTTGGCGCAGAATAGTGCACGAGTTAAATCAGTAAAAATCAATGTGCTTAGAATTAAGTTTCAGCATAATACAAAACAAACATTTTGCTGAGTCATTGGGAATGTTTTACAGACGGAATTCAACTGAGAAACTTTTTTTTAAATAAAAGAAAATCCAACCTAGCAAATGGCGTTGTATGATTTCTTCCATCTCATTCACAATTTCTTGCCGTACTTGGAAATCCTCCTCGGAAATGCCTTGTACCTGAGCAGTTTGTAATACAGCAGAGTTCAACGCAGCCAACTGGGCAGGAGATGGAGGTTTTAGACTACGGAGTTCATTCTCTTCTTGTTTTTCCTTAAGGTGGAAAATAAGAACAATCAATACATTGCACTTTGAAGATCTATATCTCTTTCTGCACTGCCAATAAAACAAAGAGGTTCACTTTATAAGGGTTCCATTAACAGAATGGATAAAGTTCTTTATTTGATAGGAACATTTTTATGCGTAGGATTTAAAAATGTCACTCAATTAGAAACTATTTAATAAAGACTTGGTGCCAGAGGCAAAAATAAAAAAGGTAGAAATGAAACTGAACTTACTGTAATATTTTTCTTGTGCCTCTTTTCTTTTATATGCTTATGAGCTCCCTGGATATTTTCAATGTGAACTAGGCAAAGTTTGCATAGGTACTGGCACGAAGGATATTCCGTTGAACGCTATAAAGGACAAAGAAACAAAAATTCAGTGACAACTTGAGATAATCATGAACTTCTTGTACATAGAAGAGAGTGTGCAGGTGATGGCGAGTCAAGTAAAAGACTTAAGATTCACATGAAAGATGAAGATTCTTCTGAATTCTAATTATCAAGAGAAAGAATCCCTGAAATTCAAGATTGGCGTACTTCCCTGTTTATTCTATGGACATGTGAAATTTTAAGTGCATCTCTATGTATTTTAGAATATTATGTGTTGTTGCCAAGTGTTGTGTTATTTCACATGTATGAATTATGAAGTTTGATTTAACACACGGAAACTATCAATCCTGTGAACAGTGAAAACACCACTCACATCCTTTGAATAAATTGTAACATAAAGGATCGGTGCTTGCAATTACCAGAAGATACAAATTCTGCAATCGATTAAAAGAAAATAAGTTAAGACAAGTTTTTTATTGGATAAAGGCAATTCTCATTTTAAGAGGAAAAATATACACCTGATATTGCAACAGTTAAAACCTTGCATTATGTGATCTATATATGATCCAGTTCAAGATCCTGGTCCTCACATACAAAGCCCTCCATGGCCTCGCCCCACCCTACCTCTGCGACCTCCTAAACCCCTACCAACCCACCTGCTCCCTCCGCTCAGCCGGCTCTGGCTGCTCCACGTCTCCTGACCCACCCGCCCCACCATTGGCGTAAGAGCCTTCAGCCACTCTGCCCCCAACCTCTGGAATTCCATCCCCAGTCACTCCGCTTCGCCCCCTCCTTAGCCTCCTTCAAGTCCCACCTCAAGACCCTCCTCTTCGACCATGCCATCGGCCACCACCCGCTACCCCTCCCCTCCCTTACCCCTCCTGACCCCAGCTTGTGTCTGAAATGCTGTACACTGTCCAGCGCCTTGGGACATCCTCCCGACGTGAAAGGCGCTCTACAAATGTAATCTTGTTGTTGCTGTTGTATATGCTATTGTCAATATCTATTGTCTGGCTGATAAACCTAGGGACATAAAGTAATTTACAAGTTCAATATAAAATGGAAAATCACAATTTCTACCTGTCAGGCTTTTATAGTTCCTTGGAAAAACTCATGCAGTGGGGAAACTGAAATTGCTGAATCAATTGTTGGCAATCTAAAGAAATCTTCAATAATCGATCACAGATTCCCTTCAATATTCTTCCACTGTTTAAGTTTTGAGAATTATGCAATGTTTCAAGAAATTGACTGGCACAAAGGGACCAAAGTTCTGACATAGAGAGTGGTCAGGGGAATTATATCTAGCAGGTAAGTACCTCTGGACTTGCTTTAAACCTTGTTGGCTTTGAGTTGCTTAAGTCATTGAAAATAAGAGAACGGCTGACAGCCTTAAAGATTTTTCTCATTACTCTTCAATCAGTTGTAGAATTCTAAAGATCACTACTGCAATAGTCACCCAGTCATTGTCCCCACATGCAAGGTATTTTGTATCTTTGTTCACCATTTACACTTATCTGATAAACTCATATTCAAGGAAATAAAAGGCATGGAATTCACATTGATTTTCAACTTCTCCCCACCCAACAAATCTACTCTCATTTGACAGCTTGTTCATAGTAAAAACAATAAAAGCACAAGATTTGTTCCATTATACCAACAACTATGTCAAATTAAAAATACAATTGGTTTTCAAATAAATCCTTGCTTGTGGAGAGCAAACAATTGCTTCAAATAAATCCTTACCCCACACAGAGCCTAATAATAATCCCTCCAAAAAACTCAATAATAAATTGGTCATTTTCAATCCACGACTGTTTGTGAGACGCTGCTGTGTGTAATTGGCTGCCACGTTTCGCCCACAAATATACAGTCAATTCACTTTACAGCATATTCTATGAAGCGCTTTGAGACGTTGAGAAGACGTGAAAAGCGCTATATCAAATGCAAGGATTATTATTATCATAAATCCAGAAAATAGGTTCCCTAATCTGAGAAGAAACAATCAGTATTTTATTGTTCACAGTTACAACATAAGTGACTTGCATTTATTCAAGATTTATTTTGAAAGTGAAGGATGATTTAAACCCGACCTTTTCCAAACGAGAGATGTGGTCCCTCCCCAATCTTTCCTCTGCTTGTTTCAGCCCGAGCTGTTGTTCCGCTGTCATTGTCGACTCATCAATCACTGGTGTACTCTCCAGGTCATCTCGCTCTGAAGGATGTCCTTCATGTGCACCTGTGTTGGTCTCTTTCCCTGCAAATATTACAAACTTCAGTTTAATAGAGATTTAAAAACGCTTTATTGTTTCCCTGAAAATGAATGTCACGATGCCCTAGATTGGATCATATTTGCAATGACTGTATTGCCTCTTTTGGTGCGGTATCGAGTCCCTGAGAGTTTAAAGTCACCAAAAATATCAAAATAAACATTTCCTTTGTGAAAGAAACAGATCAGAATTTTATGCAAAGCTGGAGTCGGACCGAAGTCACCTTTGTGGCAGGCTGTAAAGTGACACTGTGAAACGTCTGGCAGCAATCAAGATAAGCAGTGGAGATTGACAGACGTACAATATCATTCAGTCCAACAGGTTCTCAATAACTGTTGGGAGTTTTTTTTCTGTATTATTTTTCAAGCTGTCTGTTTCCTTTTGAACACTTCCCTGAGTCAACACTCCCCAATGGCTCCAATCGTAATTTAAATACGAAGTTCTAAGATGGAGGGGGAGAGACGGAAGGGTTGAAGTGATGAAGTGAGTTCCTTAGGTTAGAGGCATAAAATTTTAAATCTCGGCCACGATGGTGGGGATAGTAGGGTGAGGGTCGTGCAGTGGGCTCGAGAAGCAGACAGAGATTAGTATATACTTGGGAGCTTTTACTGAGTGGAAATTAAACATTTTAAAATATTTTTGTTAACTTGTGGTCAACAGCCTTAAAGTAGGGGAGCCACTCGCTTCAATATAGCATTAAAACCTAAAAGACTCAACTAAGAACAGTCAGTTTAGCAGCAGAACGCCGGAGAGCAGAACGTGCCTGGGCCCAACAACCAGAAAATGCACACAAGACTGCATTGAGCTTCAATGGGCAGCTCACAGACAGGTAAAGGAAAAACAGGATTTCCCAGTGAAGGCCAGGAAATAATGGCCTGAATGGATTTGGAGCTTCAAAGCTTTATTCCTTAACAGTCAGATACCTTGGTAAACATTTTACACACAAGTATGGAGTATAAACACCAGCACAGACTAGTTGCTGTATGATTTATGTAAGTATTTATATAATAATACTTGCATTTGATATAGCGCTTTTCAGGTCTTCCAGATGTCTCAAAGCGCTTCACAGAATATACTGTAAAGTGTATTGTATTTGTGGGCAAAACATGGCAGCCGATTGCGCACAGCAGCGTCCCAAAAACAGTGGTGGATTGAAGTAATCTTTTTTTGAGGGAATATTATCAGACGTGTGGAGTACGGAAACTTGCCTAAGCTTTCGCCCCGCCGGGAATCAAACCCGGGTCTCTCGCTTGCAAAGCGAGTGTTCTAACCACTGAGCTACAGGAATCAGTGCCATACACGGATATTGTTCCTTATTTATTCACCACACAGTCATGGTAATTTGCTAAAACCTCACCCATTCTGAAATGCCTGCACACAGACTAACTGGAATTAAAATGGCATGAACCCAGTTACTTGGTTGAAAGGTGATTCATATCTACACAACAACAACCAAATTACATTTATAGAAGCGCCTCCTCATGTCGGGAGGACATCCCAAATCTCTGAAATATCTAAATACAATTGTAAAAAAATCTCAATACTGTTAAAAATGTGGAACTGTCTTTTGTAAGGAATATTTTAAGATAAGGGAATTTTACAACTTTACAGTCGTAGGTAAATGCCTTTCAATCTTGAACAAACCTGAACTTTCTCTTCCTGTTACTTAAGAGGATCCCAATCCCGTGATTCACTGCATAGAGGACAATTGTTACATAGAGGGCTGCAGTTCAACCTCAATCTCTCATTTTGTTACGTTAATCATAAGTTATCTTATTTCACTATCGCTGAGAAGATCAAATGTATTTCAAAAAACAAGTCTTCGAAAGTTCATTAAATTTTCATTAAAACTAATGTGAATAGATACTGACTCATGTGCAGAGGAAAGCTTGAACGATCCTCGATTACTGAATGCTTTTCATTTACTGATTATTTGTTGTTTACGTAACTTGAAGGAGAAATCTCCTTACAAAATACTTACACAAAAACAAATGCTTTTACTTCTTGTATTATTACATTTTACTTCTTATAAGTGATATTAATGATTTCAATGGTAAGACTGCTTTGGTTAGGAAGAGTTAATTCCCCCCCCCATCCCTCCCCAAAGTGCAAGGGAATTGAATGAATACACCACCCAGGCTATTGCTCCCAGAAATACTCAAATAAATATACATCTTTCAGGATATTCCAATCACCTTCCCTTACCTCACCCAAGAATAAAGCTAAATAATGAGCTTCTCTTCCCCCCCAGGAGGGAAATCCATACATACGTTTTCTGCGGCAAGAATAATAGGTCGTGATCAGGTGCAAGGAGTCTGGCTGATTCTCCCCACCCCCACACACATCTGCTCACATCAGAGGTGCTCTGATAATGTGAGTGACAGTAGGTATGACGAGACTACATGTTAAATGATATCTCAAAGACCAGTTGGTTGAGGCGAGGGTGGATGTCACTTGGAAATTGCTGAGTCAACAGAGATAATACCAGTGCCATTCCAATACCCAGTCGTTTCTCAGTTCAGAACCCAAGACACTAATTTCCAAACAATCCAATGCAGCTCAAACACTGCTGTCTGAGCTGCTGTCTCAGTATCCACACTGCCCTAATTTAACCATCTAACTTTTCAAGTTGTGCTGTTCTGGACTCAATTAGAGCCACTTCTTTTTGTTATTGAGGAAACTACATTTCTGATTTGTCACACCAAAAAAAAGAAATTCAGTTGTTACAAGTTCCTTGAGAAAACACTCAACATGTTTGCCCCTGGCACTTGGCCAAAGCACTTCATCAGAGGCCAATTTTTTAAAAAAAAGACTTGGCTCCTATAATTTTACAACTTGGAGCTCCAAGCTGCCAATGGTTAGTAATGTCCGGCGTGGAGGGCGCTATATAAATCCAAGTTGTTGTTATTGTAATGTAAATAGAACAATTTACAGCACAACTACAATACAGATTCTCTCACTCACGAGGGTTCAAACAAATGACTCCCACTTGTGTTTTTTTTATTCAAATGGTTTGCTATGGCACATCCTCAATGAACCTTACTTGGATTATTATGCGCGACAGCGATAATTTTTGCAGCTCCTAAATGTTATCAACTTCAAATCAAAACTTGACTGACAATGTAATCCAGGTGCAATCAACTGAAAAAAGAACTTGTTGTGGGGAAGGGGGTGGGGGAGAGAGAAGAAAAGTGGAACTTGACTGTAAAACATCTTCAATCAGTGTCCAGTCTGTGTTTGAGTAGCCTAGTAAGCCTATCAGTTTATGGGTAACAAGGCTCTTTGTGGAAAGAGAAACACAGAAAGTTTCAGCTTGCCATCAGTCGGCTGAAATCCAATCCGAGCTCCAGTCCTGAAAGGACTGCAGTCTTTCCAGTCTCCTTGGCTGTTCGTTTAAAATCTGATTCAATCTTGAACGTTACCCACTTCACACAATACCAGGTTTCATCATTGAACCGGTTCTCAAACTAGGAACTGGTACCACAGGCACATGCCCTTCAGCAGCAATGGTGTGAGTGATCACTGAACAAATAGGCCTTTGCTCATAAACATTTTCCTATTACTGTTTACACCAGTTATTTTGAAGAACCTACTTTGACATCAATGAACATCAGAACATTGTTCTGATAGGAACATTTTCAGTGGATATTGAAAACACCACTTCATATTTCCTTAGTGAGCTGCTATTACTTGTGATTTTACAGCCAAATAACTCCCTTAACATTAAAATTAAATAGAATTCCAGAATAATCCTTACCAGGAGTGTCTTGCTTCTTTCCCATGTCTTTAACATCTTGCACAGCTTTCCCTGGCAGAATGCTGTCTTTCCCATTTGTATGCATGGGGGACTTGCTTGGCTGAGCAATGCAATCCGTTTTCACCTCTGCCTTTGGTTTTGTAGGTGAACAATCCTTTTCATTCATGCCCTTTGTAGCGCTGCCAGTGTGGGAGTTTGCAGATTTCCCCAGAGCCTGCTGCTGCACTTTAACTTGCTTGTGTTTTGTTTTCTCCATTGACGCTATGCCACCAGACGGCCGGCTTGCTTTGCCGCGACCTTGTTCTTGTGCATGTATACTCTGCACTCCAGAGTACCTTGAACTGGTCGCATAGTTTGGCACGTCCAGTTTGCCACTCCCACTACATTTTATTTCTGCAGTTTTCTCAGCATTCCTTCTTTCTATTGCTTCTTCATTCCATTTTGACTTTTTATTATTCCAGTTTGAAACATTTTTCCCAGTATCTCGAATCGCTCCTTCGTTTTGATTCCTGGAAGGATTCTGTTCAACCTCATTGTGCACAGTAACTGTTATATCCTTTCCTTCGCCACGGACAAAGCGGGAAGGTTTTCTGGATTCGTACATGTCATCCTTAATGTTTTTACTGTCTTCCATTTCTACAGCTCGAAGGAATTTAGTTTTCTTCCGTGAAAAGCCCGCTTTCTTTCCTTCTTTTAAAATTAGTCCCGTAATTACTGAATAATGCCGATCCGCCTCCCAGGGAACAGACAAGATAACGTCTGATGTGGTCCTGTTTGTCAAAGTAAAATAGATGAAATAAAATATTTGATGATTGACACGAGTATAGATTCACCCACCCTCTTAGCCTATTACTGTATTTAGTGGATAATAATGAATGACTCAGTTGTCACTAACTCAGAACAAGAGAGAATCCCACAAAGAGCAAAGGTTTCAATTTCAAAGGACACCTCTCTTTCCAGCAAATCATTCTGAACATTAAATATGTTCACCAAACTTTGAAGAAATTCTGCAAGACTCCAAACATTTAGATTTTACCTCGATACTTTTCTCATAAAACTCAATCCCCATGATTGCCCCACACTCACCAAGCTTTAAAAAGAAAATCCACACAGTGGCTTGACTTTCTGAATTACTATTTTCAGCAGAGCAGAGGTGATGGGATACAGGCTATGAAAAATAACACCATGTTCCAGTGCCTAACCTTGGAAACCCTGCAAAGATGGCAATCTCAATTTGGAGGCTAGTCAATATGAAGTGAGTTTTTGCAACAAAGAAAATAAATTCAGACAAAAACTCAAGCGTAACATCATTGTATATCTTATCAGGGAGTATTCCTTCATGGAGCTACAGAAGCTAAATATTTGAGCAGCATGGATTGATTGCATCTGGATTTGGTCCATGATTTTCACAGTTCAACCAACTAAAACAGCATTGCTAGCCATTGCCGTTGAGGGTATTGTCTGGCAACCAGAGTTAACAGGAGCTGAGTGGGAAGAATCCCTGTCTCCAGTTAATTTTACAATAAGCATATGAGACTTGCTGAACAGAGATCAGGGACTTGCTGACAAACAGACACTTCGACTGAAGGAAAGCAGGACAGAAAGAAATAGTAAAATTGTCTGCGACATGGTTGTATCTGCAAAAGCCCAATTGTAATTATAGTGATAGAGTATGAGGAGCAGTCACTTACTGCCTGCTATCCTGGACACACATTCATTTCATAAGCAAAACATTGGCCTCAAAGTCAAATATTAAAAATGTGGTTATGGTTCAAAAGACAGTTATCAGCAAATGGATCACTCCATTTATGATTGTGCAAGTTAGCATGATGCAGTTGCACCTTGTTGATCCGATGCAATTTGTCTTCGGACACAAATGAAATTGCTGTTTGATACATAATATTTTCTACTCCGGGTCTCACCTCTTTAAATTTGCAGATTCATTGGAAGGTGATTGGGATTACAGTGGCACCCACAGTCAAACCACTTGTTGAACAGCCACATCATTAAAGGTAAGTCACATTCAATAAGTATCTTGCAATCATCAGCTTCATGGCTCTTAAGGTCAGAACTTGAGGTTATATTTTCAAGTGAAAACCTACTGAGCACATTTGTTGCAGACGATGTTGAATGTATCAGCAGACAATCTTAATCAGTGACGATTAGGGGGAAAGGGGTGCGACTGTAACGAAGTAGTGAGGATTGACTATAACAGAAGCAACCTACCAGCACTAATAAACCTGACTCCGATACATTTGACTCAGCCAAATTTTTGTCCTGTAGCTTTTTCCACCATCTTTTCTGAGCTCAGGGTCAACAATATAATTCATTGTAGTTCTTGAGGCCACATCAACCACTGTAGGCCAACCCTAGAATAAAACACAACAATGTTTAGAACCATGGTATATGAATTCAAGTTAGAATCGAAAAAAAGAACCGAGAGACACTTTTTAAAACATGGTTTCGCTGTTGCACCATAAAAAAATAAAATCCTAGGGTTATACCTCTGCCAATTGTTTCTTTTCTCTATTTACATAAATGGGTGTAGTGCTACAATGAGGAACCATGAGATCATATAGAGCACTCTTCACCACTCCTAGAATAAATTGACACTTATACTTAAGAATCTTAAGAGACAAATTGTTTTTAATCCTTATTTCTATCCCTCACAGTTGCACATCACCTGCATACCCTGACAGTACCGATCTCCTAGTCCTGGTTAAAAAAAGCATTAGTACAATTATAGTATTACTAAAATAATGCATCGTTTGGAGAACAGTACAAGAACATACAACTGCAATCTACTAAACTTGTCAACCTGCAAAATGTCAATACTGGCTACTACGTCCACCTTAAAGCATGCTTGAAATTAGGTACGCACTTTGTTTTGGGGGGGAGGGGTGGGGCAGATGGAATGATACAGGCACCAACATGTGCTTTACATACAGCACATTGGAACACCGGCATTCGACATTCCTGGATTGCCACCTAATTTCCTCAACTAGCTGTTGGCTACCAGTAGTTACCATTTAACCATATTGTGCTTACATACCATATGGTTACACAACTAAACTCCTAAGTTTAATTTATTTGAAAGAAATCAAACTAATGGATCTTAAAGACAACATTAAAGCTCCACTATTCATGTTTCCAATACACACAAAGATCTCACAATCTTCAATATAAACTTTAATATAATAGATATAAACCTATTAATAAAAGAGAACATTCCCCGTTATAAATATTCAATAAATGAGCCAACAACAACTTGCCTCAACACAGTACCTTTCATGTAAATGAATGTCAAAGTGCTTAATAATAACCATAAGCTGCAAATATGCAGATGGCTTGTGCTTAATGGTCCTGAGTTGACTACTCATTGCAAATTAATGTTGCCCAAAGGACCTTTTATTATTGGTGTGATGTATAACCGAGTTCCAAATAACCGTAATTAAGTAGTCAAACTTTGGCTACAAACAATGCACCTTACTGGCAGGATTAATGTAGACTTAAAACACATGTTAATCTGCCAAGTTTCTTCACAGATTGCAGCTATTCTCATGGCAAATCAAAGCTCAAGTCTTTTACTACACACGTTGAACAATTAGGTACAACAAAATAATGCTACCATAGCAAAATCCAGAGCCAATACCAATAAATCCACTAATATTTTAAAAGCATGTCCTCCATTACCTCTGGCCATCACTCTTTAAGCGGCTTGCTAACTTTTTAAACTACACTTTACTCATAAAAAGGAAATGACAGTTGTATGATGTTTGCCCAATGCGTCTGACTGCATTCAGTTGTGCTCAACGTGGTCCAGTCACCTGTTGGAATGAACTTTACATCCAACAGATGGTCATCACACCTTGGAAAGAGGAAATACTTCTTCTGTATTGATTTTCTTCTTCCACTTGCTCAGGTCTCACATAAATGGTCACCAAGAGGCTAGGAAGGCAACCTAGGGCTCCAAGCCAGTTGCTTAGGAATGTCCAACACCAGCTGATCATCAGTTCTCTTTAAATATTCCCTTATTGGGGATTTAGTGAGGGAGGAAGCTGACTTCCGTGTAATAACATCCAAATTACACAACTGCTCAGCAAATCGTACAGTCCTGTAGCTCAGTGGTTAGAGCACTCGCCTAGCAAGCGAGAGACCTGGGTTCGATTCCCGGCAGTGCAAAACCTTGGGCAAGTTTCCTTATTCCACACGCCTAATAATAATCCCTCAAGAAAAAAATAATAATTTGGTCACTCAATCCACGACTGTTTGTGGGACACTGCTGAGCGCAATTGGCTGCTGCATTTCGCCCACAAAATATACAATCAATTCACTTTACAGTATATTCTGTGAAGCTCTTTGAGACATCTAAAAGATGCGATAAGGCGCTGTGTCAAATGCAAGGATTATTATTATTAAATCAGTGAAGGTGAGAAATCAAGTTCGTGATCCTCTACCAAATGGTGCTTGGACACAAAACGCAACTGTAAAATCATAGAATCCTACTCCATTTGATGCAAGACTCATCTAATCTGAGGGGCAGGCCAAGCTGATTGTGAAAAAATTGATGAATGAAATCAATCAAACAGAATCTCTATTCGCCTATCAGTGTTATTTTTTATGAAAAATATCATCTATATGATATTTATATAGCTGGCAGGGTGGGTAAATGTTGATATCTAATGCTAAGAGCAAAACCTTGGTTGCTTAAATACCTTACAGTTTAGCCAAACCAGTCCTTTGTCCCACTATACAACCACTCCAAGCAAACATGATAGCCTCTAAGTCCAGACTTTAAACAGAAAATTTGAAAAAACTGAACATAAAAGATCACCTTCTTCTCCCCCACATAAACAGAAGCAAACAAAGCCTATACATAATGCGCCCTTTAGAGCATCATCTGTTACAAAGCTGTTCAAAATACAGTAGGTTAAACTTAACAAATGTGTACTGTTCTTTACTCATACTGTTGACATCTGCTTGGGTCACCAGTGCTCAAAGAACTAAAATTGGTGTGGAGCAGAGGTCACCATGAAAACAAACCAAAATACTGCAGAAACCGCAAAAACATGGGCATCATCACACAGCATTGGGTGATGGGGAGCATAGCCCCATTAGGCAGTTTTCCACAGCAGATATATAGAGAGTGGACATGTTGGTTACAACTGCGGGAAACCACGAGTCCGGTATCAAATATGTTGCAGTGCAAAGAGACTTATTTTATATTGTTGCTCATTTCTGAGAATGGATACAAAACAGTGCAGAACCATTACCTGCGCTCATTTACATGAATTTTACAATTTATTAAACCCGCTCCACAACTGGCATGTAACCTGGTATATAACGGACTGAAAAATGTCTGGCTGCACAAGGCCAACACCAGCTATAATTACACGCGCTGTGGCAACAACATTCACTTCCCCTTATTTGAACAGGTTTCAGTTTCGTTTTGCTATTTTTTCCCCTTCTTCGACATCATTAAGACAAAAAAAAATCCCCCTGATGTTTGGGATTCCAAAGCACATCTTTTTAAAAGCAAATGCAGTAGGGGATTGGAATTGGCGGTGGGTGAGGAAAGACTAATAATAATAATAACAAAAATCCTTGCATTTGACACAGCGCCTTATCATGCCGTCGAGGCGTCTCAAAGGGCTTCACGGAATATACTGTGCAGTGGATTGACTGTATTTTGTGGGTGGAACCAAGTACAGAATAAAAGTCCATACACGTCTCCGGTCTCACCAACATACACCCACGTGGGACACAAACTCAAAATAATATCCACAATTTACCCTTTTAAGTGGTTCCCAAAGTGGTAGTGGTCGGGGGGGTGGGGGGGAGAGGGGGGCTGGGGGGGGGGGAGAGGGGGGGGAGAGGGATTGTCCTGATTCACGTTAATCACAGGACGGTTAGAGGGGGATCCGAATTTTATGGGATAAACAACAACAAACAAGAGGCAGAAACACTCCTCCCTATGGCTTCTCATTAAAGTGTCCAAAGCCCCAGACAGACAGACAGACAGGGAGGGAGGGAGGGGGAGGCCGCCGCCCGCCCCGCCGGCCCGGGTGGGGTTCCTGGGCTGGGGTCTGGGATTCACAACCAAGAGCCTCCCCCCACCCCCCACCCCCGGGTAGTGTCCGGGCAACGCTGTAAAGCCGCCAATGGCCTAAACACAGGGACACTGAGGCGATGGGGAGGGGGGGGGAGGGGGGGGGGGCAGCTCTCGACGCTTCTCGAAGGCGCGGTGTGAGCCGCCCGCCCGCCCCCGCCGGGGAGGCGGTCTCCAGGCCCCGGGATCTTACCGGCAGCTGTGGCCGGCGCTGTGCGGCCCTCCCCACCACCATCGGGGGATTCACCCTCCCAGAGATCAGCACCAACAGCACAGCCGCCCGCCCGCCAGCCAGCCGCTCACCGTGCGCATGCGCCTCCCTCCCCCACCGGTCGTCGACTTCCGCTGACGTCACAGGGGCCCCGGGGAGACGGGCCGGCGTGAACTACACTTCCCGAGCTGCCCCGCGCGGGGGCACAGCGGGGGCTGAACCGCGGTGCAATGTGGGATACTGGAAGACCTCAGAACATATCAACATATCAACATGGGAACATATCAACATAAGAACATATGTTCATGTGAAAGCCGCTCCATACTGATGCCATTCTGTTGTTGTGAGACCACAAGAATTTTCTGGGGAGAGAAGACCGAGGACCATCCATTCACCTTCCACCATCCTGGCAGTCGCTTGACATGTCGTGTCTCAAACTATACACTGTCTCCCCAGAGATTATTCTCCAGCAGGACATCAATCTAAAGCCGCCAACAAGGACGACAACAACAAAATTACACGTTTAAAGAACTTTTCACGTCGAGAGGACGTCCCTCGGCGCTGGATAGTCAGTGTTTCGGACCCGAGCCGGGGGTTGGAGATCGCGGAGGATGGAGGGCGGGGGGGGGGAGGAGGGTGACCGAAGGCACGGTTGAAGAGGAGGGTCTTGAGATGGGTCTTGGAGGAAGCAAGGGAGGCGCCGAGGCAGCGGGACTGCGGGATGGAGTTCCAGAGGGCGGGCCAGTGTTGAACAGCAAAAGTAGCAGGCCAGTTCTAATTGGAATAAACTGCTTGACACCAAAGGAAAAAACATTAAAGGATTTTGAGGAAATACAATACAAATTTACATTTACATACAACCTACAATTTATAGAGCACGTCTTGGGCGCTTAACAGGGGTATGGTTTAACGCCAAACAGCAAAGGGAAATAAGATTTGTGCTCACAGTAGAGCGAGCACCAGCACAGGGGAGTATGATTAGCTTTAAATATGTCTCTTGTTTTCGATGGCACTTTTGTCCCTAACTCTCTGTCCAAAGGCTCTGATGCCAGCACAAATTACCAGGACTGTGAAACTGTGATGCGTATCTTGTTCTACAAGAACAATTTGGATTTATATAACGCCCTCCACGCCAGACGGCGTCTCAGAGCGCTTTACAGTAATGGATCCCGGGACCGAGCCAGGGGGAGGAAGGTGACCAAAGGCACGATCGAAAAGAATGGTCTTCGGCAGAGACCTGAAAATGGGAAGGGAGGGAGCGAGACGAAGGGAGTGAGGAAGGCGGTTCCACAGCCTCGGGGCATAGTGGCTGAAGGCACGGCCGCCGAGGGTGGAGTGGAGGACTCGGGGGACGAGGAGGAGGTCAGACCCGGAGGAACGAAGGAAATGAGTACTGTTTTAAGGAGAGAGGTCGGGGGGTGCAGAGGAGTGCAGGGACTCCTTGAATACAAGGGTGAGGATCTTGAAATCGGTCCTCTCTGGGATAGGCAGCCAGTGCAGTCTGGCCAGGACTGGGGTAATCGGGGAGCGGAGTTTCGTGCGGGTGAGAATGCGGGCGGCAGAGTTTTGAATGATTTGGGTTTTATGGATGGGAGACCGGCGAGGAGGGCATTAGAGTAGTCCAGCCGAGAGGTGACAAAGGCATGGACCAGGGTTTCAGCGGCTTTTGGGGAAAGGTATTGGCGGAGACGAGCGATGCATCGGAGGTGGAAGAAAGCGGTGCTGGTGAGGGACCGGATGTGGGGGAGAAAAGATAATTGGGGGTCGAACCTGACGCCTAGGTTGCATCCAGGTTCGGAGAGTTTTAGGGGGAGGTCGGGTAGTTGGAGGAGGTGAGAGCCATGAGATTTTAGACGTTGACGAGAGCCAAAGAGTATGGCTTCCGTCTGGTCAATGTTCAGCTGAAGGAAGTTTGCACGAAGGGAGTGAGGAAGGCGGTTCCACAGCCTCGGGGCATAGTGGCTGAAGGCACGGCCGCCGAGGGTGGAGTGGATTAGAGTAGTCATTAGAGTAGTCCAGCCGAGAGGTGACAAAGGCATGGACCAGGGTTTCAGCGGCTTTTGGGGAAAGGTATTGGCGGAGACGAGCGATGCATCGGAGGTGGAAGAAAGCGGTGCTGGTGAGGGACCGGATGTGGGGGAGAAAAGATAATTGGGGGTCGAACCTGACGCCTAGGTTGCATCCAGGTTCGGAGAGTTTTAGGGGGAGGTCGGGTAGTTGGAGGAGGTGAGAGCCATGAGATTTTAGACGTTGACGAGAGCCAAAGAGTATGGCTTCCGTCTGGTCAATGTTCAGCTGAAGGAAGTTTGCACTCATCCAGCCCCTGAGGTCTGACAGGCAGAACATCAGGGGACTGGGGGGGGCGCAAAGAGAGGTGGAAAAATAGAGTTGGGTGTCATCTGCATACACGTGAAAGTGTACCCCATGTCTGAGAATGACATCCCCAAGAAGGAGCATGTAAATCAGAAAGAGGAGGGGGCCAAGGATGGATCCTTGGAGTACCCCACATGTAACTGGGTGAGAGCGGGAGGAGAAGCCGTTTGTGCAGATGTACTGCTGGCGGTTTGTGAGGTAGGACAGAGGAGGGGAGCTGGGTAGCAAGTTGGTGGGGAGGGGGTTGAGGCAGCAGGTGGTGGGTTTCATGGAGGTGATGGTGGGTGAGAGGGAGGAGGGAGAGATGGGGAGGAAGGAATGTAGAATAGGGGTGGTGGTAGGAGCAGATGATGAGGAGGGTAAGGAGGACAAGAGAGGGCGTGGTGGTGGGTGACAAGGGGCAGGTGGATGAGGCTGCCTGGTGGATGTTAAGTATATTAGATGAAAAGAATTCCATGACCTCCTCGCACTTGGAATTTAATACAAAGATTGAGGAGGCCTGAGAGGGGGCACGGAGGAGGTAGTGGGTGGTGGAACAAAGGATTTTGGGGTTGTGTTTGGCCTCCAAGATGATGTTGGGGTAGAAGCCATTTTTGCTCGTGTCAAAGAACGGCGGTAGCTGTGGAGATGTTCGAGCCACAGTTGGCAGTGGACTGTCAGGCCAGTTTTCCGCCATCTGCGCTTGAGCAGATGGGTTTGGGTTTTTTGGCGGCGGAGATGGTTGTTGTACCGGGGGATAGGGTGGGTTTGGAGATGGTCCTGGATTTTAGGGGGACAAGGGAGTTGAAGGTGGAGGAGAGGCGACCGTGGAGCAGCTGGATGGCTGCTTCAGGATCTCCGCGGGTGGAAGGCCAGAGAGATAGGATGTCTGATGATGAGAGGGCCTTTGTGAGGCTCTCAGGGTGTAGCCTTTTCCAAGGGTGGTAGAGAATGGTTGAGGGCTTGGTGGAGGAGAGAGGGATGTGAGAGGAGAAGAAGATGAAAAAGTGGTCCGAGATGGCCTTGTCCACTATGCTGAGGTCAGAAATGTCAAGGCCGTGGGTGATGATGAGGTCAAGTGCATGACCACAGGTGTGGGTGGGTGAATTTATATGGAGGGTGAGGTTTAGGGAGGAGAGGAGGGCAGTGAAATCGGCAGAGTTTTATGCTAATTGCTGACTTTGGTTCCGAGTGCAGTTGTGTGAATCGCTTTCATGTATTTAAACCCCCACCGTCCCCCCCTTCATTCAAAGTGGTTGAAAGTTGGCACCAGGGAATGGAACAAGTTTCTACTTTGAGACCCCCCCCCCCCGGGTATCAGCATCAAACACACACGCTTTAACTATAGCAATGGCAGCAAAGCTCTCTCTACTGCATTGAAATAGAATAGCTTAAATCCACACTCCAATGTCCTGAAAGGAAAAGCAGTGAAGACTGTCGGAGACTTTCCCAAAGTTATTGCGACGCTTTGTAATTGAGCGAAGGAATGGGGTGGATACACAGCACAGCCCGTGGCTATCCCAGTGTGTGAGCAAACCCCAGCCCCGAGTCCAGCCCCCACCCCCACCCCAGCCCATCTCCCAGCACTCAGCCCATCTCCCAGCACTCAGCCCATCCCATCCCCCAGCCCCAGCCCCCAGGCCACCCCCCAGCCCCCCCCACCCCCCAGCACTCATCCCATCCCCCAGCCCCCCCCACCCCCCAGCACTCAGCCCATCCATCCCCCAGCCCCCCCACCCCCCAGCACTCAGCCCATCCCATCCCCCAGCCCCCCCCACCCCCCAGCACTCAGCCCATCCATCCCCCAGCCCCCCCCCCACCCCCCAGCACTCAGCCCATCCCATCCCCCAGCCCCTCCCCACCCCCCAGCACTCAGCCCATCCCATAGCCCAGCCCCCAGCCCCCCTCCACCCCCAGCCCCCCTCCACCCCCCAGCCCATCCCATAGCCCCCCCCCCACCCCCCAGCACTCAGCCCATCCCATCCCCCAGCCCCTCCCCACCCCCCAGCACTCAGCCCATCCCATCCCCCAGCCCCACCCCACCCCCCCAGCACTCTGCCCATCCCATAGCCCAGCCCTCCTCCACCCCCCAGCACTCAGCCCATCCCATCCCCAGCCCCCCTCCACCCCCCAGCACTCAGCCCATCCCATCGCCCCCCCCCCCCCAGCACTCAGCCCATCCCATCCCCCAGCCCCCCTCCACCCCCCAGCACTCAGCCCATCCCATCGCCCCCCCCCCCCAGCACTCAGCCCATCCCATCGCCCCCCCCCCAGCACTCAGCCCATCCCATCCCCAGCCCCCCCCCGCCCAGCACTCCGCCCAGCCCCCCCCCCAGCCCCCCCCCTCCCCGCTGTGGGAGCGCAGTGAGAGCTCCGGCTGGGAACATGTTTGTGGCGATGGCCGCGGTTCTCCTCCTCCTGTGGGTCTCACCGGCGGAGCAGAAACACAATGACTTTTACTCTTTTAAAGTAATAAACATTAGAGGCAAATTGGTTTCCCTCGAGAAGTACAGAGGATCGGTAAGTGGATCTGACACAGAGAGAGACAGACACAGAGAGAGAGAGACAGAGACATGGACACAGAGAGAGAGACACAGACACAGAGAGAGAGACAGAGACACAGAGAGAGACAGACACAGAGAGAGAGAGAGACAGAGACACAGAGAGAGAGACACAGAGAGAGAGAGACAGAGACACAGAGAGACAGACACAGAGAGAGAGAGACAGAGACAGAGAGAGACAGACACAGAGAGAGAGAGACAGAGACACAGAGAGAGAGACACAGACACAGAGAGACAGACAGAGACACAGAGACAGACAGAGACACAGAGAGAGAGACAGAGACACAGACACAGAGAGAGAGAGACAGAGACACAGACAGAGAGAGAGACACAGAGAGACACAGACACACACAGAGAGAGACAGACAGACAGAGAGATAGAGATAGACACAGAGAGACACAGAGTCAGAGAGAGACAGCGAGAGACACAGAGACACAGAGACACAGACAGAGAGGAACAGCGCCGTCCAGACACGAAGCGGATTGTGCAACTTGCGCTTTGCCTGAGATCCCCCAGTGCTGACTGACCTGCCGGGGGGGGGGGGGGGGGGGGAGTGGGGGGATCGAGGGGGGAGACCTCCAGTGACCTGCTCAGTCCAAGCCCCTTTGGAGCTTGTGGTCATGGGAGGGTCTGCATTGGGGCCCCGTATCCAGGAGCCCCGTCTGTGTCTGTGGACGTGGCACCGTCTGCACCTTCCCATCCTGAGCCCCGACAGCACTGAGCCCCTCCCTCACTCACTCCCTCCCTCCCTCCCTCACTCACTCCCTCCCTCACTCACTCACTCCCTCCCTCACTCCCTCCCTCACTCACTCACTCCCTCACTCCCTCACTCACTCCTCACTCCCTCACTCACTCACTCACTCCCTCACTCACTCCTCACTCACTCACTCACTCCCTCACTCACTCACTCACTCACTCATTCACTCCCTCCCTCACTCACTCATTCACTCCCTCCCTCCCTCCCTCCCTCACTCACTCCCTCACTCACTCACTCCCTCACTCACTCACTCACTCACTCACTCACTCCAGGGCACCGCCTCCATCTGGACTCTGATCTGCCTCAGGATTTTGAAGTTTAGAAGTTTATCCCCACCCCCCCCTCACTCACTCCCCCCTCTCTCACTCCCCCCTCTCACCCCCTTCTCCTCCCTCCCCCCCCACCCTCTCCCCCCCACCCTCTCCCCCCCCACCCGCTCACTCCCCCCACCCTCTCTCACTCCCCCACCCTCTCACCCCCTTCTCCTCCCCCCCCCCCCCCCCCCCCCCACCCGCTCACTCCCCCCACCCTCTCTCACTCCCCCACCCTCTCACCCCTTCTCCTCCCCCACCCTCTCACTCCCCCACCCTCTCTCACTCCCCCCCCCATCTCTCTCACTCCCCCTCTCACCCCCTTCTCCCCCCCCTCTCTCACTCCGCCCTCTCTCACTCCCCCCTCACCCCCTTCTCCTCCCCCCACCCTCTCCCCCCCACCCTCTCCCCCTCACCTCTCTCACTCCCCCCTCTCACCCCCTTCTCCTCCCCCCACCCTCTCACTCCCCCTCCCTCTCACTCCCCCCTCTCACCCCCTTCTCCTCCCCCCACCCTCTCTCACTCCCCCCACCCTCTCTCACTCCCCCACCCTCTCTCACTCCCCCCACCCTCTCTCACTCCCCCACCCTCTCTCACTCCCCCCTCTCACCCCCTTCTCCTCCCCCCACCCTCTCTCACTCCCCCCTCTCACCCTCTTCTCCTCCCCCCTTCTCAATCACCCCCTCTCTCACTCCCCCCTCTCACCCCCTTCTCCCCCCACCCTCTGACTCCCCCCCCCCTCTGACTCCCCCTTCTCACTCCCCCCCCACTCCCCCCCCCCCCCCCCCCCCCCGCCGCGCGCTCTCTCTCTCTCCCTCCTTGTATCATAGTCACTTGAATGCAAATGCAAATCATGGGCTAATGATTTAACTATATTTTTGTATCGGAATGGCACTGTTTGATATGTCATTTATCTATTTATTTATTTGACCAATTTTATTGAGGGGATTGATGGGATCTTGAACATTGATCCGAGCAGGTAAATGGGACCTCGGTTTATCCTCTCATCGGAAGGGAACCCCCCTCTAGCGAGGCAACCCGCTCCCCGGAGCCTCATCTGACATTCACTTTCTCAGGTATTAGGAAATCTGGATTTTTTTTTCTGGATCTAATCACACAGGTTTTTTCCCACGAGAGGGCACCACAGCTTAACTGAACAAACCTTTAAGTGAAAATCGCATTCAGTGGAAACATAAAGACCCAGTTGGAGAGAGGTTAAACATCATAATAATGATCCTTGCACTTGATAGTGCCTTTCGGGTCTTTTAGACGTCTCAAAGCGCTTCACAGAATATATTGTAAATATTTGGGGTGTGATTTTCCAACAGGGCTTTGCAGTTGTTCCTTCTTAGAAAACCACATACTGTATGTGTGTGGGACTCAAGCCTCAGTTGTCACACAGGCTTACAATGACTTTTGTTTTTGTGCTGTAAAAACTACCTCCATGTTAACACACATTTTAGTTGAAAAAGTTGGAAGTGGCTTTAAATGAGGATTGGGTCATCTTCCCACTGCCCCCCCCACCATGGCCATTCCTCATGGGTAAGCACCTGCCCTGCTCTCATCCCACACCTGTGCACTTGCATGTTACAGATGGGGATTGAGAACCAGGACTCTGGCAGATTTTAGTCTCCAGCTGAGAGGCACTAGGACTAAAGTTGGTACTCCAACTATATATTTTGCAGGCAAAACACGGCAGCCAATTACGCACAGCAGCGTCCCACAAACAGTCGTGGATTGAAGTGCCCATTATTTTTTTTGAAGGAATTATTACCCCCAGAAAAGTGATCCACCAATTGACTAACAACCGGGTTCTTACTTACTGCTGGTAAACAGAGGTGTGTGGAGTAAGGAAACTTGCCCAACATTTCACCCTGCTGGAAATCAAACCCAGGTCTCTCGCTTGGGAGGCGAGTGCTCTAACCACTGAACTACAGGGCTCCACAAATATGATGGTAGAGGGGAAGGGAATAGATATAGCGTTTTTTTAAGAAATCATATTCCAGAGAGATCACAGTGTTGTTCTCTTATCTCTTGTTCGTGTTATCATTTCACTTTCTGTTCTCTGTTTAATTGGTTCGATCAGTCCAAGTCGGCACAGTAAAAGGGTTAGAAGCCTTGGGTTTGTATCAGGAGAGCTGGCTGTCCTGATTGTATCCTGGAGAAGGTAACAGAGAAAGGCAACCTCTCGCTCCTCTCAAGGCTTTGTTGAATTCAATCTGAATTGTATTCGGATTACTCATCCTTGATTGCCCATTGCCGATCAGCTTTTAGGATCAGGTGCATGGACGGAATGGATAAGGCATTTGTTCCATCTGTTCCCGTAGAACATATTGCCTTGGAAACAGAATTAGCTTCTGCTGGAGTGGGTGGGGGAGGGAAGAAAGGAAACAAACAGCTTCAGATGCTTCTTATCTCTACTGCAGTTGAAGAAAAATGGAGTTTGCTGAGATTCAGAAGAGCCCCTCTGGTTACCATGGTTTTATTTAAGCTTGCAGCACTTCTTTTGTGTGACTGAATTGAAGGTATGGCCTTGCATATTGTTGGTCATAGAGTTGCTTCATGAGAACAGAACTAAACAACCATTAGTGTAATTCTCCAGCACATTATCACTTCAACATCAGTCTGTCCAGTTAAAATGGAGCTCAGTAAGAGAACGCTGATGGTGGCTATATTAAGAATGCTTCCCCACCCCCTCCCTCCCTCCACAGTTTTCTTTTGTACAATTTACTAAAAAAAATCGAAAATAATTAGCTTATTGGTAAAACAATTAAGTAATTTATACATTTCCACATTATCTGGGCAATTTGCATGAAGATTTATTTTATACAACAGATGTTATCCTCACTTTGTATGTACTTTTGCAGACTATGCATTGGGCCAACTAGTTTCCCACTCCACAGTTAGTGTAATAACTAATAATAATGGTTAGTGTAATAACTAATAACACAATGACTAAAGACTGTAAGGGGTAACTACTTGGTCTCTTTTATATAACATTTGAATTGTGTTTTTTTAAGTTAATTTTGTCAGTAATCATGATTAGTATTGCAGTAATCCTCACGTAAATTGTATCTGTTGGGACCATATATTTAATATAATTGATGCAAAGTATGAGTTATGTGAAACTTATAAATAACAAGAAATTGACGGATCTTGAGCAGATGTACGACTTAGGTGATTATATGATTTATCCAGATCAGACTTAATAATAATAATCCTTGCATTTTATATAGCGACTAGACACTTCTAGACGCCTCAAAACACTTCACAGAATATACTGTAAAACAAATTGACTGTATATTTTGTGGGTGAAACACGGCAGCCAATTGCGCACAGCAGTGTCCCACAAACAGTCATGGATTGAAGTGACCAATTTATTATTTTTTTTGAAGGAATTATTATCCCCGGAAAAGCGATCCACCAATCGACTAACAACTGGGTTAATAATAATAATAAATAATCCTCGCATTCGATATAGCGCTTTTCACGTCTTCTCGACGTCTCAAGGCGCTTCACAGAACACACTGTAAAGTGAATTGACTGTATATTTGTGGGCGAACGCGGCAGCAAATTGCGCACAGCAATGTCCCACAAACAGTCGTGGGTTGAAAATGACCAATTTATTATTGTTTTGTTTTGGAGGTATTATTATTAGGCTCTGTGTGAAGTAAGGAAACTTGCCCAAGGTTTTGCCTGGAATCAAACCCAGGTCTCTCGCTTGCAAGGCGAGTGCTCTAACCGCTGAACTACAGGACTCCACAGGACTGCTGTAAGTTTTACTGAAGCTGTCTAAAATGTTATTTCCATTCTCCAGGTCTCACTGGTTGTCAACGTTGCCAGTGAGTGTGGCCTCACAGAGAATAACTACAAAGAACTGCAACAGCTGCAGCGAGACCTGGGCCCAAACCATTTCAATGTGCTGGGATTCCCCTGCAACCAGTTTGGGAGTCAAGAGCCGGGAAGTGACCAGGAGATTGAGAGCTTTGTGCGCAAGACCTACAAAGTTTCCTTCCCAATGTTCAGTAAGATCGCTGTCAAAGGTATTGGCACCAACGCTGCGTTCAAATATTTAATAGGTAAGCAACGACAACAAGAACAACAACTCACACTTATATTACAACCTTCACGGAAGATAGAGTCTCGGAGCGCCGGGCAATGAGCAAAGATTAGAATCATAGAAAGTTACAGTACAGAAGTATCCTCTAATGTTTCGCCCGTAAAATATGCAGTCAATTCACTTTATGGTATATTCTGTGAAGCGCTTTGAGACGTCTCAATGATGTAATAAGATGCTATATCAAACGTAAGAATTATTATTTATTATTATTATCTATTTGCAAAGTGTGTTGCTCCTGTTTGTTGGTGGTCTGATCAGTCTGCAATTCTAAATTAATCAGCCTTCAATAAGCACAGCGTAAATGCTGAAGAAAAACATTCTTATCAGAATATTTTACATTTTACAGCACCCGCTTGTTCCAATTATTGGTAATGAGCTGAAGAAAAACATTCTTATCAGAATATTTTACATTTTACAGCACCCGCTTGTTCCAATTATTGGTAATGATCAACAGTTTTATACTTGCAACCTGATGTATTATTGTAATAATCATCCAGTTGGAAATTCAAACCAAGGTGTGTTCGGGAGTTTAAATTGCCGAGATAGGAAGATTATAACTGTGGAGGAAGTTGAGAACAGAATTAATAAGAATATCTGGATTTTCATCTGTGAGAGAAAACTATTCTTCCAACTACTGCCTGACTGAGGAACAAATCCTGTCCCTCCCATGAGCTTTCTGAAGGACCAATGATCTCATATGTGAAGCTCGATGTTTTATTGAATGAGTATACAGTACTGAAAATCACCGTGTGTTGATGAATACAAGAGGCTGTTTGGCATGGTGGAATCAAGGCTTAATGAAATTACTTTGTTTTTGTGTTCAGGGTAAGCAAGTCAGAGTAGAACCACTGAGAGACTCGTGTCTTTGGTTCAGATCTGCTTCATTAGCATTTATAGAAGCAAAACGACTGCAGATTCATTCACAAATTAGCACTCCAGTTGCTGAATGTCAAATAAGAAATACTGCATCTCTAGAGTCTACATCAAAGTGGTCCGTGATTCCACCTAGTCTTAGCCATCTCATCTTAAAACTGAAGGCCGTTCAGTTTCTTACATTTTAAAACAAAATGGGGTTACACAAGCTAACAGTTCTTAATTAGAATGGGTATAGATAAAATAGACAGTCACTACACTTTACAATATATTCTGTAAAGCGCATTGAGACATGTCAACAATGTGATAAGGTACTCTATCAAATGCAAGAATTATTATTCAAATTTAAATCCAAATTAAAGATAGAATTCCACATTTCTATGCAATATTAAATTGTAAGACAAAATGATCCCACAGGCTACGATTAGAGGGAATTTCTGCCCTTGAATCCACAAGACTCAATCTCAGACTTAGATGTATTCCTCATCTCAATGCTGGTCTTTTTGAAATCCGTCACTCACCAGGTCACCTCAGTCTCTGTCAGCTGATACAAACATAAATATAATCATCCGTGCATTTGATATAACTCCTGATCAAATCCTCGAGACATCTCATGGCGGTTCACAGAATATAATGTAAAGTGAATTGACTTCATATATTTTGTGGGCGAAATGCAGCAGCCAATTGTGCACAGCGATGACCCACAAACAGTCGTGGATGAGTGACCGAATTATAATAATTTTTTTTCAGCACAAAAGACTGTTCAGCCCACGTAATTTGTCCATGGGTGTTTCCTGCTCCAGTGCCATTCCCCATTTGGCTTAGCTTCAATAAATATTGGCAGTATCCAGCTCCACATTCTAATACAGCAGTTTTGCCTGCAAAAAAAAGGCATTTTCTTCTGTCCAAACCCACCCATCCCCTTCAGCAATCAGGGAGAAATGTCATAGTGCTTTGAATTTCTTGTAAAGTTTTACTTGTGCTCAGTCACCTTCCTCAGTCTGAGGACTGTAAATAATGGTCACGGCAATAATCAGACTGCACTTCCTTACAGATGCCTTTGGGAAGGAACCGGACTGGAATTTCTGGAAGTATCTGGTGGACGTGAATGGAAAGGTAGTGAGTGCCTGGGGTCCAACTGTCTCCATAGAAAAGATCAAGCCCCACATCACACCTCTCGTGAGGCAACTCATTATCAGCCGAAAGGATGAGCTGTAATTTCCCACTGACTACACATTCTCCAGCATTCAGCCACTGTCTCACTATTCAGCGTTGGATTAATTCACTTAAATCCCAGTGGTATTTGATTGGAGAATAGTTCCCTCCCCCTCGCCAGTAAGCAAGATGTTCTATGCATCATTCATAAATGGTTAAACATTTTGTTTATTTATAACTTCTTTCCATCAGTTATTATTACTTTGTATTTTTCAACTTAGTTTTTAAAAAAATTGCTTTAGTTCATTACTCCTGACATTTAGTGTTAAAGGTCATGAGAGGATTCGATGTGCGGCTGGATTGTTGATGAGCTGTTTGCACTTGTTGGTGAATACACAAGCAGGGACATTACTATAGGATAGGCAGTGGCTCAGCTAGAAGGGGGTTTAGGAAAAGCATCTTCGGGCAGAGGGTGGCGAGAACATGGAACTCACTGCCAGAACCTGCGGTTGAAGCAAAAAAAATCAATGTTTGTATTTAAGAGGAAACATGTTGCTTTCAGGAGGTAGAAAGGAATAGAGGTGTAGAGGAGAGGGGAATAGGAGGAATGAAAACTTGTGTGGAAAGATAGTATTGCAAGATCATGGTTTCTTCCAAAAACTGGAACATCAAACAGAGTCCACCTTTATGTGGGATTGATGCTGCAACGTGAGGTTGCTACAAGGTCGTCTGAGATTAAATGTGTCTCTACAAACAATATCTGTATTCTTTTTTTTACATTCCACGCTTTAATGTTGAACACACGACTGCTCCAGTGATTCCGAAGGTAAAATCAACCCACAAATCATTTCTTTCTCACAACAAAAGGTTGTGAAAACTCAGAATGGACAGCTCCCAGTCAGCTTATAGTTACAGAATCAACCGAGGGGTTTTAATAGGGAGATGGACACTTCAGAAATAATAAGAGCATTTGGGCGTGGAGGAGAGATGCTGAAGTGAAATTGGATTGAAAAAAGGTTGTGATGAATGTCTATAGCGGTGGAGCAGACACAGTCACAGTCCTATGTACAGTCACAGTCCACACGTGTTTCCTTCTCAGGCCTTCCCATGTTAGTGATATGAATCAGCCACCAGGAAGAGTGGGTGAAGAGGTGTCTGTTCCTCTGATTATTCTCCCCTCTCCTTTGTGAGAGAACACTTGCACAGGTTTAGGGGGTCTAGAACTTGAGGTTATAGTTTTAAGATCATAGCAATGAGGTCCAGGAAGGTGTTTGGGAGGAAACTTCTCACACAGAGAGCTGCAGGAGTGTGGAATTCTCTGCCACAATCAGTTGTTGGGGTGGCAGCCATACAACAACACCTTGCATTTATACAGCGGCCTGCACGCCGGGTAGCTTCCCGGAGCTCTGAGAGCCATTTGCACATTCAAAACAAGTCTGGATATGTGGTTGAGGTAGAATAAAGTTGAGGATATGGGGAAAGGGCTGGAATATGGGACTAGGGATAGGATCAGGGTGGGCTCTCATGTAGAGTATAAACACCGACCCACTGTTTCTGAGCTGTACTATCTATGATGCTCTGCACTAAAACAAGGAGCTCAATAGCTTGGGCAGATTGAACCAAGTTTTGGTGCTTCAAATGACTGTATGTGCCATTGTTTGGGACACATTTCATTTTGCGTCAAAGCAACAGACGTTTGTTGTTGAAGTAAGATTCCAAATCTGACAGATCAACTATTTTGTCTCACCATTTTTAGGAGAGGGGAAAGTAATGGGCTCCTGTTCACTGTGTGGTGCTATGTGCTCTGTATTCTGAAATTCTAGTGCTGTACAAAATAAAATGTACCTGAAAGCAACTCTTTAGTGAATACATATCGGATGTAAGGTTTGTTATTGTTACAGCATCAAGCGTTTTCTATTAAGTGATTCCGGTGTCCTGGCCTCAACCATATTCCAGGTAAACCCAGTTGTTAATTATGTGAAGAAATATTTTCGGATGTCTGTCCTGAAATTGGTCTCTGCATCTCTACACCTGTAGCCTCTAGTTCTGCTGTCTTGGCACATCCAAAAGTTTTGTTCTGGATTAATTTCTCAATCCTAGCTGTACAATACAATGCAAAATCGTGTCCGTCGTGTCAGGAGGGCATCTCAAAGTGCTGAACACTGCTAGCTGGGCAACCAAGCTGGGGGATGGGGAGGGGAAGGATGACCGAAAGATGACCAAAAGCGGGGTCAAAGGGGTATGTCTTGAGACGGTCCTTGATCAAGATGAGGGAGGGCGTGAGTCAGATGTGCTTTGGGAATGGAGTTCCAGAGACCAGAGGCAGAAATACTCAACATACAAAACAAGTAGTGACACAAAGGGCATTTGTCCCTAAATATTTACTGAGTTCATTGCTGGAAACTACTGTGAGTATTCCTCTATAACTGTAATTGAATCAAGGTATTGACGAGAAACTAATCACTTTCACAATTAAACACTTCTATTATGATACAAAATGACATTTGTAGAGTGCCTTTCACATCGGGAGGACACAATATTAAATAGTCAGGTTACCTCGATGAACAATTTTATGTTTTTCCAACTCGAATCGAAATTCTTACAAAGCAGACGTGTTCTTTTCATTCCTAGATTATTACAGTGCTCAGCTAAGTCTTCTTATTGATTAGGAGGAGCGCCCTTCTCATGTAAGGAATTGAATTATTGATTAATATATAGATTTTGAAAGTGTGCACTTCAAGACTAACTGGGATTGTTGCTGAGTATCATTCAGCAATTGCCCTCACAGACCTGACTGTAAGTTGGAAGCACTTCATATCACTCTACAATCACGCTAATGGTGACCTTCCATTTTAACTAGATAGTCTAAACTTCAAAGGTGCCCACTGCAACTCCAATAATTACATATTGTGAAGTAAAATACACAGGATAAACAACAACAACAAAATTTCATTTATAGAGCACCTTTCACGTCAGGAGGACGTCCCAAGGTGCTGGACAGTTGGGTCAGGACCCAAGTGGGGGGAAATGGTCAGGGGGAGGGGAGGGGAGGGAGGGAGCGAGGAGGGGGTAGAGAGTCGAGAGAGGAGCTGAAGGCTGAAGGTCAAAGAGAAAGGTCTTGAGACCGGCCTTGAAGGAGGAAAGGGAGGAAGCGGCGAAGGCACTGGGGGATGGAGTTCCAGAGCCTCGGGGCTGAGAGGCTGAAGGCCACCAATGGTAGGGCGGTTGGGGCGGGGGATGTGGAGCAGACCGGAGCCAGAGGGACGGAGGGTACAGGCAGGTAGGTAGGGGGATAGTAGGTCAGACAGGTTGGAGGGAGCAAGGCCGGGAATGGCCTTGTAGGTGAGGATGAGGATCTTGAATTCGATCCTCTGGGGGATGGGGAGCCAGTGGAGGCGAGCGAGGGTGAGGGCGAGGGCGAGGGTGGGAGTGATGTGGTCGCGAAGCCTGGTGCGGGACAGTACACGAGCTGCAGAGTTCTGAATGACCTGCAGTGTGGAGGGAGGTGGCGGGAAGGCCGGCGAGGAGAGAGTTCCCATAGTCCGGCCTTGAGGTGATAAAGGCGTGGACCAGAGTTTCAGCCGCGTGAGGGGTGAGGTAGTGCCGTAGTCTGGCGATGTTCTGGAGGTGATGGAAGGCGGTGCCAGTTGTGGCGCGGATATGAGGGAGAAAGGACAGCTCAGGGTCGAACAGAACCCCGAGGTTCCTGATGGCTTTGAGAGGTGGAGAGTGCAGCCTTGGAGCTGATGCTGTCAGCGCCTGAGGTGCGGAGGCGCTGACGTGAGCCTATCAGGAGGGCCTCAGTTTTGCGCACGTTGAGTAACTGGGTCAGAGAGCTCACAAGGTAATCATTCAAAATATACAGTCACTACACTTTGCAATATATTCTGTGAAATGCTTTGAGATGTCTCAAAGACATGATAAGGCGCCTTATCAAATGCAAGGATTATTAAGGATTTTATTATAAAGCAAAGAGATGCCCTGGTGTTAGGAAACGCAATGATCCACATGACAATGAGTGCAGATGACCTTCCTATGAGTTGGTTGATGATTTGAGTGCTTGTGGGATCTCTTTGTCTTTGTTGCAGAGCCAAAATGTTGGGCTGGGTTTTCTTTATTCTAACAAACATCGTTGCTACGAGACAGCTCCTAATAGATCCTCATAACATGCACAGAAACATCTGGCTCAGCCCACTCTCCCACAAAGTAAAACCTGGTGATCATATTGTCTGGTGCAGATTAATTGCTGATGCTTTCCTGCAACTGTCTAACCATTTCTCACATTCCACATCAGAATTACACAACACGCAGAGTGACTGAACACCTGTGACTAATTTGCTGTATTTTGACATTAGATTTATTTATGAAGAGCTCCACTCTGATCCCTGTCAACTGGTGGAAATCTGCTCCAGAAGCAGATAGGTAACTGGGCTGAGCTTCCATTTGTGTGACTCGGATTCATTATTAAGAAATCCTGCAAAGTAGGACCCGCGGATTAACGTCTCATCCAGAGGGCGGCATCTCCAACAACGCAGCACGCCCCCAGCACTGCATTGCAACGACACCTTAGACTATGTGATAATTCACATTCCGACATGGGGCTTGAACCCACAACCTTCTGACTCAGAGGCGATAGCGCTAACACTGAGCCAAGCTGAAATGGACAAGCAGTAGGAAGCTTGCCAGATAGTGCTCTTAATGGTTGCCACACAGTTTTAGTTGGTTAAACTCCAGCACTACCCCAATGCACGCTCTGGGGTCCCCAAGGGTTGGCTCTTGCCAACCTGCGCCTAATATGCTTCCAGATTAGGTAAACATTAGGATGTGTCCCTCCAGTGAGAGAGTGCGCATTCCATTCCAAACACAGTGAAGTTTCCATGGGTTTCAGCATGTGTCTGACATCCAGCTGAGCAAACAAAACTCACAACCACTGTTCAAAGAATGGAAGAAGTTCCACTGTATTGAGCTAACAGAGAGCGGCCCATTTAAGGTACGATGGTGCAATTTTCTGACTGATGTAAACTCAGCTCCCACTGAGCCTCTGACTCAGATCAATAGAGTGTTTCCAGATCAGTTTAAGATTTTGCAAAGATTAAGTGAGTCAAAAAGTTAGGTACTAAACAATGTAGATGCTGTATGAATGTGTTATTAGTTATCTAAGAGACACAGACAGGCAAGGTGGATTCTTTCAGGGGAGCAAGTGTTGCCTTCTACGCAGGAATCAATATGTCCAAACCTGCAGGAATTTAGCATTTAAACAGCATCTCAGTTAATACGGAGGTTCCATCCACTCTTAGGCTGTAAGACCATTACTTTATAACATAAGATTGCGCAGAATTCTGGAAAGTTCTTAAATTCAATCTCAAATTGGTCTGAAATGCTGTACGCTGTCCAGCACCTGGGGACGTCCTCCCGACGTGAAAGGCGCTACACAAATGTAATCAGGTTGTTGTATTCTGAGAAGATACAATAAGAATCTGAAAAATAATCCTCGTATTTGATACAGCGCCTTTCACGTAAGGAGGATGTCTCAGGTGTTTCGCAGAAAGTACTTTAAAGTGTAGTGTAGTATTTTGTGAGCTAAAGTACCCACCAATTTCTACGCACCAATGTCCCACAAACAGCCATAAAATAATTTGCTGGCAAAAGAAGACCAAGGTCCATTTAATTCACCTTCCACCATCCTGACATGTGGTGTCCCCAAATTATATACTGTACCCCCAGATATTATTTTCCAGCAGAAATCAATCTAATTTGTTCTTGAAACAAACAATAACTTTCTGCTTCCACCGTCTGTCTGTCTCCCGAGGGAGCCTGTTCCATACTTTTACTACTCGCTCACTGAAGTAGTGTTTCCGCAGATTTGTTCAGAATTTACCCCCTTCAATCACAGGCCGAGCGAGGCCTCTGGTTCTACTGTTCACTATAAGATTAAAGAGCTTCTCATTTAGCAAATCATATACTCAGTGGTGTAAGGGAGATCGTGGGTTACTTGATCTCTCCTCTGGCGACACCCACTGGCTCTCTTATGTGCTGCTCAACCAGAATCCTGCCTGACTGCAAGTGAAGGATTATAATATTTAATGTTTATTGGAATGAATATAGAATATATTTCACCTGATACAGTACCGTGTGAGCTTTCTCTCCCCGCACCCCCCCCCCCCCCCACAACCCCCGAGTGGTGGGAATTTGTTGACTCGTTTTGATGAAAAGACAGAATAAGGAATTTCCTAATGTTAATCAGATAGAGCGAAGAGTTTAAAAAGCATTTTTTATTTCCATTTAGAACGGTATATAGTTGTTTTTAAAAAAAAGCCATGACATGTGTTGTTATTGTAATATATTACGATAACAATACTAATTATTATTATTATTACTCCCAGCTGGTCTGTGAATTAGCATTTTGCAATTCATTGAATTATTGCTCTAATAAAATATCCTTCGGAAGGGCAAACTGTAAAGCCAGTTGGATTGGATTGGATTCAAATCAGAAATAACCTGTTGACTCGAGACTTTTCATTTATATCTCGATGGGGCGGGGGGGGGGGGCGGGGGATGGTACAGTATTTCTGTGTTGTGCCAAGGTTTGCAGTTTATTGGTTGTTTCCGTAGTGTATCTATTCTTATTAGAATATTTAGGTTCGCCCGGGTTTAGGTTTGGGTTTAGGTTTGCCCTGATTTTTGCTGTTAAATTGCTGTTAAATTCCAGGCAGAGGGCGAAACCTTGGGCAAGTTTCCTTACTCCACACAGAGCCCAATAATAATCCCTCCAAAAAAAAAAAAACAATAATAAATTGGTCATTTTCAATCTACGACTGTTTGTGGGACATTGCTGTGCGCAATTGGCTGCCGCGTTCGCCCACAAATATACAGTCAATTCACTTTACAGTGTGTTCTGTGAAGCGCTTTGGGACGTCCTCCCGACGTGAAAAGCGCTATATCAAATGCAAGGATTATTATTATTATTATTAAATTGACGCCAGCCCTGTCAGGCTAACTGCCATTACTGGGTGTGGGTTAGGTTTGATATTTTACTTTACTGCAGCCACTGAATTGCACCTCAAGGCTGGTAAAGATTAATGACCATAATAACTGCAGTTATATAGGCAGTACATTGTCTGCTGTTCTGGAGAACTGAAACAAACAACGTTTCTCCCACAAAATATACAGCCGTCACTTTATAGTATATCCTGTGAAGTTTTTTTGAGATGTCTCGATTATGAGATAAGGCAACGACTATTATTATTATTATTAACTTCTTCGTGGATTCTCTAAACTAACAGGTTACACCTCATCAAGCTATTACCCTCACACTGTTCCCCAGGAACATATCTAGGTTCCAAGGTTTGATCGGGCAAGACTTTTTCAAAAAGTTTTCAAACACATTTAATTGTTGTGATCCTCAGACCAGCAGTTGGCATTGCCAAGTGGTTCTGTAGCTCTCGCCTACCCCAGCTGTGGATTCATTCTCTTCAGGGCAACTGGGTGGTTGGGATGCCAAGTGCACACTGCGGAGAGAGACAGACAGACAGAGAGAGACAGAGAGAGACAGAGAGAGACAGACAGAGAGGCAGAGGAACCACCTTGTTCCAATACTCAAGATGTCCAGTGTGTTTCCAATCCCCAAAGCATCTTCAGAGCATCTTCTGGAGCAGTTGGACACCGCGAGAGGCCATTTGTCAGAGGAGCAGCGGCTCTGGTGATCAGGAGAACAGGGAGAGCAGTGCCAACTGATAGGTTACCTGATGGCTCAGGGACTTTACACACACACTAACACTTACACATTAACACTTACACACTAACACACACTAACACACTAACACTTATTCCTGTAGCTCAGGGGTTAGAGCACTCACTTTGCGAGCGAGAGACCTGAGTTCAATCCCAGGCAGAGGGCGAAACCTTGGGCAAGTTTCCTTACTCCACACAGAGCCTAATAATAATCCTCTAAAACCAAAAACAATAATAAATTGGTCATTTTCAATCTACGACTGTTTGTGGGACATTGCTGTGCGCAATTGGCTGCCGCGTTCGCCCACAAATATACAGTCAATTCACTTTACAGTGTGTTCTGTGAAGCGCTTTGGGACGTCCTCCCGACGTGAAAAGCACTATATCAAATGCAAGGATTATTATTATTATTATTACACACTAACACTTACACTGACACACACACAGCCCCACAGCCCGTGTCCGGTGCGGTGCGGTGCCCTCCGGTGCGGGTGCGGTGCCCTCCGGTGCGGTGCGGGCAGACAGTCCCCGCTCTCTGCCCTCCCGCTGTCCGGCGGGCGGTACCGTCAATGTGCGGTCGGTGTGTGTCGGTGTCGGAGCTCCCGATGGCGGTGAGTGATCATTGCAGCGGTTATTACGGCGCCGACCGTGTGCGGGTGTCCGGGTTCTCCTGTCCTCAGCCCCACACCGCCCCGACCGCCGGGTACTGCTGCGGCTTCAGTGACTTCAAGTACTGTTGCGATGATCCCAACAGTTTCTTTCCATATGAATACAGTTACATGTGGTGGTTAAGGTAAGTGGGGGTGAGGGGGGGGGGGGGGGTGAGGGGGGGAGGGGGGGGGTAAGGGGCTTGTGGGAGGGGGGGAGGGGGGGAGGGGGGGGGTGAGGGGGGGAGGGGCTTGTGGAGGGGGGGCTGAGGGGGTGAGGGGCTTGTGGAGGGGGGGCTGAGGGGGGTGAGGGGCTTGTGGAGGGGGGGCTGAGGGGGGTGAGGGGCTTGTGGAGGGGGGGCTGAGGGGGGTGAGGGGCTTGTGGAGGGGGGGCTGAGGGGGTGAGGGGCTTGTGGAGGGGGGGCTGAGGGGGGTGAGGGGCTTGTGGAGGGGGGGCTGAGGGGGTGAGGGCTTGTGGAGGTGGGGGTGAGGGGCTTGTGGAGGGGGGGCTGAGGGGGTGAGGGGCTTGTGGATGGGGGCTGAGGGGGGTGAGGGGGTGAGGGGCTTGTGGAGGGGGGCTGAGGGGGGTGAGGGGCTTGTGGAGGGGGGGCTGAGGGGGTGAGGGGCTTGTGGAGGGGGGCTGAGGGGTGAGGGCTTGTGGAGGGGGGGCTGAGGGGGCTGAGGGGGTGAGGGGGGATTCCTACTCCCAGTGACAAGACATCGCATTGTGTGTGTTTTTGATTCTTGTGGTTTAGGAGGTATTTGGGACTGAAATGTTCTGTGTATATAACTACACGTTGTTACTGTTGTTGTTGTGATGTTCTGCTGTTTAAACAACAAGAACTCCCTGTAACTCAGGGGTTAGACCCCTCCCCTCGCACCCCACAGCCCCTGTAGCTCAGGGGTTAGACCCCTCGCCCCCCACCCCACAGCCCCTGTAGCTCAGGGGTTAGACCCCTCGCCTCGCACCCCACAGCCCCTGTAGCTCAGGGGTTAGACCCCTCCCCCCCACCCCACAGCCCCTGTAGCTCAGGGGTTAGACCCCTCCCTCGCACCCCACAGCCCCTGTAGCTCAGGGGTTAGACCCCTCCCCCCCACCCCACAGCCCCTGTAGCTCAGGGGTTAGACCCCTCCCTCACACCCCACAGCCCCTGTAGCTCAGGGGTTAGACCCCTCCCTCACACCCCACAGCCCCTGTAGCTCAGGGGTTAGACCCCTCGCCCCCACCCCACAGCCCCTGTAGCTCAGGGGTTAGACCCCTCACCCCCCACCCCACAGCCCCTGTAGCTCAGGGGTTAGACCCCTCCCTCGCACCCCACAGCCCCTGTAGCTCAGGGGTTAGACCCCTCCCCCCACCCCACAGCCCCTGTAGCTCAGGGGTTAGACCCCTCGCCTCACACCCCACAGCCCCTGTAGCTCAGGGGTTAGACCCCTCCCTCGCACCCCACAGCCCCTGTAGCTCAGGGGTTAGACCCCTCGCCTCCACCCCACAGCCCCTGTAGCTCAGGGGTTAGACCCCTCCTCGCACCCCACAGCCCCTGTAGCTCAGGGGTTAGACCCCTCGCCTCGCACCCCACAGCCCCTGTAGCTCAGGGGTTAGACCCCTCGCCCCCACCCCACAGCCCCTGTAGCTCAGGGGTTAGACCCCTCGCCTCACCACCCACAGCCCCTGTAGCTCAGGGGTTAGACCCCCCCTCGCACCCCACAGCCCCTGTAGCTCAGGGGTTAGACCCCTCGCCTCACACCCCACAGCCCCTGTAGCTCAGGGGTTAGACCCCTCCCTCGCACCCCACAGCCCCTGTAGCTCAGGGGTTAGACCCCTCGCCTCACACCCCACAGCCCCTGTAGCTCAGGGGTTAGACCCCTCGCCTCGCACCCCACAGCCCCTGTAGCTCAGGGGTTAGACCCCCTCCCTCGCACCCCACAGCCCCTGTAGCTCAGGGGTTAGACCCCTCGCCCCCACCCCACAGCCCCTGTAGCTCAGGGGTTAGACCCTCGCCTCACCACCCCACAGCCCCTGTAGCTCAGGGGTTAGACCCCTCGCCTCGCACCCCACAGCCCCTGTAGCTCAGGGGTTAGACCCCTCGCTTCGCAAGCCAGAGGACCTGGGTTCGATTCTCGGGTGGGACAGGACAGGGCGAGACCTTACGCAAGTTTCCTTACTCCGCATACATGCCTCTGTTTACCAGGAGTAAGTAGATTGGCGTGTTAGTCGATTGGCAGATGGCTTTCCAGTGGTAATAACCCCTCCAAATAAATAAATACATAAATAATAATTTGGTCACTCAATCCACGACTGTTTGTGGGACGCTGCTGCGTGCAATTGGCTGCCGCGTTTCACCTTCAAAATATACAGTCAATTCACTTGGTCAGGACACTGGACTCATTTAAAAAAACCCAGCTTGATGTTCTGACGGTTGGCTGTTCTGGAAGGATGAGATCAAATGGGCTGAAGGTCCTTCTTCATCCAAACCTCTCGGGATCTTGTGATTTCTCGTTTTTCCCGCTGTGTATGGATAGATTTCTGATAGAATCTGTAACTTACCACCTGCCTTTCCACGTACAAAACCCTTTTGGTTTTGCCTGTTGCCTTTCAGTATCGGCGCTCTGGTGGGTCTCTTCATTGCTGCTGTGGTGCTGTTGGCTTTCGTCATCACCGTCTGTGTTCTCTGCTATTTATTCATCCGCACAAAGCCACAGCACAGGCTGGACACTGGACTTGATCTGCAGACACTGGGTAAGTCAGCTTCATTCACAGATTGGGCCTTGTATATGGTCCTGAGTGAACTCCTGATAACAAGTCCCTGATGCATATCATTTATATCATCACAGCAGATTACAGCATCGTGTTGTCAATGTGCTCTGCAGCTTCCTATGCAAAATGTGAATAAGGGGCCCTCCCTTTATTTTGTCACTTACTTATATCATATGAAGTTACATTCTGTACAGCCCGGTAAGTAAAAATATCAGATATATTATTGGAGTTAACTTACCAGTGCTCCTAGCAGTCACTTATGATGAGCGACTATCTTACTCCGAGTATCACAGACTTTTTTTTTAGTAGATTGAGATCATTGCAGCGTTTTGTGAGCTATTTTTTAAATGTCAAATTTGCAGCTGTTTTGTGGCTTTCAATATTATTCCTCTGATTGTATTCCTGGAATGACACATTGGCAAGGTGATTAATCTCACCTGCGCTCTCGGAAAGTTGTGTTTTTGTTAGGGCGGAGGAATGACGTAACTGTCTGCCAGGTTTTGTGATATTTGAAACAGCACAACAATGTATTTTGTTGTGTGCAAATTGTTTATTACATGAAGATGTTTGGTGTCACATCTAAATTGGAAATACAGGATCTTTGTTATATTAATTTGGTCACTCAAACCGTGACTGTTTCTGGGACACTCACTGCTGTGCCCAATTGGCTGCCGCATTTCGCCCACAAAGTATACAGCCAATTCACTTGAGAGTATATTCTGTGGATAACAACAACAAAAAAATGACATTGGTATAGTGCCTTTCACGTCAGGACGTGAAGCGCTTTGAGATGTCTCAAAGACGTGATAAGGCGCGATATCAAATTCAAGGATTATAATTTTTATTATCATTTGTTCTTTAATACACTAAAATGCATCTCCTGAGAAATGCAGTTTCCATGCAGATCTCAACACAGATCTCTGCTATAATATTCATATTTCAGCTGATAATATTACTAGTCTCTCAAATACAAGTGACATTAATGTACATTTCTCCCCAGTGTACAATTGACTTAAGAGGCTAACACCACTTGTATGCAACTAGCACTCGCTAAGTGTAGATCAGTTTGACATGTCAGTGACTGAAAATAAGGCACAGGAGTTGGAGTTGAGCAGAAAAAGCACCACCACCAACAACAACTTGCATGTACATATCGCCCTTCACGCAGAATAGCGTCCCAGAGCACTTGAGACAAGTCAAATCTCTGACTGTCCATTGCTTTGTGATGTCCTCCCGACGTGAAAGGCACTATACAAATATAATATTGTATTGTACTGTACCCTGAGGGAGAGCCGCTATGCAAATGTTTAACTTTCTCAGGGAGTTGTTAACATCATATTATTTTCCATAGAAAAATAGTCCTTTTCATTATTTTCTGATCTGCAACCTTGGTCCTTTGAGTCTCAATGGATTTACTCCCAGTTCATGAACTGCAGCAGAAAATGTCGCAGTGACTTTTCATAATCGAAAAGAATCATAGAATGTTTCAACACAAACAGAGGCCATTTAGCCCATTGTATCTGCAGCAGAATCTGAAGCAAACACCCTGCCCTTTCCTTGAAGCCTTTTACATTCCCTTTACACATTTTTTTTCAAATTATTTGTTCAATTTCTTTAAAAAGATTATTAAGGATTCTGCTTCAACCATCAGTTTCTGGCAGGCGTTCCATGTCCAGCTATAATAATAATGATAATAATAATAAGCCTTGCATCCAAGGATGCACCTTCCACCTTACTAAGCCAGTCTGGAAGCTTGGCGTCTTGTTTGATCCTCAACTATCCTTTCTACCCTACATCTGTGCCATGATCTGCTCTGCCTTTCCCCACCTCCACAACATCGCCCGGCTCCGCCACTGTCTCACACCGCAGGTCGCCGAACCCTCATACACACCTTCATTACATCGAGGCTCGACTGTGCAAACTCACTGCTTGTCGGTCTCCCCAACTCCTCCCTCCACAGACTGCAGATCATCCAGAACTCTGCAGCTCGTGTCCTCTCCTGTACCAGGCTCCGTGACCTTATCACCCCCATCCTCGCCCGACTCCACCGGCTTCCCATCACACAGAGGATACAGCTCAAGATCTTCACCTGGTCTTCACCTTCAAAGTCCTCCATGGTCTTGTTCTTGTTTCTCTGTGACCTCCTAACCCCGTACCATCCTGCTCGCTCCCTCCACTTAGCGGGCTCCAGCCTGCTTCACCCCCCGCCCCACCTCGCTCGCCCCTCTATTGGCGGGCGGGCCTTCTGCCACTCTGCCCCCCACCCTCTGGAACTCCATCCCTCAGTCCCTCTGCCTCACCCCCTCCCTTGCCTCCCTCAAGATCCAGCTCAAGACCCTCCTCTTCGACCGTGCTTTCAGTCACCCTACTTCCCCTCGCCCCTCCCCCCCCGACTCCCAGCTCATGTCCGAAACTGACTGTCCAGCATCTTGGGACGTCCTCCCAATGTGAAAGGTGCTCTACAAATGTAATTTTGTTGTTGTTCTTGTTCTTGCATTTGATATAGCACCTTATCACATCTTCGCGATGTTTCAAAGCGCTTCACAGAACATACTGTAAAGTGAATTGATGTATATTTTATATATAAAACATATACATTTTTGTAACTAAACCTCTATCTAAAAGGTCTCCTGACTGCTCCCTTCGGGGATTTTCTTTTGGTGCTCCTTCATTTTCTTCCTGTGAAGAAGAGGTTTTCATGACAGAACGCACCTGAATTTGTGAACCCGTTCAAATGTTATGTGACTCACCCTTTCTTAGACTCTCTGTCTATTGTAATCAATTTCTTTCACACAGCATTCTCCAAACAACAGACCTGATATACTTCTGTTGTTAGGACATTACATTGGTGATGTACCAGTTACCTATCTATTTGTTGTTAGGATGACACATCCTACTGTGTCCAGAAACACATCCGCTGGAAGCCAATTAGAATGAATCTTTCAATGCCTTTCACATTGGTTATTACCCCACAAATGAAATCATTTATCTTGTCTTTTCCTATTGTACCCAATTTCCAAACTGTATGGGTATAACCCAGAGGACACGGCCTGCGACTGAAGGGGGTAAATTCAGAACGAATCTACGCAAACACTATGTCAGTGAGCAAATAGTAAACCTGTGGAGACAGTTGAAGCAGGAAATTTTGATTCTTTGATACACAGATTAGATCGTTTTCTTTTAGGAAATAACATGATGGGATACAGTACACAGGTAGTTTGGGACATATGTGCATGTGACCTCCAGGAAGGTAGAAAGTGAACTAGATGAACCTTGTTTTTTTTTTGAGTAGCATTTCTTATATTCTCATGGCATTTGAATCGTTCAACATATTGACCAATAAACTTCTAAATTATTACAACTGGGAATTTCACTGTTTTGGGTAACTTTTTATCTTGAAACAAATGAAAAGCTTTGTGTTAATTTTGTTTCCAATGTGAATGCAACCAAATAGGCTTCCAAATGGGAGAATAATAATTAGGTCCAACATGTACATATCCAAATAAGAGATTCTCAACTTAGAATCAGCTTATCAAAGCCTCGATGGAGGTTGAATGCTGAGTCAATAGAAGTGCTAACATGTTAAAATACATGCAAATACTGCATTTCCATCTCATTATCACAAAATAGGCACAAAATAATAAAACCGAATTTCCTCCCTCTTCAGAAGTATATTGATGTGTGCATTTTTGTAGTGTCTGAATTTCCATGAATTTGAAGTGTAAATCGTGAATTCCAATTCATACAGCTCTTGCCTGGTGTCTCTCAAAACTTTCACACAAATATTGAACATCACCAATTAAAATCTTCATTATTACACACATTAAACTTTTGAAAATATTAGCAATCTTATCATCAACTAGGGTTTAAAAAGGTTGAACATCGACATTGATCCACTACCTCTCTGCATTGAGGATATTTTGTTTCGCCCACAAAATATACAGTCAATTCACTTTACAGTATATTCTGTGAAGCGCTTTGAGACATCTTGAAGACGTGATAAGGTGCTATATCAAATGCAAGGATTATTATTATTAAAGAAATGTATTTCCAATTTGCGCATAGCAACGACTCATAAACAGCCATGAGAGGAATGACCGATTAATTGTATCTGGGGGTTTATTAGCTAGGAAACCGGGATAAATTCCCTTCCCTTTTTACATAGTGCTATGGGTTATTTATCATCCACCTGAAGGGGCAGACAGGCCCTTGGCTTAGCACCTCCTTCAGTTGAGATGCACTGAACTCATATTGCTTGGTAAACAGCAAACATATGACTGTGATATTCACATTCCTGGAACCACCAGAGATGTCTTCATTATCATGGTCTCTCTGTACAGTGTAATTGGTGTGGGGGTGGCGGGAGAAATGTAAGTGCTACTTAGATCCTTTATTTTTCTCTTAACTCTGCAAACAAAAGATAAGATGAGGAACAAAATAACACTCTCAATATAATCACCAGTTACAATTCATTCTGCTGATTCAGAAAGGAACAGAAAATCTTCAGCTTGTTGACAAGTACCAATTAATGAGACTGCGTGGAGTGAGGGGAGAGAAGGAGTCATTGCATATATTCCACATATATATTGATACATCCAGATCTCATAGGTATCATGATATCGTCCACCATCACAAGGGATATCAGCCTTGTGTTCGGAGCAATGTTACATTTACACATAGCCAACCAAGGCGAACAAATTAAGTGCTTTATAAATTTGCATGTATATCTGAAACTCTCAGTCTGGTTTGGATACTCTTTAGCACAGCAATGGATTTTCCATGTGTATCCGACACCCAGCTGATCAACAAAACATTTGCAGTGACATTAATTGGGTGTCATCCTGAGCTAAACTTTATTATAGCTGTAAATGCAAAGTGGATACTTGAGATTGAATTGGTCCATTAGGCAGTTTGCATTGGGACGGTTCCAACCAAAATTCCAAATGACCAATAGATTTTAAATGCAGATTGAACTTAACTGTTGAAAGATATTCAACAGTGTGTATGTCAAACTCTTGACTCAGAAGCAAGAATGCTACCAACTGAGCCAGGGAACTGAAGAGTATCCAAACCAGACTGAGAGTTTCAGATATACATGCAAATTTATAAAGCACTTAATGTGTTCACCTTCTTGGCTGGCTATGTGTAAATGTAACATTGCTCACTGGCAACTGGCTATGTTTGTCTGCAAAATACAGTCACTAATTTTACAGAATATCTTATGAAGCGCTTTGAGGCGTCATCCTGATGTGAAAGCCGCTTTGTCAAATAGCCAGATTATTTTTATTATAATTCTTTTACACACACACACATACACAATAGGACAAGGAAGCACTGGGTCTGCTATAAGGTAGTGAAGGAGAGGCTGTGGGGACACAGTGTGTTACTGTGCTGCACAGTGAGCTCGGAGTCCTGGGTGTGAGTCCCTTGGCTTGGCTGACATTCACACTCTTGCTTCTCCCCAGATAATGAGCTGACGAGCTTGGGCCATATCATCGGGCACAGCACCAACACGAAGTGAGACACACAACAGAGAGGAGGTAGGGAATATCAGCAGAGAGGTCACCTCTCCTTCCCCTCCCCCCAGCTCCTCTGCTCTCATCCCGAGGCTCATCGAAAGAAATTGGTGCCTAAAAATTGTCAACTAATTCAATTCCTTCTTTGCTGATTGAGGATTAGTGCTGACGTGTATGGAATTACTGTCAGGTTGCTGATGGATTTAACCATTTAAAATCTTGCTTGTATTCTCCCAGGTGCTGCACATGCCATAGAGCTGGCCAGTCTGTCCAGTGGCCCGAGCACCATCAGGAAGCCGTTTCAGAGTCGCAGGTTGGACTGTGACAATCAGCCGCCCGAGCCTGACCGACTGTTCCAGAGATGCTTCATGACCACAGTGACTGCCATTAACATGCAGGGCTCCTCGTGAAGTCTTGCGACTCTGTTTCGTGATGTCCCCGACAATGAAGTAAACATGCTTTACCAGCTCTGTAGCTGCATTTGTCGTACCCTGTAACACTGTCTCGTTTCTGTCATTGTGCTGGAAAAAAAACAGAGGTGCTTCATTTAAAATTAAACCATCTTGAAATTGCAATTAATATGCTTTTTAATCTTTGGGTTGTTACCATCGACAAAATACACAGTCACTGCACTTTTCAGAAACTTTGTGAAGCATTTTTGAGATGTTTTGGCTTTAAAGGCTACATGACATGCAATGATTACCATTATTATTTATTATTATTATCACCAGTATAACTTGGAAATGGAAAGAATATAAATATAATTCACATTTATACAGTGCCTGTCACATCGAGAGGATGTCTCAAATTGCTTGGTTGAATGAATGGAAATAGGGAAAGAAAGAGAGAGGAATGGATAAGGGAGGGAGGAATATAGAATCTGATAGAGGAGGAAAGAAGGTGGTAAGCGAGATAAGAAGAAAAAGAAGTCTTGGTTGGCATTTATATTGTGGTTCTGAAGACTTGAATTGTGTTGCTAAAGAGAACTCTTGATACAGTGAACAAATATTGAGATGAGACATGGGAGCTATAATAATAATAAATAATCCTTGCATTTGATATAACACTTTTCACGTCTTCTCGATGTCTCAAAGCGCTTCACACAATAGATTGTAACTGTTTTCATCATTGAATGTAAGGCCAGCAGGGAATGAGACACAATGATTTATCTTCCCCCAAATCTTATCCCAGTAATCCACTCCCTCTTTGTGTGGGTGTTCATTGGAAGTTCATATGAAATCTATTTTCACATTCACTTGCTATTCAGGCTGCTGCTGAAATTTCTCAGCTTCCTTCTGTACCTGGTTTGGCTTTCCCTACCTTTCTGCTTGATATTCAGGTTGCGTAGCTTCTTCTGAACCGCCTGCCAGAGTTGTCCAGTTGCATTGGAGGATACTGCAGGAGACTTGGAAACACAACGTCTAAGCTGACACTCCAGTGTGTTGGGGGTGTGCTGCATGGTTGGAGGTGTCCTTCAGATGAAACATTAACCTGAGGTCCCATCTGCCTGTTCAGCTGGGCATTAAAGATCCCGCGGCGCTATTCGAAAAGAGAAGGGAGTTTCTCAATCTCTCCCGGTGTCCTGGCCAACAGTCCCACAAATAAAATTGTTCACTCACCCCATGGCTGTTTGTGGGACACTGCTGTGCACAATTGGCTGCCTTAGCTCCTCCACAAAATACACGATCACTACACTTTACAGTGTATCCCGTGAAGTGCCTGGAGACATCTCGACGACGTGTTAAGGAGCTGTGTCAAATGCAAGGATTATTATTAATATTAGCATAATAGCTAAAAGCATGTGGCTTGTCATTTCAAACACCGACTGACAAACGTCCCAATTCCACGGTTAACAGAAACCTAATGAGAAGATTGTCAGAGTCACTCCCCCTCCCTCCCTCACTCCCTCCCTCCCCACCCACCTAGTGACAGTGAAACGAAATGTGCCAGAATGAGCACGGAATTATAATGCCGGCTATGGGTATTAATCCCACTAATGCCCACTTTACCCTATTCAGGTGTAAAGTGCCTCGTACTCAGGTGCCTAGGCATGCAGAGTGGGCTGGCTGGGTTTACATTGTTTGCTCTGTGTTGCTTTCAATCTGGCAGGAAAAGAGATTATTTTTTCTCTCCCGCGCTTGCAATCAAGATAATAGTTTATTCTCACAGATTTCAAAGGTCCCTATCTTCACACTTGGTTGAAACGAATTAATGTTCTTTCAACGCAGGATGTTTCTTTCTTTCAACTTTCACCAGGAACTTCCAATGTAGAATGAATGTACTTTGTGCAAAATTACCTTTGTGTCCGCGGGGCTGACCACAGAGCAAATCAACCTCTTTAAGAGCCATCAAGTCACTGCTGCCCTTCATTTTGAGAGATAGTTTATCTCTAAAAGAAATACTGAACGCCCTAATCACTCTGTATGCGGTAGAACAATGTTTTTTTTTAAAAAAGGTCCTTTTGAATTAAGTCAAAGCAAGAGTTCAGAACAGCTTTCGTGCTGAGTGTATTAGTCTCAGTGGTTGGTTAACATGACTGAATTCAATGTGAATTAATTTGATTTAAAGGGACAGGATTACCTGATCCTGTTGCAGGATGGTGAACGATTTGGTGAAATTATACATTCATTTTGTATTGCCAATTCAGTGTAAGGTAGTAATAATAATAATAATAATCCTTGCATTTGGTATAGCAGCTTGTTACGTCGTTGAGACGTCTCAAAAGCGCTTCAGTTAAATTTGCAGGTCTGGTGGGCAACTAACTATGGAATCAGAGAAGGCAACAGGAATGTTGATCGGGTAATCACCTCAACTGATCAGTGGCAAACAAAGTTCAACACAAGGAAATGCAAGGTGCTGCACATAGGGAAGTAAAAATAGGAGACTCATGTACTCCATTGAACGAGAGAGAAGTTGCAAAGGGGCGACTGAAAGATACTTAGGGGTATAAGTAAGTTTGTTGTTCTCTCTGTTAAAACAGTGTCAATCAACAATTAACAATTCAATGAATTTTTGCATTGAGATTTCAATTATGCACTTGAGTGGTGTTATTAAATGTAATGTTTCATCTCAATTCTGAATGTGATAATCACCATTAACTGAAGTCTCCTGCTGGCAGAAGCTGAACAAGTCGTTGGTCACATCAACTGAAATGATTAGACAAATGTACTTTATTGGATTTTATTAAGTCATAGTGTAAACCTGTGCTAATTTGCTCAGTGGTTAGAGCACTCGTCTTGCAAGCCAGAGACCTGAGTTGAATTTGCGAGTTGGGTTAACAAGACAGTATTACCAACACCCTTAATTATGTAACTCACAACCATTGACAAAGGTTCACACATGCTGCAAATTAGTCCCCAAGTGTCTTCTGTTTGTGCGCAGACAGAGACTTCCTGACAGATGAACTTCATCAATAATTTATTGTTTATTGTGCAATAGGACGTGAAGAGAATATCGGGAAGTACAGAAAATTAAATACCAGTTTTAAAAGAATGAGAAAATAGGAGTCTCGCAGGAGTTTCCTTCACATCGCCCTTCAAAGTCGTGCCTTTCGAACAAACTTTTTTTTTGTGCAGAAGATTTGTGACACCATTAGTGTCCACTTCCAGTTTAATGGCATTATTTTAATGAGTTATCTATAAGTGCTACTTCATGCACATAGCAAGCTTGTTTCGAAAAATAATTGGCATCGTAATGCAATGTGCAAATTGCAGGCTGCAACTCCTAATGGATTCGGTTGTCCTTTAACGCATTGAACTACACTGAACGACGACAGAAACCTGGCTTCTTCAGCCTTGAAACTAAATCTAACAGGGAGCTTGATTGATGCATAGAAAGTACAAATTCAAATTGAGAAACCAACAGCAATGAAATGCCAGAAACATTACGGTGACCTGTCCAGGGTTAAGATTTCATATTTACTGAGGTGTCTGACTGATCTGTCCATGAGTTTGTTTGGGATGAGAAACAGAATATGCATCTCACTGACTAAACATAGAGCAAAACTTTCAGGTAGAGTTTCAACAACAACAACTTGGATTTATATAGTGCCCTCCATGCCAGATGGCGTCTCAGAGCACTTCACAATAACGGATCCCGGGACCGAGCCAGGGGGAGGAGGGGGGGGGTGGGGGAAGGTGACCAAAGTTGCGGTCGAAAAGAAAGGTTTTCAGCCGAGACCTGAAAATAGGAAGAGAGGGGGCGAGGGGAAGGGAGTGAAGAAGGGAGTTCCAGAGCCTCGGGGTAAAGTGGCTGAAAGCACTATGGGCTGTGAAGGGCAATTTTAGGGTTAGACCCCAGGCAGCAAAGCTTGCCTAGAGGTTGATTGCCAGCGAGAAATAGAACCGGATTTCAGCAGCAGGAGCAGATTCTCATAGAGAGAGAAAAATAGTCATCAAGAAGGCTGTTCCAACGCCAACCATTTGAAGCTATGAATATAGAGCTTGAGTGAATCCTCTGATACTCTGCAACAAAGAACACTTGAACAGTAAAAAGAAATGATGATTCACTGCCACTGATCCAATAAGTTGAGTTTGCAGAATCTCGGTGGATGTATCTTGTTAACATGAACCTGCCTTGCTTTGGAAGTTTAGTTCTTTGGAACCCAAATTTTCCCTGAAGGCACTATTATGGAGTGATACTGGAATTGATCCAGTTCATTAAGTGGTCTCTATACACTGATCTTTTTTAAAATCGTTGAACCATGAGTCAAGAAAACTAACAAGCAACGGCGCTGGTGTTCATCTTTCCACTGGGGAGAGAGGGCAGAAATAAACAACAACTTGCATGTATAAGGAGCCCTTCTTGTGGGATAACATTTTGCATCACAGATGCTTTTACTGTTTTACAATTGAGGGAAGGAGTGGGCATGGTAAAACATGTTTTACTATATTACAATGGAGGCAATTCTTGACATCCCAATAGCTCCAGTAGGTCTTTGTGGGCGATGTAACAGCCAATTTTTTTTTGATTAAACTATAATTCATGCAATGATAGCTCCACAGTGTCATGAAATAATAGATCAATTTATCTTCTTACCCAGGTTCCCAGGAAAATCTCCTTTCTCTTTTCCTATAGTGCCATAAGATTTTTAGCTTCCATCTAATATGCGACTGGACCTCGGTTTGACGTCTCATCAATTTTATTATGTTCTGGCTTATCTCCTCACCATTCTCATGGCCGCTCCTCAAAATCTTCAACCCATCCGGCCAATATAGCTTTGAAGCTGCATTGAGTGAAATCGCCCAGAGGTAAATTGCTCACAAGAATGCTCATAGCATCTTACAAACAAGAAATTAGTTGCACTGGATTGGGAAAGCTCTGACCATACTTGAATAGCAAATTAAATTGATCACAGGAACTGTAGCCATTGAGATTGTAGTGGGATTGCAGATGAAAACTTCCACTTACATTAGATCCAGAAGTATAACTGGGAGACCACAAAACACTGAGAAACACTGAGTGGACGTCAATTTTTCTGGAAATAGAACTTTGATTAGCTCAGAGATAATTTAGTGGAGAACAAAGTTGGTTAATG